AAATAGCTCCAGGAATCCCAGTATAAATTAAGAAACACAAATCATATGATAAATAATATGTTTTATCTGGTGGAGACTATTGTGGATAAAAAGAACTTAGATTATTATCAAATAATGATGATAAACTAAATTTATAAGTTGTAAAATTAGATGAAATTGAATTAATATAATAAGATATTCCTTAATAGATAACTCAATAATAGATATTAGAATTGATAGAAAAAGAGAATGATAAATTTATTTTGAGAAATCTCTTCATTATTGCAAGTAAATTGGAATGGAAAGGATAAAATGTAGACAAAATTATAAATAAAATATTAAATTTGGCTAATCTTTATTAAGGAGATAATAAATTTATTTAAGCTTGGGAACGATTAATTGATAGTAGATTATAACCTAATTATTTCTATCCCATTGAAATCCCTAAGTCTATTAAATTCTTACAATAACCATAATAAGTTGAATAAGAAGATTATAAAATTGAGCCTTTTGTGGAAAATGTAGATAATACAATTATAGTTGGTAGTACCTATATGTAATCATTACCTGAAGCTTGCATAGTTTCAAATGAATTAAAATTAGTTCAATATTGGGAAAAGAATATCTTACCTAAAATTTATGATTATGTCAAAGGCTCATTGAGACCCTATGAAATAGATGACTTCTTTGAATAAATACGTTAACAATTAAGAAAGGGAGAATAACACAAAGCTTTAGAAATAGCTTACATTGTATGTGATCAAAGAATGCCAAATGGTGTTGTTATTCCTGAATCTAATCATGATTGGAGTACATTAACAATAGAAGAAGTCTAAGCTGGATAATATGTTCTTTGTAGACTTATTGATAAAACATCAGAATAATTATACTCTAAAGAATATTTACATTATAAAAAATAAGGACAAACTTTCATTTGTGGATAAATCATAGGAGTTGATTAAAGATCATCTTCCATATTGATTACACATATGGATATTAATAATTCACAACTTTATGCTACTTGGTTCCCTGTAAGTTCACTTAAATAGGTTTAATTGTATATTCCTCCAAATGCTAATGCTTATTAATAAGAGACTATCTTAAAAGAATATAATAGAGAATTAGAATTAGAATTGAGTAAATAGGCTAGATAATTGTATATTTTATTGAGTCAAACTATAAATGTAGATCCTATCACATATTTGTAATTAGCTATGTAATTTGAAGGATCATGTATTAATGGTTGGTTAACTGAATAATTAATAGATGAAAATACTAAAACTAATCAGAAATTAAATCAATTTATGTAGAATCCTGATTTAATATTTGGTTGGTTGTCTAAATCTTTTGATTAAATTCAATAATTTGTCAACAACAATAAATTATTATTAGATTTAGTCAAATCTCATAAGAAACCATTAGAACTCAATTCTGATTTAGATATTGCTGGTTTGGCTATTGTATTTAAGAATGATGCAACTCTTTGTACTTGTTCAGGAATCAATTTCTATAAAGATAGATTGGGTATCAATGACTTTTATACTATAAGCAGTGGAAAAGAAACTAGAGGAAGATTATCTCCAATAGTATTAAATTAAAAGACTGTTTATTGTGAGTATTATTTTAATGGAGAAGCCTTACCTATTTATTAATAAAAATTATGTGTTTCTCGTTTACCTTGTGTTGTATATAAAATTCCAACATTGTGGAACACTGTTTGTTATGTAATTGATTAAATGAGCACAATTTTCATAAAAAACAAAGACATTCCTAATTTGAAGAATATTAATCATCTTTTAGAATAAGTTTATTAATCACAACCTCATATTCTTAATCAATCAATAATAAAATTATTAATTAGGAATATTCGTAAATTACAAACAATTTCAGAAGAAACTTTAAAAGATGAATTACTTTCTTAATTAGTTAATGATGCTGTTAAAATATATAATATTTAAAAAGTAGAACCAAATGTTTTATATTCATCATATCTATAAGATATTACTGAATTATTAGCTGTAGCTATTCCAAATAAAACAAAAATTTAGATTCCAGATTGGTTAAATGCTTATAGATATTTAATTTAAATTGCAGAATTTATTAAATGTGGTAAGAATTTATACAATGAATAAATTGAATAAATTAATGGAATGTTATAGTCTAATTAATGGGATTAATTGATTTATATGAAAGAATTACCATGTGATATTTAAGATGTATTATAAGAATAATTGGTTAGAATTTTAAATCCTACTATTGATATATATAGAAATTAAAAATAAGCTATTGTTTTAATTGATGGATTTTAATAATTAAATTTAGAGAATATTGAAATATAGTTACCTCCTGAACCTGTTTAAGAAACTGTTAAATTGTGGGAATGTGAAGTATGCACATTTGCTGAAAATGCATGGGATTCATCACATTGTTCTATGTGTGATACTCCTGCACCTGCAAATAAAACTCCTTATAAAGGAACTGAAGGTTAATCTTAATAATAAGAATAATAGTAAATTTAAATCAATGTTGATGAAGAAGATGAAAAAGCTGATAGAAGAGAAAAGTAATTTTTAGAAGATTTAATTGAAAAAATTAAAGAAAAAATTAAAACATATTATACTGATAAATAAAGAGATAAAGAATAAAAAATAAAATAAATTAATCAAGCTATTGAAATTTAATAAAATCTATTAAAATAACTTAATAAATAATAAGAAAAAAAATAGAAATAATTAACATATAAATCTAAATTACAACAAAACAAATAACCATAATAATAATTACAATAATAAAAAATTTAGGATTGTAAATTAAAATTATAATAACTTACATCTGAATTATAATTAATATAAGAAATTAAACTTGAAAACAATTTCTAAATCTATACTGGAAAATAAATCTTTGAAAAAGCCAAAGCATTTTTACAAGAATTCTTATCTAATAGATTAGAATATTTTAGAAAATAAATTAATCCAAAATAATTAGAAGATATAAGTAGCATGGATCCAATAGAAAGTTGGAAATATTTAGAATCATTAGGTTATGATCTTCATTATTAATAAATTAATAATCCTAAGATAATTCAAATTTTACCAATTTAATAAATGAAAAATCTCCTTAAATTAATAGAATTTGATATTTGCAAAGAAACAAAAGCTGTAAGAACATATAATCCTAGAAATATTAGAAATCAAATAGATGAATAGGCTATTAATTATTCAGATTTTATTAATTGTTTAACTAAATATTAAGATCTTGTAAATGCTCCTTTATTAGTAGTTAGGTAATCTTGGGCAATAATTAAATTATTCAATAGATACTTAGAAACTTGTGGACAATTTATTAATATGGATGTTCCTATTGGTACTTCATAATAATTCCATTAAAATACAATCTTTCTATCTATGGGCAATTATATGTAAGTTTTACGATAGTTGTGTATGACTCCAACAAAAGTAGATATAGTTTAAAGAGTTTTAAATAAAACAAGTATTAGTAGAGATTCACCACCAAAAATTAATGTTGAACGTATTCGTTTGGCTAATCATAATGGAAAAGCAAGTTAATAAGATTATTTATTTACTATGGCATATGAATAAATGAAAAATATACCTCCTACTCTATTAAGACCAATAAAACCATAAGGAACTGATCCATTCTTAGCATTTGAAGTAAATTTTAAAGGAGAGGATGTTTAAGGAGAAAGTGGACCTTATAGATAATTTTTTGCTGATATTAGTAAAGAATTACAATCATCATAATTATTATTATATCCATCAACAAATAATTAAGCAAAATTAGGAAATCATAAAGATAAATTTGTTTTGAATCCTAGTGCAAAATCTAATTATTATTTACATTTGTATGAATACTTAGGAGTTTTGATGGCTATTGCAATTAGAACTGCTACTCATTTCTCTTTAGATTTACCATCAGTATTTTGGAAATAAATAGTAGGTGAGAAAATCACATTTGAAGATATTGAATAAATTGATGCAACAATGTGCAATTTAATTAATTTTATGTAAGAATGTCCTGAATCAACATTTGAAGAGAATATTTTTGAAAATTGGGTTACTTTGAGAACTGATAAAAGTGTATAGGAATTAAAAGAGGTAATTTATATATTTAATTTATTTTTAGAATGGTAGTAAAATACCAGTTAAATATGAAGAAAGACTTGAGTACATTAATAAATTGATAGAAGTTAAATGTACTGAAAGTGAATTATAATGTGAAAATCTAATAAAAGGATTAATCAAAATAATTCCTTCACCTTTATTAAATTGTATATAATATTTTATATCATATTTTAGGGGTATCAGCAGAAGATTTAGAATTATGGGTTTGTGGACGACCTATTGTAGATGTGGATTTATTAAAGAGACATACAAGATATTCTGGAGATTTAAATGAAAACAGTGACAGAATCAAATTCTTTTGGGAAGCCCTTTATGAATTATCTGAATAAGAGAAATTGAGATTCATTAAATTTTGTTGGGGTTAAGAGAGATTACCTGCTAATGATGAAGAATTTGATAGAAATTAAATTAGATTTATGATAAAACCTTCAACTGTTAATACAAAATAACCTAATAAAGCTTTACCAAAAGCAGATACTTGTTTCTTTAATTTAGAATTACCTAATTATTCTAGCAAAGATGTAATTAAAATATATTTATATAATAGATTTTGAAGAAGTAATTACTAACAGCTATTAATTTTGATTGTGATAGTATGAATGCTGATCCTAGAGTAAATTTAGATCCAAATGCTCGACATAGACGTAATAGAGAGGATGATGAAGATGATAGTTTGTTTGAGGAACGTGATTGGTGAAATCATAAATATATATATATAATAAGTATATTAGCTTATATTGATACTCATCCCTTTATAACAAAAAAAATATTATTAGTAATAAATAATCATATTAGTAAATTTTTATAAATTAATTAATAATAATGATATCCATAAATAATTACTGATAATATAATACATAAAGAATGAAGAATTATTATTCAAAATTAATTTTAGTTTTTGGATTCTGATTCCTCTTCTTTAATTTCTAACTTAGCTTCATAAATTTTATCATTATTTAAATCCTCGTATTTAATATTTTTAATATTGCTCATATTTTCAAATTCTATCTTTAAATTATTTTAAAAAGAATCTTCATTTTTAACATCTACACATTCTTTTTTTATTTACTTTCTAATTTGAGCAGCTGTTTTAATAATTGCTTTATTTTTTTAAATAAATGATCTCAGAAATCCCATTCTCTTATTAGAAAAATCCTCAATTTGACAAATTAAACTAACTTTATTGAATATTTAAATATAGTCTTCTAATGTTTTCTTTGGAATTTTAACTAAATTTGCTGCTTCTTAGAGACTAATCCTTGGTTAGTTTGTATTTTATGAAGACTTACCTTCTTCATATATTCTTCTCCATTCTCTAACTCTATGTAGAGCATCAATAACACTTCTTTCCTTAACTCTTTTTTTAGTGGATTTAGAATTACTGCCTTATAATTCTTTTTGCATAAAGAAATTAAAAGTATATTTAGAAATTGATTAATACAATTAATAATATTTTACACACTTTTGATATTAAGGAATTAAAATAAATTAGAAGAAACTAATAATAATAATAATAGGGGTCCTCATTTAAAAATTCATCATATATTAAAATAAATGAAGTTTATTGAAAAAAACTAAAATGTACTACTTTTATTATTCTCTCTGACTTTTTTAATAAAAAATGTGATAAGTTTAAACAATAATTATTAGTAAAAATAATTTAAAAATTTAGATTTTTCTAGAATAAATTATTCATATATATATAAATATATTTATTATACAATTGCAATTTTAAGTTGGTTTTAATTGTAATTAAAAGAAAATAAAGCTAGATATAATCGAATAATGTATTATACTAATGCTAATCATTAAGCGTATTTTTAGGTTTCTGATCTGACTGTTTCTTCATACTTTCCTTTATCACTTTTATATAATTCTAATGCTTTTTGGTTTAATCCTTATTCTGTATTAACTTATCCCATAATGTTTAAGATTTTCTCTAAGACCTATTTTACAGTTTTAGTGGGCTACCATTATTCCTATAATAAACCTTTATCATTTACTTTAGTCTCAATCATATCTTCACAAAATTCACCCTTTTCTGTAATATTTGGATGGAAAATTTTTGTTGTAAATAAAAATTAAGGTGCTTTGAAAGGATAGTTCTCTGGGAATGTAATTGTCAATTTAAACTTGCCTCCTTAATAAGCTGTACCTTCTGGTCCTGCAACTATGGCTGTCCATCTTTAAATGATATAATCTTATATACAATAATCTATTATTAGCATCTGCAGTGATCTAAACTCCTTAAATTGGACTTGTTTAAGTTAAATCTTGTAATTCTTTATTCAATCTATTTTACATTTTCTTTGAAAAAATAATTTATTATTTAAATCTTTTCATATTTCATAGTTATTTATGCTTAATAGAAAAAAAAATTATCTAATTATGATATCAATTTATTGTTTCTATTTATTTATTTCAATTTCTGATCATACATATTTATATAGCATATAGATACATAAACATCATTAAACTAAGACATCTAATTTTATTAATTTATAGCTTTTAATAAATGAGAGTAGAAAATTTATTATTATATATAATTAAAACATATTCATAGTAAATTATTCATATTATGATCATAATTAATTAATCATCTGTTTCTTAAATCCTTATTTTTTAAATATTTTATTAACTAATTATAATTCTAGATTATTCTATTATTTTGTTTAAATTCCAAAAAACATTATCCTATAAAATTAAATTCAATTCAATTCAATTTTTTTAGACAATTTTAATATTCAAAACAATACTTATATTAATCCATTCAAATTTTTATCATTTAACTGTTATTAATAAGAAAACAAATAAGTTTCTGATACACATCTAAGGTTTAAAGTTCATTAATATAAGAGTTTTAATTTATATTTTGATATATATATCAATTTAATTCCATATATATCTTGTAGATTAAGTATTAAATACATATCCATAATTATTATTGTAAAAAAAATTTATCTATGAAATAATCATAAGTGAATGATAAAGATAATTTGTGTATGCTATAGTCATAAGATGTTTATGGAAAAGAAGATTATAGAATGACTAGATAAACAGGTTGTACAGAATATTCTAAATCTTAATCATTATGTTTTGATTAAGTCGTATTAGGTTCAAGTTAACTTTTAAATAATCCTGATTAATAAATGGATAAATATTAAAACATTTGGATGTAAATATTTACTTTTATTCTATAGGAAAAAAATTATATTAATTCAATCTCACTACAAAGGATATTTAGAAAGGAAAAAATATAAAAATATGAAAAAATGGGCAAAATATAGAAGAAATGTTATTCTCGAGTTAATAATGACAGAAAAAGATTATTTAAACGATCTAAAGTCTATTATAAATAATGTTATGATAGCAGCAGAATAATTTAAGTTATTACCAGAAAATGAGATATAAATAACCTTTAGTAATCTATATTAAATTTACACATTCAATAATATGTTTTATGGAGATATTTTAAGTAAGAATATATTTCATTTATTTTAGAATAATTTTGTAATTATCATCATAATTCATGTTTTGGGCATGTTTTACAAAAATTTATTCCATTTTTTAAAATTTACTTCAAATATTATTCTGATTATAAAGATTATCAAATTCAAAATTTAAGATAAACTTATCCAGCATTTAATGATCATTTAATAATATTAGAAAAAAACAATTTATTTAGAGGATGTGATCTCAATTCATTTTTAATAAAACCTGTTTAAAGATTACCAAAATATGCATTATTATTAAAAGATTTAGTTAAACATACTTGGAAGAGTCATCCTGATTATAATAATCTAGTTAAAACTCTTTAGTCATTTAATTCAGTTACAGGGTAAATAGATAAATAAATTGAAAAGTAAAATATTTATTTATTTTAAGTATTCTAAGAAATCAAGCTCTTTTCGATTTACAAAAAAAGTTTTTTGATGTTTTGAATGAAAATATTGTTGAATCAACTAGAAACTTTATCTTAAATGAATCAACTTACCTATTAAGATAAGGTCAAGAAGAATTAGTAGAATTATATTTGTGTAGTGATTTGATTGTTTTATCCAAAAAAACATAGGTAGATTAAGAACAAATAAATGAAAGACTACTAGAATATTGTTATCTGAATGAAAATACAATATTATCAGATGCTGAAACTAAATCTTTAATAATAACATTGGATCTTAAAGATAAAGATCAGAATTTAATATTTTTATGTTAAGATTTAGAATAAAAATAAAGATTATCGTTAGAGTTTTATAAAATTCTCTCAATGAAATATGAAAAATTTTAATCTCAAAATTTTTCGATCTAAAAAGAATTAAAGAATCAACCTATAAGAGTTTTTGTAACTTCAATTTCTAGAGGATAATCTAGAATGCCATTCAAAACTTATGCAAAATATCATGTCTAAGTAATTAGATTTCTAAAATTTAGGTTATTTTAAATAAGTAAGAGTATACAATTTGGACTAGACATAAAATTTTATTGAAGATATAAAAGAGTCTAAAGAAACATTATAAAAAAGAATATTTAAACGATAAAGATAATAATATCTTATTTTAAGATTTGATAGAGAAAAAGTTAAATAAGTAAAATCATGATGGAAGAAAAGTTATAGTTGAAACATTTTTAGAGACTCTCTTAAACTCTACATATGTAAAATTGGCACCTGATAATTATCTTTAATATCTTGGGCTTCCATAAGGATTTTATTAAAGTGATCAGAATATTAGTAAATTGAAAACTTTAATAGATTCTGAATCATCAAAATCCAGTTAGGATTCTTGACTAATATTAAAAATTTTCTATTTATATGGAATAATAATAATAATAAAAAGAATTTATTAATTTAAAGTCTTTAGTATTTCATCTATTCTTTATTTATAAATATAAAATTAAATTTAAGACTGAATGCAATTATGTGTAATATATAAAAATAATGATCTATTTTTTCATTTTCAAGTATTCTCTCATTTTTTGAGGGAGAAGAGTTTTCCAATAAAACCTGTATTATTATTAAAATAAAACATTGCTCCCATTACTAATAATAATACGAGCATCTAATAATTATAAATTCAATAATATACTTGCATCCAAAACTCTGTTGAAAATAAAGTTTTCTTCAAGAATGAAGACTCTTATTTTGGTTTTACAGGTTCAGGATGTTATTTTAAGTACTCCTCTCTTTCTCTTTCTTCTTATTCTCTCTTTTTCTTAAAATAATCTGTCATAGCATATTCAAAAACCTAATTTATATTGAATAATCATATTACTTCGAAATTGAATTTTCCTTAACCAAAGATTTCAGTCACATTTTCTCTACAAAGTCTAATCAATCTTCTGACATACTTTTTGTCAGTAAAATTTATTTGATGTTTAGTTACAAGTTCTTTAAGTATTTCATCATTTTCATAATCAATGAGATCCAAATTCATATAAAATGACATTGTTTATACTGTTTCTAATAATCTTTATAATTCCTATTTTGCTATCTTAACTTAATCATATTTTTTTTATTCCTAAATATTTAAAATAATTTTATTACAGCATAAAACTCAATTATTCTATAATATTTATTAACCATTTCTTTTACAATTTCATATTCTTGATGTTCTTATGTCAATTGTGGCATACATACTCTATATAAAAATTGTTTATCTGTTTCATTTGGTTATTGAATCATATCTTCTGGATCAACAACATCTGTAACACCTTCTTCATATGGTACTTTCCCATCTTCAATCATTTCTTATTCAATTTCATCAATTTCTTTTGCTCTTAAAAATAATGGTTCAACAATTTCTTAAACCCATTATTTCTTTTTTTTCAATGCTTCCATTACTCTATGTGCATGTTCAACATAGATTTCTTTTGCATTTTCTAAACCCATCAACTTCAAAATTCCAGGACCTTATTTAAAAATGTTCTCAACATTAGATAAACTAATAGCTTTCTCAATAAGTTCTTTAGCTTTTAGTAGATCTTTATAAGTAGACCATTTATCATATAAGATTGCTTAAGAATACCTAAATAAATATTATGAATTTTCTTTCTAAATAACACCTGCATCATCCAAGATTTTTCTTGCTAAATCAAAATGTGACATCTTCATATAACAAACAGACATATTTAGATATAAACCATACATAATGGAATTACACATTTCTTTATCAGCTTCATCCTAAAAAGATTTTGAATAAAATGATTACTTGAATGTGTTCAACACCATTATATTTAACATTTTCATCAGTGTAAATAGTCATTAATGATTTATATTATTTTTTGAATTCCTTTTATTCTTTCCTATATTATTTTGCTGATTTTTTCATATCTTCAAGTTCTTTTCGTTCCTTTTCAGTCATATTTGAAGTATCTTATTATTGATTAGCTTCCTCTTCATCAGATTCTTCCTCAGGTGGCTCTACTACTTCCAAATAACGGAAACAACCCAATGCTCTTTCATAATATCTAATAGCTTCATCAAATTCTTATTTTTGTAATAGTTTATTTCCTGATTATGAAAATTATTAATACCTTTTTCTCTAAACTTATCATAAACAAAAAATCGTTAGGCCACTTCACATTGTCTAAGTTTTTTTGTGTTTTCGTCATCATGAAACAATGTACTTTTTAAATAAGTTGGATATGTATCAAATACTTTTCTTCTATCCTTAATAGGACCTAAGATTGAATAATAGAGAGCCTTACCTTTTTTAACTTCTTTAGAATCAAATGCCAACATCCATAATCCACGAGTATCAAGTAGATAATTCAAAGGACTTATATAATAAGTGTCATATTATTCTTCAAGATGGGCTAGTGGCGGATTTCTTTTTTTTTCACTTGACATAAATGGACATCCTCCTTTGGGTTACTTTTCTTTTTTCTCTTTTTTCTTCTCAGCACTTCCATCTGCAATTTTGATCTCTGGTTGCTGCTGCATTTACTGGAAAGGACATTTGGATTTATCTGTATACTATTCATGTCCTTTTGGAGGTTTCATAGCTTCAGAAAAAGGGCAAGAACCAAATTCAATATCTTTCTTCTAGGAACCTTAATTGCCTTGCATTGATTTCAAATATATTTTTAATTATGTATAATGTTTTCTTTAGGTGGAGTTCTTAAATTATATAAAATATATTTATTCACTGGTCTATGTCAATCATTTCTATAATAGTTCATATATGTTTTATTATCATCATTATTTTATATTAACTTAAAAACGGAAGTTGATTTCTATCTCATAATGTCTTTAAAATCTTTTAATTCATCAAATTCTAATTATTCTAATCAAATATTTTACCAATTCTTTCTTAAATGGAACTTAAAGTTGATTAATAACGTATACCTTAATAATTTGTATTAGATCATCCAAATCTTAATGATATTGAAGACTATTAATATAAAACCATAATGTTGATGATTTATACCGCCATATTTTTAATAACTTAATGTCAATTACTGAGATTTGTTACTAAAAATTCTTTAAGAATTTAGAACGCTCTAAAGTTGAATCTTGAACTTGTACTATATATTCTGTTTCTAGTAACTATTTTAACAATCTCATAAACTATCTTACTCTACTTTGTATATTGTTATGATTGAATTCAGTCTTTGAAGAATCTTAATTTATAAATTGTTTATAGCTAAATAATTTATTATGATATTCAACTACGTTCTAACCATTAAATTTCTCTTTATTAATTCCTTCCTAATATCAAATTTAAGACTCTAAAATATATTTCCTTAAGTCAACTAGAATAAGGAATAGAATGATATTCTTCTTAAATCTTACCAATTATATCCATAAACAATATAAACACTCATAATACTGAATAAAGTTGAAAAAGACAACTTATAGATTATAGAGGATATTTCATAATCTAATATTTGTATAATTATAAAATATACAATTTTTTGAGGATGGGTACAGCAAGCTTAAATTTTATAGAAATCAAGTCTCTTAGTTATAAAATAATGAGGATTTGATTATTAAATTTTCAATAAGAAATTAAACTAAATGCTGCAATTATAATTGATCTTCTCTCCATTATTATATCAATATTCTTAATTAATAATATGGATTGTACATTTTTTAATGGTTTATTATTAAATTTAATGATACTATAAAGTTAATTTTATGTATAGATTTAATAAATGTATATTTTTAAATTAATTTCTAAATTATGTTTGTCAAGTTAATTTGATTTCATTATCTTATCATGTTGAATAAGATATTAAATTTAATTTTAAAAATTTATAAATTTATTTGATGAACAATTGCTATAAGATTTCAAAATTAAAATTTTTTAAGGATAAACAAATTTAATTGATTATTAAATTATGTGTAATGTTAATAGAACCTAAGAATTATATATTGATAAATAACTTTAAATGATTATGCTAAATAGCAGTTAATTATTTATTTATACATTTCATTAATTTTAAATTCAAATTTTACATAAAATGAAGAAATCGTTCAAAGAAGAAGCTATGCCTCTTATTTTTTACTAATAAGAAACTCAAAGTAAATATTTGCTAAATCATAACAGCTTATCAAGTAAACCCTGATGCGATAGAAATAATAAAAAATATTCCATCACCTATAGGAATTGTAGGAGTGGCAGGTATGTATAGAACTGGAAAATCATACCTCCTCAATAGAATGCTTCTAAACAGATCAGATGGTTTTGGAGTTGGTCCAACAGTATTACCTTGTACAAAGGGACTTTGGATGTGGGGCAAACCTTTACTAGGTTAAACAAGTGATGGAGAAAGCTGTTCAATCTTAGTTGTAGATAGTGAAGGGTTGGGTGCTCCAGATGAAGATTCTACACATGACATAAGAATCTTCTCTTTAACTATTTTATTGACATCATGTTTTATCTACAATTCTGTTGGTAGTATTGATGAAAATGCACTCTAAAACCTTAGTCTTGTAGTTAATCTAACTAAAAATATATAATTAAAGAGGTAAATGATTATTTAAGATTTTTAGTGGTTAATCTCTTCAAGATCTTGAAGATTTGTCATAATATTTTCCACAATTTTATTGGGTTGTAAGAGACTTTACTCTTCAATTAGTAGATAAGAATAGGGAATAAATTACATCTAAAGATTATTTAGAAAATGCACTATTAGTCTAAAAAGGATCTTCTGATGGAATAGATTAAAAAAATAAGATTAGAAAATTATTGACAGCATTCTTTAAAGATAGAGATTGTATTACATTAGTAAGGCCTTTGACTGAAGAAAGCAGTCTTCAAAATCTAGAGAACTTGGATTTCGATAAGTTAAGACCTGAATTCTTTGAATAGGTTATAAATCTAAGAAAAAAAATACTCAATAGAATCAGACCAAAAATGTTGAATGGAAAGACTCTTTCTGGTCAAATGTATTGTGATTTAATTCGTTCTTATGTTACAGCAATTAATAATGGAGCTGTACCTGCTATTGAATCAGCTTGGACCTATATTTGCAAGAATGAATGTTAAAAAGCTGTTGCTGAAGCATTTGATACTTATGAATAAATTCTAAAGGAAAATCTTCATAATAGATTTCCAATTTCTAATGAGGATTTGAAAGCATTTAATAGAAGTCTTAAAGAATAGGCATTTGCCTTATTCAAAAAGAAATGTGTAGGTGATGCTGATGAATACAAAATAGAATTATCAAGAAGAATTAAATAAAGATTTGCTGCAGTAAAATAGGAAAATGATAGAGAAGGTTCAAGAATGTGTTCATAATTTATTTAATAAGAATTCTAACCTATTGATAGAAAACTTAAATTAGGGGAATATAAATCTTTTGGAGAGTATGAAAAAGATATTAAAATGTTTTATAACTTTTTTATTGAAAATGGACCTAGAGTGGGAACTAGAAATTAAATAATTTTAGAGTTTCTATAAAGAGCCTTAATAGAAGGATCAAATTTATTTATTAGATAATATAATTAAGAGACAGATATGATGAAAAATGTTGCTTAAGAAACTTAGAAAAAATTAGAATAGGAATTGAAAGAAGTAAGATAGGATAGTTTAAAAGATAAAAATAATCTGTTAATGAAATTGGCATAAGTAGAAAGTGAAAAAAGTGATTTAGAACTAAGAGAATAAGTTGCCAGGGATAATTTAGAAGAACTTAAAATATAAAAGGAATAAGTAGAAAGAGATTTAAAATTAGAATCTGAAAATGAAAAAATTGAATTAACTAGATAAATTTAAGAATTAAAGGGATAAGTTATAAAAGCAGAAGAATTCAATAAAGATATGGAAAGAAATACTCTTTTTGGAAATTCTGAGTTTGAAAAAGAAAGGGCTTTATTGGAATAAAAAATAACATTCTTTGAAAAATTAGTTAATGAAATGAATACAAAAGAACTAGAATATTAAAATGAAATTAAAAATCTTAGAAAAGAGCATAGTTTATAATCAAAGGATTAATAAACTAAATCTGATTAAATGGTTAGATAATTATAATAGAAACTCAGTGATTTATAGGAGAAATTGAATGAGATGGAGAATGAATTAATTGAGAAGGAATCTAATTTTGAAAATGATTTCAAAAAGTTTGAACATAAAGAAAGAAGTTTAACTAAGTAAAATTTTGAATTGAATGAATAAATTTAAGGATTGACAAGAGAACTCAGAGAATATAGAAGAAATGAGGAATAAATGCAATAAATGTTAAAGAATGATGCTAATAATTAAGTTAATGAATTATTAGAAAAAGTACAAGGATTAGAAGATCTTATAAAAACTAAGGATGATTAATTGAAATAAACAAAAAGTCATAGTGAAAAAGATAAAGCTTTGATGTAATAGAAGATGGAATTTATGGAAGTTTAATTGGATGAATACAAAAAATAAATAGAAGAAAATAAAAAATCACATGATGCAATTATGAAAGCTTTTGAGAATTCAAGTAATGAATCAACTTATAAAATTGATGCAGCAAAAATGAATGATTTAAGAGAATAACATAAAAAAGATCTTAAAAATATAGAAAATGAATATGAAAGTGTTAAGAAGAGATTATAATAATAAGTAGATTAATTAAATGAGAGAAATAGTGAATTGGAATTAAAGGTTAAATTTGAAACTGGAGATCTAATTAAAGAAATTGAAAATCTTAAAGAATAACTTTAAACAACAGAAGAATAAAGGAATAAATTACTTGAATAAAATAAGACTTTAGATGGATAGAAATTATCAATATTAAAAGAATAAGAGTTAAGATATTAGAAGAAGATTAAATCATTGGAATAAGCTATGGATGAAGCAGATACAAAAACAGCTAGAGAAGTTAATTAAGCTCAAGCAAAAGCAGAGGAATCTTTGACATAATTGAAAAATTTTTATGAAATTGAAAGAGAAAGATTAGAAAGAAGAATTTGTGAAGAAAAAGAAAAAAGCGATAAGAAATTTTAAGCTGCTTAAGAAGAATTCTATCATAAACTCAGAGAAACTGAATAAAATTATGAAGAGGAAATTGAAACTCTAAAGGATGATTTAAGAGATTAAGTATAACAATATACTAATACAATTTAATAATATGATCATGAGATAGCTTTAAAATAATAAACTATTGAAATTTTTGAAAAACATATTAAAGAAATTAAAGAGTAACTTATATCCTTATAAAATAATAACAATGCAACATTAGAATAATAAATGAACTCATTTACTACAGAAAGAAAAAGTTTAATTTCTAAAATAGATGTTCTATCTAGTTAATTAAATAATCTACAAAAGGAACATATGGCATTATAATAAAAAAAGGATCTTTTGGAAAATGAGAAAACAAGGAAAGAATAATAATTTGAATAAACAAGAAAAGAATGGTAAGAAGAAAAGAAAGAATTGATAGATAGATTTGAAGAAACTAAATCAAGACTTTAAAAAATGAATGATGAATTTTTAGAGAAAAAGATTGAATATGGTAGAGAAACAGCATTAACTTAATAATAAAATGAATTTTTATAGAAGAAGATAGAAGATTTATAAAAATAAATAGATACTTAATAATCAAGGTTTGATGAGAAGATTAAATAATAAAAGAATGAATATTCTGTTGAATTAGAATAAAAATTAGAAAGAGCATAAGAAGAAAAAACAGCAATTGAAACTAAATATGATAAGATTAAGAAATAATTGAAAGAAAGTGAATATCAATATAATAAATAAGCTTCAACTTTAGAAAGAGAAAAAGCAATTTTAACTGAAAAACTTGGACATTTAGAATCAAGAAAGAATGAATTAGAATCAAAAATAAAGGATGAATCTGCTAGTGTTGCTTAATAATAGGCTGCTTTAAGAGAATAAATAGCTTTAGAGAAGAAATCATTACAATAAGAGTTAGAAAAATATAAATAATTTAATCTTTAATTGGAATAAGAGAAAAGTGAAATTCATACTAGTTATGAAAGAGATAAAGCTTTGTGGGAAGGTAAATTTTAATTTTTAGAATAACAAAAAGAATAGGCAAAATAAGATTTGATGGATGCATTAAAAAAATTTGAGATGACTTTAATGCATTTATAAAGGGCTAGATCAAATGAAAAAGATGAATAAGAAAATAATTTAAATGAATTGTTATTAAGTGTTGAAAGAAAATATTAATCATAAATTGAAGAAGCTAATCAAACTCATTAAAGAATAGTTTAAGATTATGAAGATAAAATTAGAAGATTATAGAAAGAAGTTAAAACACATAAAGATAAAATTTTAATTGATTAACATGGAAAAATTGGTAATCAATTATTATCAGAAAAAAAGTTTGCTGAAATGTTAGATAATGAAAAGAGATTATAATAAGAAATAGAAAATATTAAGTAAGATAGAGATTATAAAATCTTTGAATATTAAAAAATGTTAGAATAAGAAAGGGAAAATTTAAAAGCTAAATTAGTAGAATTAGAAACCAAATATAAAGAAGTTGAAAGTAAAAGGTCTACTCTTATATTTGAATTTGAAAAAGAGAGAGCCAAATGGAATTTAGATAGAGATCATTTAAATAATATCAAAAATGAATTATCAGATTAATTAGAAAAATTAGGAGACAAAAAAGAATAATTATTAAGAGAAAATGAAAAATTAAAAAATGAATAAAGAGCTACTAGACGTAGTGTTGCTGCACATAATATGACTACTAATAATATTAAGACTGGCAATACATACAGAAATCCAATAAATAATATATCAAGTATTTAATATTCATATGATTTAAGCTATCGGATTATAAAAATTAAGTCCAACTCATTCTAATAATACTTCTACATCTTCTGCCAACATATCAGTCTTAAAAAAGAATAATTTAGCTGATATAACTAATTATGAAAAGACTGCTCCTTTGACATAGTAATCTTTTCAAAATAGTAAATTTTATTTTTATGGAAACCAATAAGGACAAAACGATGATTCAATGATTGGATAGAGTGAATTTCAAAAATGATATAATTAATATATATATATATTTATAATAATATTTAACTTAAATCAATTCTTTATTGTAATTATATTAAATTATAAAGGGAAATTCTTTAAAATAAAATGACTTTTAAATTTGTAGACTTATATATGAAAAATCGAAATTTTCATTAACCTAATCTTGATGAAAATGATGTTCATACTTAAATTCATGATTAATAATAAAAGTTATATAAAATAAATTTAAGGCATTTAATTGATTTTAAATAAAAAAATTTACGCCCGAACAGGGTCTCGATCCCTGGACCTAGAGATTAAGAGTCTCTCGCTCTACCAAGCTGAGCTATCCGGGCGTATTGATATTTAATAAGTTGAAATTCATTTAAGGACCTTTAGAATTAAACATGTTATTAATAATTTCTTACTATATATAGTAAATATTTTTCATCTATTTTGGATGGTTTGAATAAAATTAAAATATATGAAGATTTAGATTTACAAGAATAATCAATCTAAAAGTAGAACCTACTTTCTTAATATATACAATAAAAAATTATTAAAAATAATTTATATATATTGGTAATTAATGGATTAAAATAATAATCAAGAAGTTCAGAATGATATATAGTATCCATTTTAGGCTATGCTATCAGAGGATCAATTTCACTTATTTGAAAATGTTAACGTGAAGCTGATTGGTTAAAATGGTAAGGAAATCGAATTTAGTCCAATATCTGGAAATCTACTTATTACTAATGAGAGATTATGTTGGTACAGTTTACCATAAAATAATGAATCATAAACAAATGAATAATAGTAAAAAGATATATAAATTGAAAAAACACAAGAAAATACATCTTTAGTTTCTAATATGAATGGAAAATCATTTATGTTTAATTATGAAACATTAGTCTCTCATGGCTAATAAGGGGATTAGTTTATGTGTTTTTTAGGGTCTCAAGAGGAAGAAGAAATGGAATTAGAGGAAGAATAAGAAGCTTTAATTGAATTAATTTAATAATAAAATCCAGCTGAAATAGTTAATTTAGGGAAAGGTGAATATTAGGTAACTATATATTTAAAGTTAGATATATTTTGATCTTAGTAAATAATCAAAAGAAACATAAAATAAAATAAATGATATTTTTACAGAATTAGCAACAGCAAATGTAGAGATGGAAGATGAAGGTGATGAATTTATGGATGAAATGATAACAGCTGATAATATTGATTAAGATGGAAATATTATTGTTAAGAAATAATAATAATAAGAAGATTAAGAAATAGAAGATAATGATGAAGATTATGAAGATGTAGATGATGATGATGAAGAAGAAGAAGATAATTAATTTGTTAATAAAAAGAATAATTAAGAATAAAATTGATTTTTTCATTTTAATATAATTTCATCAACACATGATTCTATTCCCATTAATTATTGAACATCTTTATTGTTTATAAGTTCAAATTATTTATATCTAGGAACAATAAAGCTTTTAAATTTAAATTCTGTTCCCAGATTTTATGCATCCCCTTCTTTACAAATTTTAATTGTTTTACCCTAAAAGTAACACTATTCAAACAACTCAACACAATTCTTATCTGATATTATCAAATCTTCATCTATGATATAAGCCAAAATCGAAACTTAGGCTTACACTAATTATGCATCGTTCCCTAGATATCAGTTAATTAAATTACAAGTTCCAATCTCTGCTAATACTTTATCATCATATTTTATGTTTTATAATTGTATCTTAATTGATTAACTCTTGAATAGAAATTCAGTTATACCACCAATCAAGATTGGTTTATCGACATTAAGATCATATGAAAAACTAATAAATGCTTTTCCTTTCTATTCTTTAACCCATGGATGATTATTTTATACAGAAAATGGAATAAACTTAGGATACAAAGCATGCTTTGAACCTGATATAATACATAATTTTATCATCTTGACAGAATTTGTAATTTACAAATAAGCATTTCCATTAACAATTTTTTAAACTTAAATTCCAACTTAACTAGAACTTCCTTAAACCCCTATAATTGAATATGCAAAATTATCTTCATAGACTGGAACAATCAATTATTATTTGAAAGATGTATAATAAGCTACTTCAACTCTAGGATCAAAAATTGCTAACCATTAAACTTGTAATGTTATTGGATCATTAATGTATTTCTTATAAATTAATTTGAATCCTTTAGTATTCACTTCTGTAACATCAATTTCAAAACCATATTTCTAACTTGCCATTGATATTTTTGTTAAAGTTATGTAAATAACAGGTGTCTCTAAAAATGGTTCTGAAAATGTAATATCTTAAATTAACTTCTCATCTTCTAAGGTGATACTTTTCTCAATTTATTATTCAGCTTTAACTTTATCATAAGCAAAAGTTATTGTTATTAGAAGAATTAAAAAACGAAAATTCATTTTTGTTTATTATAATAATATAAAAAAATAGATAGGATTTTTTAATTATGCTATCAAACCTATTTCCATTTTATAAAGATAAGAAAGAGAATTCTTATATGTTGTTTGGAAAATAGAATAATAAAGAACATGCAGATATGTTTACAACATTTAGAACTTAATTAAAACCTTAATTTAGAAGCATCATCAACCATTTTCTTAATAAGTTGCAATTAAAACAAAATGCTTAATAAATTATTAAACATAACTTAAGCAGCTTTTATATATGGAAAAACCCAAAATAGGAAGTTGAAGTATTTTATATAGATGAATCATTAACTTCAGAAATTAAATATAAAAATTAAATTTCAGATTAGACTTATAAAGAATTTTATGAAATCTTATTGAATTTGAGTAATTTGAATATTTTAGATGTTTAATAAGAGATAACAGCTGACAATTTTTTTAAAGAAGTTGATTAATTATATCATAATATAGCTATTGTTATATAGAAAGAATAAAAAAAAGGAAATAAAGATTAATAATTTACAGCCTTAAGAATTCTAACAAGAAACACTTTGATATTAAGGCCAAGTGGAGATTTGTAATTAATATATTATAAATAGAATTAAATTACCTAAAATATCCAATGATATTTATAATTTTAATCATACTAAAATTTACATTTCTACCAGAATTCCATTTTGTAATCCAATTTAATGTGAATCAGATTAAACAGTATTTAGATACACAGGATCAATTAATTAATAAACATTTTTACCTGATGGATAAGCAATATTAGAGTGTGAAGGAGTTTTTTAATTTAAATGTAAATTTATAGATGGAATGGCAACAGGAAAAGGATCTTTAGATTTAAAAATCTAAAAACAAAAATTTGAAGGTAATTTTTAGAATGGACTTAAACATGGTGAATCAGTAACTACTAATCCTAATTAAACTATTACTATAGGATATTATTAGAATAATATGAAATAAGGAGTATTCATAACTAAAAAATAAAATGGATCATAAATATAAGAACTCTATTATAAAAATGATTAAATAGTGAAAAAGTATGAATACAAATTTGATGAAAATATGATTTCTTCTAGGTATTTAGTTAATCATAAAGATATTTCAATAAATAATCACTTTTTTTCTGGATTGACTGAAGAGAAATGGGTAAATTAATTATTAGTTGACTATTATCTAAGTATCCTATCTGATTATTATAAAAATGTCTCAAAAGCATAGATATATCTATTTAATACAGCATAATCATAAGATTTATTTACAAGTTAAATCAGTTTACAAGATCATAAAAGTCTAAAAATACAATAAAAGTATGAATAAATAATTAATGAATACTAAAAATATAACAAAATAGTATTTATTTTGAATGCTGATTAAGTACATTTTTTAGTTGTTGTATACTAAAATAAATCATTGTTTATGCTAAATTCTTATGCAACCTAAAATGATTAAAAAATATTATCTGCTGTAGCCTCAATATTCCCTATTTAACTCAATTTATAATAAATTTAAGTTGAATAGTAATAGAATACTTATGATTGCTCATTGTATTCAATTTATAATGTAATGCTGTAATATAAGTATTATAATGTGGATGTTGATAAGATTGATTATAGAGTCTCATTCAAGTACATTAAAAAATTAAGATTACATCTAAAAAATATCATAAGCAATGATTATGCTCACATAATCCTTCATTAAGATTGAATTGTAATTTTAATAATTTTATTATTATTGATAAATAATAATTAAATTACACATATAATTTTATCAAAAATCATTAGGATTTGGTCTCTATTCATGACCAGAATATCTTTTTTTAATATCATCTATTATAATATATTTAATAGAATTTACTTCTTTTTTTTAATCTATCTTCTAATGCATTCTTTTGATTATCAAGATCTTTTTGCATAAGTTCATCAAATTGAGCAACATGATCATCATAATCTTATAAGATCTACTATGCCTTATCATATTCCTTCTCTAATCTATCATGCATTGTTAAAAAAGTAGCTAAAGAGTTTCTGACTTAAGGTTTATTCATATTCATATATGCTTCCATTTCTTCTACATTTGATTACTTACAATATGATTGTTAACTTTTTTCTAACATTTATTACAATTAGATATCATCACTTTTTTAAATACATTATCTAACTTATGGTTATTCTAATAAACTATTAATTTTATCCTTAAAATAAATCATCAATCCATCTTAACCTTATAGTTATTCAATAATAATAAGATAGCTATCAATTAAGGTTCGTATTAATTCAATATTTGGATTATGTAATAGAGATTGTTTTGGCTCTAATGATAATAAAGATATATAAAATTCTGGAGGTAAGACTTATTTATTTTGATTAATTTGTTAGTGTTCTTTTTTCATTTCTGTAAAATAGTTCATAGCAGCTCTACTATTAACTTAATTCTATTTTTATTTAGGAAATATCAACAGACGAGGAGATTTTTATTCAACTTATAGTTTCCTTTAATTCATGTAATTGTTCATTTATTTTTATTTTAATAATTATTGTAATTTTATGAAAATGAGAATAATACTATCTTTAAGTTTAATATTATACTATATTATGATATAATATTAGATGCTTACTTCTAATTCTCTTGACAATATTATAAAAAAGATATTTAAAATTTTAATATTAATGTTTCAATCATTTGCCTACTCTTAGATTGTCCCAATGACGTTTATATTTTTTATTATGCAATTCAGTCATAGTTTGATGAAATCTTTCTCTTCTTTAACTGTTGTATTCCATTAAATCGAGATTTTAAGCATGTTTTTAATTGATTTCTTGAATGGATTCCACTCTTGTTACAGTATCCTTTTTTTCCATAGCCTTCAATAATTCAGTGGCTAAATTCGAGTTTTTTTATTTTCCTTTTTCGAAACTAGGAATAAATTATGCTTTTTCATTAAATTTATCGTATTTTGTGATCATTCTTTCTATTTTTGCTTCTTAAAACATTAAGTAATTGACCTTTCTCGTTTTGACTTCCTCGTCTTTAGGCTTGTAGACTACTCAAATGCAAATATATTACACGTATTTCCAGACATTGAGAGATTCTAACTATTCCAAAATCCATCATTATATTTAGTTTTTAAGTGTTGGACTTATCTAAAATCTAAAGATGGTAATGAATGATGTGATCTGAATTAAGAATTCCCATAATTATAAATCTTCTAACTAACTTTTTCAACTTCCTTTTATATAAATTTTGGTTGGTTGCTAAATCTTTGATTCAAAAACACTTAAATTTTTCCAGGCGAATTCATTCTCTATTCCATAAGATCTATGTATCCTCCAAATTATTCCTTGCCAATATTTTACCTCTTTAATAGATCACCAGAATTATCTAAATATTATTATTAAATTAATATACCTCGTTATTGTTCTAATTTCAGAATCTTTTAGTTCTTCTTTAAAACCTCTTTTAATTACTCTTATAATTCAACTCCCCTTTTTGTAACTGTGATTCGTTGGCAAGACATATATAATTAATTAAATTAATGTTTTCTAAATTTAAGTATAAATAATAATAAAATCATTTCCAATCAAAATAAAATATACCTTATTAACTTAAATTCACTCGTTAATTAATGAAAAATTTCTGAAGAATCCATTTTTTAGGAAGTCTTAAGTCTAAAATAAAAACTCTAAAGTAAACTCAAAAATAGCAATATTCCTTTATTATGAGAAGTTAATTCTATCATAAGATATTAAGATTTATAGAATTGTTTATTTAAATATTAACATTGTTTCTATAAACAAAATATAAATTATTATATATATAATATTTTTTGATATTCATATTAAATCATACACATCTATTTTATTGTTATTATTATTATTATTATTATTATTATTATTATTATTATTATTATTATTATTATTATTATTATTATTATTATTAGATACAGGTTCTTCAAAATTTAATAGATCAAAATCTTATTTAGGTTATTATTATTATTATTGAATTTAATCATCCTTTTTGATTTCTTATTCTTTTGAAGGTACCTCTTATTTCTCATCTGCCTTATATATTTTTACTTCTTGTTGATTACTTAAATATAAAATATTATTATTACTTATTCCTGACTTTAATATTTTTATATAATTAATTTGGTAACTTATGAAATAGATTACTAATACTACCCATATTTTCTAAAGCAGTAATCAAATCTTTAGTTTCCCATAGACGTATGTCTTTTTAAAATTGAGAAGATCCTACAGCAACATAACAAATTAAGTTCTTCACAATTTCTGGATCAGTAGACAATAATCTCCAATAAATGTATGTTCTATCTCTAACATCAGGATTAAAAGAATCTTTTGCAGAATTTATAAGTTATTAAATTAATGCTGAACATAATGAAGGATATTTAATATAAAGTTTAACTCCTGATGTTAATATTTAAAGTTAAACTAATCGATCTTCCAATATAAAATTATCAACATATTCCCCCATCTTTTCAACTGATTTAGGAATGAATTCTGCAAACTCACCAATAATCCAAGCACAAGCACTCTAATATTGTTAAGAAAATAGAAAAATACTTTTGCTTCTGGTTCATTAGCATAGTCAATAATACTGAATAATATTTTAAGACTATCATTAGTTTTATATAAATTTCGATTTTTTCTGTAGATAATTTACATTTGAATGAATAATTCTTAGACAGCTTCATTGGTTTATTAAACATTTTTAGCAAATTCTACTAAGATTGAAACAGCTCTAACTAATTAAGTTATTATTACTCAGCAAGTGCTTTATCATACATAACAGCAATTTTACCAATTGATTTAATTGTTTTTCTTACAAAATGAGGATCTGCTTCATTAATATATATCATTAATTCATTTAAAACTTAATGAAAATTTTTAGAATCACAAATTCTTACCATAATATCTAATTTTTCATATTTTATATAATATGGTTCATTAAATGAACAAAAAAATACTTTGACTTCATTTTCAAAAAGAATAGGAAATTTTTGTAATATCAATGAGATATTTCTAAGAATGGTATATTAAATTTCAGGTTGATTCCAAGAAAGCAAAGATATAAGTGAAGGAGATATCTTTTTACAAAGATTCTTGACTAAATCTCCATTATTAAGATAATCTAAATATTTAAGTATTAGTTTAACAGCACAAAATGTAACAGTAGGATTGATATGACTCAATCTAGGCAATGTTCTTTCAATTATTATTTCAGCTTATTTAGAATCAACAGGATCATAAGTAGCCAAATAATCAAGAATGAATATCTAACCCCATTCCATACATTCATCAATAGCTAATAACAATTTTTGTATAATTTTAGGATTTAGTACAATTAATTGTTTACCATTAACAACTTCAATTTCTCTCATGGACTAAATTAAATTTGCCAAAACCAATGCATTTGATTCCTTTTCTAATAATTTCTATAATTATTCTAATAAAGCTGGACATAATTCAGGTGATACTTCAAATACCTAATAAAAATGAAAGAAAATTACTTTAGGAACACATAAAACAGCAGTTTTGCGCACATAAGGATCATCATCTTAAACACAATCTTTCAGTGGTTCAATCAAATATTCATTCAATTTTGGAACTCTTAAACAACCAAATGTTCTTATAGCCAATGCTCTTACCAATGGATTTTCTGATTTACGTACATCTTTCCTAAAATTTTGAATCACCATAATGGCATCATCAGGTTTTTAACGAGAATAATTCACAATGTATAAGTAAATCTATTAAATATTATCCAATATTATTACCAACTTTTTCATTTCTATATCTTAAAATTCAAGACACTTAATAACTGATTAAAATAATTGTGACACATCTTTTCCTACTGTCATATAAGCAATAACTTTCTTAATAGCCTTAATATCACATTAATTAATGTAATACTTCTTTCTTTTTCTCAAAATTTAAATCATTCAAATCAGCATACAACTCTTATAATTCTCCACGCTATTGATTATTTCCAAAATAAGCCATATAAAATTTTATATATAAATTTCATAAGTAATTCAATTATTTTTATTTTAATCCTATAACTAATTCTCTAACTCTCCTTCTTTACATATTAGTATTACTTATTTCATTTCAGACTCAGTTTCTTAATAATCTAATTTGATTCAACTAGTATAGATTCTATTTCCTTTTATTCTACTATTTTGGATTTCATTTCCACTTTAATATCTATAAATATTACATTCCAGTTCTAATACTTTATTATTAATTCATTATTTAAATTTCTTCTTTATTAGAATAAAAAATAAAATTGATATCTGAATTGATAAACATAAAAATATTTGGATTTAAAATATGTCTAAATATAGGATAATATATATTTCAAGAATTATCCTTTGAATCAACTATCTTTTAAGATGTTAAATCTTAATTTAACATATTAATATCAAGCGATAATATTTTTATATTATATTTCAAACTCATTCATCAAATTTTAAACATCCTAATATGTTAAACTCTAATCCAAAACTCTTTGTTCAGACTCTTCAATTAATTCACCTACTTTTAATAATTATGGAACACTTAGATTAATATTTTTATATTATTGTTTAACTTCATTTATTCTTCTTTCACATTAATATCTAAGATCATGAGTCTAATAATAATATATAAATATTACTAGTTAAACATTACTATCATCTAATTCTAATTGATCTTCTATTTCAATCATTTCTATAAGTCCAATTCTCTAATCTTATATTGGTAAGGCTATTTAATTATCTGCAGTCATTTAAACCACTCCATAATCATCATAATAAAACATAATTATTTTTGTATTAGTAATGTAATAAGTTTTAATCAATGATTAACATCCAATAGGTGGAGGATCATAAAATAGAGATATTTCATAAGATTTAAATTAGTCCAATTATTTTGTTAAGCAATGACTAAATTTTTGACATTCACCATTAAGGACGAAATACTCTCTTAAATTGATTTAATGCATTTAATTATTAGTCTAATCTTAAGTTTTGATTCCTATAAAAATAGGATAATGTTCATATAAATTTAAATAATGATGAGTCGATTATTCTTTTTTTAATTATTCCTTTCTTTAAGTAATTAATGTATTAGAAACTGCACATCCTTGACATATAGCTTCAGTTGCATGTATTGTACTTTAAATTTATTTACCTTCAAAAATAGTTTTAATGCATTATTATATAATTGGAATTCTAGAACCTCCTCCTAAAGTAACTATTAAATTAAATTAATAATTTTATGTCTAATGATAGAGATTAAATAGTAAATTTTAAATTGATTCTAAAACTGGTTATATTATTGTCTCATATTATTCCCTTTAATAATTATATATATTATGTACCTTGTTAAATTATATGTAAAATCTACATCTGGAATAAGTTGTTCAATATCAATATGAGTATCTTTATTTGCACTTAAACGTTTCCTAATATTTTCACAAGTATCCAACAATCTTAAATAATATTTACTTTATTTATCTATTGTGATCTTTGCCTTATTTATAATCCATTCAGCTAAATAATTGTCCATTTAGAATGTTCCTAGATTTCTATCAAAAACCTCACATATAACTTATTCTTATGATAATAAAAATGCTGTGAATTTTGAATGTCCAAAATCAATTATCATCATTTCTTTTTGTAGAACATTATTTTAACAATAATTAACATAAGTACTTATTGCCATATTTTCTGGAATTGCTGCCAACACTTTTATTTTACTAATTTAAATTGCTCTCCATAACCTGATCAAATCGAATTGAGTATAAAAATCAGGATAAGAGATAACAATTGTTCTATTACAATTTCGCAATAATTTTCTAAGAAAAGCTCCTATCTATTATTCAGGTTCCATTTTAATTGATTTCCCTTTATATTAAAATGTATGGGGCTTTTGGAAACCTCTTACTGAATTTAATATATTAGATCTATAAGAATGTGCAGCAGTATTTCCAAAGAATCTCTCATGTGTCTAAAAAACTATGACATTTTCTGTTTCTCTTTAACCTTCATTTAGTACCACATCAGCTGAGAATAATTGGCATTTAGCAAGTAGTGTATATCTACCACCTAAATCTACTCCATAACCTAAATATTCTTCTTACATTAATATGTTTAATAATATTGATTCAGATTAAGAACTTATGTTTCATATTCTTATTCTTTATGTTGATCTAGAAAAAAAGTTTAATAAAAATTACCATATTCATTCCAAATTTAATTGTGATTGTTCAATATATCATCACCAAACAAATGATTGACAATCAATTAAAAAGAATTTAATTTATGATGAATTCTATGATCAACTTAGTAATAGATATCTATCAAATGAATAGACTCATATTAAATTCATGAAGAAAGATGGAGGATTGCAATTAATATCATAAATTAAAGACCGTGTTGAATTTTTAAGTCTTTCTATTAAAATAATGTAGCCAACAATTATGGCAAGACCTTAAAACTAAGAGTAATGGATATTTTATTCTTTCATTAAAAAGAACCTTTTGTATTGATTTATCATAACAGGTCTTAAGATTATTCGAGATAAACATTTATTAACTAATTTATAAGAATTATGCTAGTTTTTGTTAAAAAGAAGAACAGAATATTTATAGAATTAAATATAGCTAAAGAGAAAAGTGAGAATAAGGATTTCATTAATTAAAAAATTTGATTAAAAGAGAGCTCAAATTTGATAAGGGATTAAGAAATATGTTTAGAATATTGAATTCTAGAAAGATTTTATTTTCGTTAAATTAAAAAATGGTGGAGAATAGATAGATTCAATATGGGATATAATAGTAATGATTTATGCATACCCTTTCGATTTTCATGGAAAACTTATTTTTAAAGCTAAATAGAATCAAAAAAAGTTTATATCCTTCATTAATCTTAATTATAATAATAAGTTTTAAGAGAAATTCAAAAAAAGGTAAATTATAAAGAGATGGTTAAGTAGTAGTCAATCATTAGAGATAAAAATATTTAAAATAAGCTTTTGATGAGGTAATAGGTTATTTCAGAGAAGAATATAGTAATGCTATTGATAAATATGAATCAGACCATATAAAATTAACCAGACATAGATAAAACTAATGAAATCTTTAATAAAATCAATCCTAAAAAAGATTTAAAATTTTCAAAATGTTAGCTATTAAGAAACCTGATGAGATTATAAAATAGAACTATTTATTGTGTAATTTCCCAATAAATTAGGCAAGACTTTTAAGACTATAGAAATATAATAGATAATATAAATAATTAGTTGAGAGTAGCAAAGTGAAATATAAAAAATAATTGAGATTAAAGTGCTAGTAAATTATCAATAGTTGATTTGAGATTATCAAAATATGGTTTTACTACTAAATGAAAATTTATTAACTTTATATATAATATGAAGTAATCAAAATTGAAGCAATTCATTAAGAATATAGTTTTAAATTTCTCTTAATTCTCTTTATAATGCAGATAAATTTGATTTAGTTTCTGTTTTAAACTATGCTATGACTTGTAACATTTATAATTTTATTATTCTTATTTTAATCTGTTGTTTTTGTTCTTCTGTGATCTCAGTTTTCTACAATGTTTCATATAATGAATTTTCAGTTTCTTGAATTTAACTTATGGTGTTAGTTAATTTTTATGTAATTGTATTCAAAGTTGTAGTATTATTAAGTTCATAGTATTATATAAATGTAGGTATTTAAATATTCTTATTTTCTTTCTCTTAATCATTAGGATAATATTTGGTTTCGTAGTTTTCAGACAAATGCGAAACCGTACTATTGTTTGAATTCATCTAACAGATAATTAAGATATTCTGAATGTATATAATTAAAATTAAATGATTCATTTAACTAGAGGATTGAAGAATCAACTCAGACAAGTCACAATTTAAACATTTGCAAATTCTACTAAAGTACCCAATCCTTTTGCACATCATGATGATCATGGAGATCATGGAGATCATGGTGATCATGGAGATCATGGTCATGGACATGGAGATCATGGTCATGGAGTACCTCATGGAAGAGGCAGACCCAAGGTTGAATATAATACAATTACTCAACATTTGGATCATAAGAATTTATATACTTATTTTGAGTGTAATCATTCATTATTGAATCTTAGAGGGTCCTGGTTATATGTATTATCCAGGTGTCAATTATAATGAAGCTCATGGTAAGCCCTATGATTGGAGAGATGATCCAAAATACAATCCAGACTATATTATTCCAACTAAACATGTTGGATGTCCAGATCCAAAAACATACGTATGGCCATTCGAAGGAAAACTTGTTCATTTCAATCCATCTGAAGCCTTACCTTAAGATCATCTATACAATCCATCACTTCTATTAAAACCAGAAAACAAATAAGTGGGACAACCAATCTAACATTTGACTGCAGCCTAATAAGATTAAGATGCTGATGTTAATCATGAATTTGATTATGAATCTGAAGATTGTGATTTCTAAACTGAGAGCTTCAGAACATAGCATTTCAGAAAAAGAGGACCAATGTGGCCATGGGCTTTAATAGCTACTATGCCATTTGTATATTTCTGTAATATTATCTTATCTATTCTTTTTAGGGGCTGAATTTCTTTACTAAAGATATCCAGATGAAGATCATTGGAGAATTACTCATCCACCCCCTCTCAACTTCCCTGATAGCGAAGTAATTCTTATTATATTTATATCTAGGATACTGATGATACTGATACTTATTAAGATTATCACACTCCAGGAGGTAGATTCTTGAGAGATATTGGTATTATTGGAGATTTGTGGTTTGACATTAAGGACGGTAAGAAGGTAATGAATAAATGGTCTGGATGCAATCAACCACTTCCAGATATTTGAATAATACAAAATAAATTATCACAAAATTATTAAATTAACTTAAGATTTCATTTTGAAATATTTCATTCACTTCTTATCTCTCTATCTTTTCATTATTTTATTTAATTTTTAAGTCTATAATTATTTTTAATTAATTATAATAAAAAATCTTAAATGGTGTTTATTATTTTATTATTGTTTATAGATTTTTATTTTAATCTCTTTTATTCCTGTTAATTAAGCTTAATTCTATTTGGATTTAATATTTGATTAAATATAAAATGTATAAAGTATTTTAATTAGAAAATACTCTTCTAATAAATTTAAGAAATATAAATTTATCATTTTCTATTTTCATTTTAAATCTTAAAATCTATACAAATTTTAATTATCTGCATTTTATCTCTAAGTTGAAATGTTTCTATATACAATGAACTCCCATTATTGATAATTTTATTTATGTAGAGGTTGGATAGCATTCTTAAATGAGGAAGTATATTAATGTATAAAAACGGTATTTATATAAATATTATTATTATTGAAAAAGAATGAAAAGTATATCAGGAGTGTTAGTCATTCTCCTTTTGAGTTAGAGTGTATTTTGCAGCCCCAAAAAGATCAATACAGACTTTTTGAATTTACTTAGTTCTAAAACAAATGTCTTAAGTTCATAAGATGCCATTCAATCAGTGCTTACTTTGCTTGAAGATCTGTAGGGTGCTAATGTTGAAGCTCAAGATAAGGCAGACCTTACCTTCTAACGCTTTGAATCAGCCATTTTAAAGGATATCAATGAGTTCTCAGGAATTGTTAATGTTAATTCAAAGAGTGCTGCTGCAGCCTAATAAGACTTAGAAGCTGTTGAGTATTTATATATCTTAAATAACTTTAAGTCTTAAGATCCAATAAACAACTGATTACTTGAATTGGAATAACAAGCGATATAAGGCAAATGAAGTTAAACTTGAAAATCTAGCTGAATAACGATGTGAAGCTAATGCTCTTTTCATTGATACACTTAGAGAATATAAAAATGCTCTTTCAGTTCTTGATTGGGTCAGAAGTGATGCTCAAAGCAAATAAAGTACTTTTGTAGAAAAGAATCATATTGGAGATTATGCAGAAAAATTGAGTAAGTATGCAAACTTGTTTGAAGAGCAAGCTGTTTAAGATTTTGTTAAATTAGGTGAAGAATAAAATTCATTTGCATAAACAAGTAATTTTCAATTTATTATTTTAAGGATCCCATGGTAATGGAGAATAATTGGCTTCATTAGTAGAAAAAGATGTAGTTGGAATCATTCAATAATTAATTGAAAAGTTGAGAGAAACAATTAAAAGTTTAGAAGAATAAGAAATCTTATCTGCCAATGATTTTGCTGATTTCAAAACAAACTTACTTGCTGAATAAGAATCTCTTAAATAAGAATATGATGCTAAGGCTAAATTCTTGAACTCACTTTAAAATGATAAGGAATTGGCTTCAGATATATTAACTAAGAAAAAGGAATTATAAGAATAAAGCATGAGAATCTTAAGTTTGACATAAGGTAATAATTAATTAACATTCTTTTTTAGAGGAATACAATTACAAAAAGAAATTGTACAATTCTGAAAAAGAGAAGAGACATGAAGAGAATTAATTATTAGAGGAATCTCTTTTAATTTATAGAGAAAAGATAGCAACAGTTAATGAATATTTGAAAAAGAGAGTTAATGAATATGTAGGTGAATCCCTTATTGAAGAACATGCAGTTAGTAATCAAGCACCAGTTCAAAATAGAAAGGGAAAATAATGAAAAACCAACAAACATTAAAATTATTATTATCTAAAAAGTTTCTTCATATAAAGCTAAATTATTTAGATTACATATCTAGATCTTCATTAATTACTATAAAAAGCTAATTTTTATTTATATTAATAAATTCTATTTGTATTATCTTTAATTTAAAAAATTATTATGAATAATCTAATTATTCATGAATTTATAATATTATTTATTAAATAATTCATCTATCATTTCTTCATAATACTATTTTACCATATAATTGAAACTAAATAAATAAAGATAAAAATCTTAATTAAAAGAATACCTAAGAAAGAATCTTATTTTATAGGAAATCATTTTTTTTTCATAATTAATAATTCTAAGTTTTTTATTTCTCAATATTTATAGAATCTAAACTTATAACATTTTGAAAACAAATAAATTGATTAGAATTTATTCTATTATGAAACAATTTAAGATTATTTAAAGTATTTTTAATAATTTTAGATAAAATCTATGAGTTATACTATTTTATTGATGTAAAATAAGATTGTAATAATAATAAGAATATTGAAAATATATTTCAAATCTTTAGTCTATAGTATAAGAGAGATAGATGAGAATCTTAATAAGATAATTGAAAATTTAAAATATAATATATAATATATAAATGAGCAATTAATTTATATCCAGTTGGGTAGATAAATACATAAATATTTATTGTACTACGTTTTTATAATGATATCAATAAAAGAAACCAAGGATTTTACCTCCAATATGTCTTTATCTGGCTTCTTCATGTGTAAGGATTCCAACATTGGTTGTAAGGACGACACAACCAAATTGTCTAGCAGGTAGAATGTTGTTTGCCCATCTTTCAAATTCTCCTAATGTAACATCATATCTAGGAGAGATTACACCACATTTATTAATGCGTCCTAAAATTTAATGATTATTGGATACCCAATAATTCAACAACAATCTTGCCACTTCTATGATCATCAACGATTTCGAATTCACCAATGTAGCCATGTCTTTGCATAACTTATAAGAACTTCACAACTAATTTGGATGTGGGTCTAATAAGCACTTGCTTTCTTCCTTGTCTTAAATAGTTAGGACAACAAGTACAACCTTTCAGCGTTCACAATAGAACGGAGGCAATCATTGAGGACATTCATTTTCACCATTGGTCAATAAATATTTTTTTTAATTATTTTTAAATCTTATTTAATATGCTAACTTATTATTTTAATATGTTATAAAATGTTCAATCAACCACGGCCCTTCGAAAGACTTGCATTATGGATAAAATAATTACTCTGGGTCTTATTTAAGTACTTTCTTTGCCTACTTCAATGCCTTCAAAGTTTTTTAGAGTTATTATCTTTCCTATAGGATGTAGACAGGCTAGAATTAATAAATAGGAATGCATTTACTTCTTCTAACATTTAGAAAACATTATCACTTTTATTCATTTGATCATATAAAACCAATTGCATTTTGTCCAAAGTTTATTTCACTAGATAATACCCAATATACTAAAATTATTAAAAGAGTATTTACTTTTGGAATGCTATCTCTAAGATTTCTAATTAAGATTTTGTAATAGAGATCAACTCTATTTCTGAGTTCTCTAACTAAGATCTTTTTTGGATCAATTGTCTTAGAGTTTTATTTAAATACAAGATCTGCTTTTGTAGTTAAGTATTCTTCATCATTTGTATAGATGTAATTCATTTCTGCTTCAATTTAATTGATCACAACTTATTCAGCTTTGGCTCTTTGAGACTCTATGACTTTGCGACTCATTTCTGAGATTTCATCTAGTACTGAAGGGAATCTAGTGAATACCTAAATAAAAAAAGAATTGAATACTTTTCTTAATATTTGTTAACTGATTTCATCCATATATTAAAATATCTGATCTAAAACATCTTAAGCAGGTCTAATGAGTGCTTAAACTTAAGGAACAATTAAATAAAGAAAACTATCAAAAGATGGAAATCCAGGAATGCTATCACCTTAATGTAATTGATCAGCCAATTCAATATCTTTATCTAAATAACAATCAGTAACATGATATTTTTCATCTGCAAATTCTTAATATAATTCGTTAAACATTTATTTAATTTTAGCTCCTCCTGTAAGTTCAATTTTCTTTTCTTCATCAGTAATAGTAGCTTCATTTTTATCATATTTTCCATCCATTGTATTTTTAAATCCATCTGTATAATCTTGAAGTAAATTAAAAACTAATTAGACTTTATCTTTTTAATCTCTTGGTAATTCAGTACCAAGTAATTTGAGTTTATCTTCACATTCATCACTTTTAGTATCAATTTCTTTGATAATATCTGGTAAACATTTTCTAATATGTTGATATAAGACAGTCGTCAATTTTTCAATTAATGCTCTAGTTCCTAATATATCTTAAGGAATTCCTGCATATCGAGGATCATTTTAAAAATAATCCTCTTCTTAACGAAGTGCTTTTTAGACAGGAACTTTGTTAATAATATCTTATTAGCTTCTATTTTTGACTCCAATATAACCTAATCGCAATTTGACTTCCTCATTCAACAATACTTTGGATGCATCTGAACCCTCTCCCATAATATCAATTTTAGTAATCACACCAATAGTTCTGATACCATCTGGATCAAGTTGACGAGCTAATTTCAAAGATCTCTATGTAGTTATATCTTAACTTGCAGGCATTACACATAGAATGATGGTTCGTTCATCTTCACAATATCTATAGTTTCATAAATTAAAAATACCTTTTGCACATATTTAATGTAATTTCTTCAATATTGTCAGGTTGATCAGAATCTCTTAATGGTATTAAAGTGATTCCTGGTAAATCTATAATTGTAAGATCTGGACAATCAGGTGACCAAATTGTCAATTCGATAGGATCAGGTAATATATCTATATTCTAAAAATGATTATACTCTTTCTTTATCCAGCCTTTGCATCTGTTAATCTATCAATTTCTTCACGAACTTTAGTAAAATCTGTAAACTTTTTTTCTGGTACTTCTTTGAAGATTGCCCAAGGTGATAATCTTTCTTGAATATGTACAAGACGCAATTCCAAAGGTCTACGAGTTACAACACCCTTTTTTTGAATAGCAATTAATCAATTACATCACCCCTAGGTAAGAAATCCAATCCACAAATATTTTCCAATAAACTACTCTTTCCTGCACTCTACATTCCAACAACACATATTCTTGGTAATTTAATGTAATCTTAAACACCACAATCTCTTAGATCATCAATCAGAGTGACCATCTTTCTCATATTATCCCATAATCCAGATTTCATCGTAATAATGAATTAATTAAAAAAAAAATCAATTTTTCAATTCCTTTTACTCCATCACAGCTTTAAATAGATTCATCTTATATGCATCCCATTTTTTAACTTTCTTTGCTTCTTCCATATCAAATATATGATCAAATTCTGGTTTTCTCTTTATTCCATCAATCAAATGTTGTTTCAATGGTTAACTAACTAAATGAAATAATCCCTTATCTAATTTATACACTTCTGTTTTTGCTGCATCACTAATCACTGTTAATCTACTTTTTTCTGATAAATCATATTTCATTTCCATTATATCTTCATCAAATAATTTATATTCATTTAATAACACTCTACCCATAAAAAAGTCACCTCTAACAAATTCTCTATAAAGAAAATGATATTTGAATGCCATATACTCTTTATTCTTGTATATTTCTTAATATTAAAAAGATTAAGGTATCCCTAATCCAGGAACACTCTCTAAATCTAATGATGTATTCTTCACTCTCATTTTCTTGTCTTCTCTTACTTAAGCGTCTCTAATATTGATATTTTATTACAATTAATTAAACCACATTTCAATGGCTTCTTTTTATTTGGATCATCAGCTCTCATTACTTTCAAATCTCTAATAAACACTTCCTCTTTCACACACTTACATCTACCACTTGCAACAATATAAAAGTATTTCTATGGCTCACCTTCCTTTAAAATTACTTAACCCAATCTATAAGTTTCACTTTCCAATAGATTAGCTATAGGTATTAATTCCATTTAAGATAGAAACTATTATATAATAAATTGTAATAATACATCAAAACAAGGCATTGTTAATAAAGTCTTTAATTTATCTTCAAGTTCTGAAGTAATGACATTCAAAATAATACTTTTGAAGTAATCTCTTGATATTGCTAATAAATATGTATCTACAGCACATTCAATAGATGCACTTCTCTTTGGTTAGATTTTAACCTATTCTTATTTCTCATCCTCATTGTAATCTTTCTTCCACCAATTTTTAGCCTTTTCCTTCTGTTATTCTTATCTCTACATCTCATCTCTTATTTTATTTAATGTATATTTGCTATTAGAATGTAATTAATTTTGATCAGGTCTATTAATTTTAGTATTTGGATCAATCAAAGCCAATTCACCAAATTATTATCCAGTATAAAGTGTACTTACAATTGGATTACATTCAGCCACATGAGGATTCTTAATTCTTACATGACAACCACCATTAAGAATTATATACATTTATTCTCCCACATCACCTTCATAAAAGATATATTCACCACACTTATAAAATACTAGAGAACTCAATTTTAATAATAAAACTCTTGTTTATTTACTAAATTACCAAAAGAATTTTAAATTCTTACAAATACCATCCAATACTTAAATTATATTATATATTAATTACATTCATAATTTCTATCATCTACTGATTTCTTTAATTCTCTTAATACTAAATTAATTTCATCTAATGAAAAATGATCTCCAACCTTTAAAAATGGTGCTGGTTTATCTATCTTATTTCTCTAAGCATCTTCATATAATTTATTATCTTCTTTAACCATTTATTCAAATTTTTATTAAGTCTCCTTTAATTATTATTCAAATGATCGATTTATTGGATCAACTTTACCAAAAAAGTTTTATTATTCAACTAAAGGTTTATTAAATATTTATATCTCATCATCTAACATTTCAAAACTTTCTTCCTTTCCTAAATCACCATCATCTTCTAATTCACTTAATAATGAATTATGTTAATCAAATTTATCTAATAATACTTCTCTTTTTGCAATTGCTCTCTTTTTTTCTGCCTATGCTTATTTCATTTCTAAATATGGTCTTAAATCATCTAAAAATTGCTTTCTTTTTTTCTTTATATATTCTTTCTCTTTCTATGTTAATACATTTGATTCTAAATCTAAATGAGTTAATGATTTCTCTAATTCATGTACTGATTCCTCTTTAGGTTTATTGGCTGTATTTGCTTATATTACTACTTTTTATGCCAAATCTTTCCAACAATCACCTAAATTATTGTCTCTTTTATAATTTGTTGTCTTTGGTCTATTTTCAGGTAATAATTTTCTTTTCTTTATTTATTATGATTAAACTGGTCTATTTGATATTGTTTTCTCAATTAATTCTCTCTATCTTTCCAATTTTGATGATTAATTACGAGCTAATTATTGATAATTTACTAATCTATTTGATGATTTTAATCTTTCCATATGTTTATGAACATGGGGATTCACTGTAAATTCATCAAAATCATTCTAATATATTTAATTTTCCATTTTTTACAATATACTCAGGAAATTTATTTTATATCACAAATTGCCCTACTGTCGGTTCCATCTTAATTGTTTATGGAACTCGTTAAATCAATTATCTGAAATCTTAAATTGCTTTTGGTTTTCTTTAAGCACCTTCAGGAGCTGTTGTAGCTCTAATTTCAAATTCAGGTTCTTAAGTTTGCTTAGATTGTTAAACATCCTCATCATGAATTGATTAAAACTATATTGGTGGAGGTTCTTGAAAAAAGGGATATTCCAATTATGGAACCTTTTTTATAGGTCTTGCTATAGGTTGTGCACTTAATGGAAGTCCTTAAACATTAATTATGTTATCTTACCTTTAATTAACTTAGCTGAATAATATGCAGATGTTATTCTATTTTATTATTTCAACTATGGATAAACTAGATTAACAGTGGCAGCTGATTCATGTTTCTATATTGATTTAGTTTATGTTTCCTATTACCCAAGTTATTTCTTATTATTTAATAGTGTTTTCATAAGAGTGTAAAATATTTAATAATTAATATTTTTGTTATATAATTATTTCAAAGTTTTAATGATTTTGATTTTTCGAGAATCTGACGCATTTAAGTTATAGCATTAATGATATCAGTTAATTGAGCTTAGTTTTCTTTTAGCATTCCCTTTAATAATTAAGTTTATACAGTTCTTATCTCTGCAACCATTTTAACATCTTCAAGATCCTCTTTTTATTTTAATTTTAAATCTGAGAATTCCATTTACTTCTATTTTTCAATTTTTACCTTATTAATATTATTCATCAATTCCTATATTAATAAATTATATTATTCTAATTTTGACTCCATTAATTTATTTTGTTCTTCTAATACTTTAATTTATTAAGCACTAGAAGTACCACTTTGAGATTTTAAATCTCTAAATTATTTTGATAATCTTTAATTTTCTTTGGTTAATTCTTCATTCAATTCAGTTAATAAATCAATTTCATCATTTTTTTATTATATTAATTCATTTTTATTCTTTTCAACTTTCATTTTATCTAATTTCATTTATAATTATTGATTTTATATTTTTAAATCTCTTATATCTTCAGTATTATTTTACTATTATAATTATATTACTTATTTTTAAAGTAATTTTATTTTATTTTCATAATTTTCTTTTAATTCATCAATTTATATTTGATTAGGTTAATTTTATTATTATTTCTTTTCTTCAGCTTATTTCTTAAGATTTTTGATTTATTGTTCATATTTTATTTTGAATTAAGAGATCTCTTCTAAATCATTTTCATAATCACTATCTATAGTTTCAGTTTTTTATATTATTGGATTATATCTTTTTGAATCATCTTCTTTTTATAATTTAGACTTTGATATTTCATTTTTTAATTATTCAATTTATGATTTCAATTATTAATTATCAATTTTCATATCATTTAATTTATTTTTATACATTTCAGAATCATTATTTTATTATTAATTTATAAGTATTTAATTCTCTTTTTATAATTATTTGATTTTATCTCTTAATTAAATAATCTCATCATTCAATTTTTTCATTTCTTAATCTCTTCTATCTATTTGATCTTAAAGTTTCTAATTAATTTCATTTACTTTCTACATATCAGGTTTTATCATAGATTATCTAGCACTTAAATTTAAATTATCTACTTTAATTGAATCTGATCTAGTTGTAATATAAACCTTCTTATAACTTTCAAAATCACAATTTTAAGTTTATTTATAAAGTACACTTAATTAATTAGTTCTAAGTGATCTAAGCATAAACAATTCTGTTTCTTCATGATTGAATTTGTTTTTCTACATCTCTTAATTAGATAATTAACATAAAACAGCCATCTAAGCTAATAAATCCATATAACCATTTGAACCAGACATTAATACAGAACTTATTATAAAAAAGGTAGTTTCAAATAAAAAGAGATTAATACTTAATGTAACTAAATAGCATCTGAGTTTCTATGATAGGAAACTCTTAATAACACTCATATCATTTGTATCTACTTAAAGAGCATCTTTTAATACACCAACAACAATAGCATTTTCATTAAGTAGATCATATTTAGTGTTAGTCTTTGGATATAATTGAGATGGAAGTATATGAGCATATATAGCTGTTAAGAGTATATAAGCAGATGCTTCAGATGCAAAACAAAGAAGAAAATAGGTAATGAGTACTATTTCATGTGAATATCCAATTTGAGGATATAATAATAGAAATGTTCCAGCTACTCTCAAAATAGAAGTTTTGACTATTTCTTTTTGACGTTATGATTCCACGTTTTTCAAAGCAGCCATCATAAAATCTTTGATTGAATAATTTACAAATCCATCAATATCATTTATTACTACTTCTAATTTAGCTTTGAATATATCATAAGCATTAGTATCTTTAGATAGCTTTGCATCATCTAATGCATTAAAGAAATCCTATAATTTACTTTATTAATACATTTTTGGCTTTTGTAGTATCAGTTCCAAATGATTATAACCATTATTATGAAAATGAATCTTTGTTAAAACTTATTTTGTATTATTCTAAGAATTTCTTAAGTGAATCACTTTCCTAATTATTGTAATAGAGATGTTTACGTCTTTGCAAAAATTACATAGACGATGAGCTTTTTTAGATAGACCATCTGCCTTTTATACTTGAGCTTTATTTGGAGCACATTTATCACAAACTGCTCTTTTGCATCTGTCAATCAACAAATATTAATTACCTCTTACATTAATGTTCTTTAACTGACATTGTGAATTTTACTCCACATAATTAACAGTTTTTTAACTTGCCTCTATCATCTTTTATTGTTATCCCATATATAAATATTGGTTATGATTTACTCATTGAAAATAATATTATTACTATTTTTATTTTAAAGTATATAATTAATGATTAAATAAACCTTAAAATATGGTTAGATAGTTAGAATTCATTTAAATGATAAGGATGAAAATGGTATAATAGTTGCTAAAGGGTATTTACATTCTAATTTTTATAGATTTCTTGATCCTAATGCTTATTATATGTAAATTGACGATCTTAGAAAAGCTAATAATTTTAGAGATTCTCTATTTACTATACTTCCAAGAGGTACTTTTGAATTGCATGATGAATATTTAAAAGAAAAAAAAAATTAAACAGTAGATGCCTTGAAAAGTAGAGTATAAACAGAAGCCTCCCAATATTACACAATAATTTAATCAAGAATGCATGAAGAAATTTTATTAGGAGCAGAAGTAGTATTTAAACATGTAGACTCTTAAAGATATTTATTTGGTTCATATGATTGTTCTGAAGTTGCTATGGATGCATTTAAATTGAAATTGTCTCCCCAATTAAGTTCACATACTATATTTAAATTGGCTGCATATTAAACTTATTAAAAGGAAGGTTAAATCATATAAATAGATGAGCCTTTAATTATTGTACATGAAAAAACTCAATGTAAATTAGATTATGAAAGATGTCGTATATTTTTGGATCTTTAGATGTTCGATAATAAAATTAATGGTAAAGCTTCTCAAACAGAATCATTCAATAAAACTTTTAAGAAACCAATTAATACTAGAAATGAAGCTGTAGTCTCCCTTAATAGTGATAGATAATGGAAATTTTAATTACATGAATAAAATGGTAAGATTGTTCCTAATGATCTATGTTTCTTCATTTTCTCATAAGATGGATCATATTTAACATCTGATGGTCGAAGATTAATATTATAAGAATATAAAGATACTGAATATATTCCTCTTGATTGTGTTTGGGAATTATAATTATATGAAAATAAATATGTCATTAGATCTCAACTTTCAGGTTCTGTTATCGATTCAAGTGCTTAACTTTCTTAATATGAAATGTTAGATAATTAACATTTATAAATAGAACCTGCTAAATTAGGAAATAATGAAGTTTCATTTAATATGTTTGTAAAAATTAAATTTGATAACAAAGAGTTACAAAAAGCAAATCTTTTAAGATGTAAAACTAAAAAATTAACAATAACTCAATCTGAAATTGAATAATATTAAAAATAACTTGGTTAAGAAGATGTAGATTATGTTTAATATAATGTTGATTTTTTATAAAGAAATTCTGTTCATGGATTTTAAATTAAAAGACTTAATGATGATTTAAAAAAAGATCTACTTTTAATCACATCATCTCATGAAATTCTTAAATAATTTATAGATTCATTATAATTAGAAGATAGCGTATTAATTGAATCTATTATAAATGAGAAAATTTTAACTTAAGTTCTTAAAGTTATTAAGAAATTGATTGCATACTTATTAAATTGTGAATATATAAATATTGATAAATGTGAAAATTTACCTATTCATTCTAGATAATTATTTATGAAAGATTTAAAATTGGTTGAAATTATTATATAAATAATATTCTACCTTTGGGAAAAACCTAAAACTATGAGTTTATTTTTAAATAAGAATTATGAAAAAGATAAACTTAGATAAATTTGTATATATTCCTATGTCTTAATTGAAAAGATGGCTAGAAACAATTCATCTGTTAAATTATATATATCATAATGGCTAAAATTTTTCTTAATATAAGCTATTGAAATAGAGGATGAAAAAATTCAAATATCATTAGCAGAATTATTGAATGATAATTATTATTCTATTAACAAATTTATAGAAGAAGCAACATTTAAAGGATTAGTAAGCGCTATTAGTAGTAAAAAAAAGGTACATGAAAAACATTTAAGAATATTTAGTTCTATTATTATTTGTGATGGAAAACCTATAATTAAGAATTAAATTGAATTACTTAATAAATTTTTTAAGCCATAAAGTTCTGAAAAAGACAATTATCTTTTTAAGTTCTTATTTAAATAAGATGGTAAAAAAATAAAAGTTCAAAATTTAAATAAAACATGGTTGACTTTAAAGGAATTCTATGATTAAAGTTAAAAATAGGATGATTTATAAACCTGGAATTATTTTTTAGCTTATATCAACTTATTATCAGATATTTGTTAAAATAGAAATTAATAAGGAACAAATTATGTTAATGAGTTTTACTAATTATCAGTTTTATGTTCAATATTAGAAGATCCTGAAACTGAATAAGTTAATGCTATTGATCCATTTCTAAAGTTAATACATTCTGCATTTATTGATTTTTCATAATTTGCTCCTATTAGAAGAATAGCTAGAGTTAGAGAATGGGCTATAATTGAATAAAAGAAAGATATAATAAGAACTAAAACTCCAATTAGTGATGATTAAAAAAGAGTTTTATCCTTTATCTCTCATTATATTACTAAAAACTTCAACTAAAAAGAAAAAGAGAAATAATACTTTAAAACTTTGTATACTGTCCTTTATGTTTTGAAAACTACTATACGTTTAGGATATTAGTAAAAAATTGATGATTTAAAAAATCTATTGGAACCTTTATTTAATATAATTACATTTAAATAAAATCAATCAGAATAAAAAGATTAATTATAAGATAGAAGCTTATAGAATAAAATATCATAAAATCATGATTAATAATCTCATAAAAAGAGATTTATTGAAATAAATACAGAAAATATGATTATATTAAAATGTAAATAAATATCTTGTGAAATATTGGATATAATTATTGATATGGAAACAAATGTTAGAGTTAGTTTAAGTACAATTAAATTAAAAGAAATATTTGAAGAAGAAGATAAAAATATTAATAATTTAATTCTTAAATCTACTAAATAATTAAAAGAAAGTGAAATTTAAAAATAAATGAAAAATAAAATTAGAAGATTAAGTGTGATAGAAGTACATAAAAATAAAGTTGAAATATGGTAAAATTTTTTTTCTAATTTAATATAAAATAGAGATCTTTTTCTTAAGTTCTCTACAGATATTATTTCTAAATTTGCAGAATTATCTAAATATGATAATGAAATACTATAAACTTATTCAATAAAATTATTAAAGAGAATTTATGGATATAGAAGAGAATTGATTGAAAATTTTGATAAAACTATTATTGTAAATAAAGGATTTACACATAAATTATCAGTAGATAGCAGAAAAACCAGAACCAAATTACTTCACTTTAATGATTTCAATATTCTAAATCTTAATCTGAAAAATTAAAGTGAATATAATTTTAATTTATGGGTTGATAAGAAAAATATAAAAGAAGGAGGAGTTATATAAGATTTATGTTGGCTTATTTAATGTTTAAAATAAGGAGATGAAGTATTATATGAGAATGTGAAAGTCAATTATGAAGAATTTTATGCTGAAAATAGATTATAATAAGTGTATACTGAAAAAGAATAAAATTTTAAATTGCATTAAAGTTTAATTAAATGTCAAGACTTACATGAGAATATTTTGGCATTTATAAATATAGCTACTAAACTAGTAAATGAAGTTTCTGACCAATCAGAAAATGAAAATAATAAAGTAATCTAAAAAGAATAATAAAGTAATTCTGATGATAAATTGATCATGAAAACTTTGTATGCATGTTTCTAATTCCTTACAATGTTATTATGGAATCATCATGAAAATAAATAAGATTAAGATTTTATAAGAATCATTCCAAATTTATTTTAATATCTTAAATATAATCTATATTGCATTTAATTTTTAAGAGAACTATTTTAAAATAATAAATCATTATTATTCAATGAATCTAAAATAACTTAAATTATTAATGAAGTTGTTAAACAATGTAATACTTTAAACTTTAATTAGTATTATAAAGCTTAATTAATAGATTTTCTTAGAATATTAACTATTTATAATAATAAATCCATTAAAATTAATTAGAATCTAATAATGGCTGCTTTGTAAAATAGAAATTATGAAAAAATCATGATATTATTTGATAATAATGATTCTTTATTTGATGAAATCGAAAAATTAATTGCTGATTATCAAATTTAATATTTTAAGGTATTAAAACAAAGAAATAATAAGGATGAAATTAAATATATTAATTTAAATCCAAAATTGACATATCTTTTTAATTATTTTTAATTATTAGTATTCCTAATATCAAATAATAATGAAATCAATTTAGGAAAATGTAAATAAATGCATTAACATTTAAAATTAATAACACTATATTAACGAACAGGTTAATGTTGGCCTTTAAAGAGATACTTAAGAGCATATATAAATAGATTATATTATGAAAATAACAAAGATTTTATTGGAATATGTCAAAATCTTATTGAAATTGATTTAGAAAATATTTTGAATGATTTAAAAGATATTTATGAATTAAGAGAATCAGGATGTGATTATTAAAAAATAAAATTGAGTAATCCAACAAGATTCTCATATTTATGTTCATATTTTTATATGACATTGGAAGAAAACTTAGTATCATTAAAATTTATTTTTGATGAAAATTACTTTCTTAATGAATTAGAAGACACTTTGATGTTAAATTTAAAAATAAGTGAACCAGTATTAAAACAACATTCAATATTATTAGAATTTGGTAATATTTTATTAAAAATTGAGCATTTATGGTCTGGATCAGAACTAATTACAAATTTAATTAAAGTACTTATGTTTTAATTTTACTACATTTATAGAACTTTTGATTTACATACATTAATATTAAGAGATGTATTATCTAATCCAAAACCATTTACAGATGTAATATTAGAGACAACCTGGACACATAAGAAGTATTTAAATGGCAAAGAATAATTTATTTAATAAGAATAGATGAAATAAACTTATTAAATTAAATAATAAACAATATTATCTCAAAAATATCAAGAATTGTAATAAAAATGGTCTGAAATATATAGTGATCGATTAGAATCAAATAATATAAATTATTAGGATTAATTGAAAGATATTTTATTAAATGAAGTTTATGATTTTTCCAATATAGATAACTAGATAAAAGTATTAAAATAATAGAATTCTTAAGATATAGAATATAAAAAGACAAAATTAAAAAGAAAATATGAAGAATAAACTAAAATAAATATGAAATTAAATAAAAGATATAGAAATTTAATGGAGATATTTTTGACAAATAAAACAATTAATGAATATTTGGAAGAAGAATTTATTTTATTTTGTACTGGTTTAGATTAAATAAAACATCCAGTTAAATCATCACTTTAACCTCCTATTACTTTAAAGGAATTTATATAAAATATTATTCATTTAAATCTAAATCATTATGACACTTTAAGTTAAGATATTTAAATATTCTTTCTTAAAGCATTAGAAAAGATTATAAGAAAAAGTGAATATGAAAATAATCCAGAATTATAAAATAAAATGGTCAAATAATAATAAAATTTTTTATTAGAATGTGGTGCTGCTGAATTGATTTGTAAATTTCTTAGAATTCCTAATCTTGAATTAAGATAAGCATTAACAAATTCATTAATTTCTTTTGGTAATGCTTTCTTAGAAAGGGGTAATAGAAAATGTTAGAATGAAATTTATAAAAAATTATTAAAAGATTCTAAAAACAATATTTTAATTAATTATAGATAATTAATTAGAAGAGTGAGTAGAGCTGTTTATAATAATTTTAAATTTAGAAAAAACAAACCTTAATATAGTTTTCCAAATATTGAATTATGTGATAATTTTGATTTTTATGATGAAATTACTTAAACAACAACGAGAGTAAATCATATGGAAAATGATGATGTAAGAGAGGATAATATAAAAGAAGATTTTATTAATTTATTAAATAGATCATTTAGATTTCTTTAATTATTGTGTGAAAATAATAATGTATAAATGAAGAATTTTATAAGATAATAAATAGAGCCAGATCTTAATCCAAAAATAGGATCTATTAATTTCATAGAACTTGCAACATCATAATTAAGAGTATTTTGTAAAGCATTTAATTCAAAAATTAGTGAAGTTCCAATATATATTTTGGATTTTATATTAGAAGTAGTTTAAGTACCTTGTTTAGAAAATTAAATAACTTTATGTAAGACAACATTTTTTGAAGATGTTTGTTATTTGGTTTAATAATTAAGTGATAAATAAAATTAAGAATAAAGAGGATTATTAATAGAACAAGAATGTTAAGGTATGTAAGCATTATTTAATATATATAATAAAATCATTATTATTATAATGAGTGTTTTAGAAGGAAATGATGAAAGAATATAAGAAGATTTGCGAAAGAAAATTGATCCAAAATTTTTAATTGAAATAATCAAATAATATCTTTAAAATCATAATCCATAGATATAAAGTAAAGAAGATATGGAAAAAGCATTAGAAGAATAATCATTATAAAAATATGATCTAAAATTGCCCAAATAAAGTGATTAAAATAAAAAAATTTAAAAGAATAATGATAATATAGAAAAAATACTTAATGTTTTGATAATAAAAGAGAAAATTAAATTTTAGAAATTTGATTTAGATGAAAATAGTAATTACATTAAAGAAATTATGAAATTTTTAGAAACTAAAATTTTAAGAATAGAAATAATTTATGAAAATAAACCTTAAACTATTTTATTTCCATCTCGTCCATTATTTACATTTTTATCAGATGAAACTAGAGATATCATTATGTATAATGTTAATAGAGAGACTTAAAGAGATAAAATAAATGGATTGTTAGAATATAGAAAACAAATATATAGAGAGCTTTAATATAATTACGAATTAAGTAAAAGAGAATTCTTTCCTATTACATCATAAATTATTTAAGTATTAAGACATCTTTCTGCTTTTTTCTCTATTTCAGTAAATATATTAATGGTACTGTTTTATAATATGGAGATTAATAATTTTTAAGTTATATTAAAAGCAGAATTTTATGAATAATTAATAATTAATGTACTTTCATTTTGTTAATTATTTACAACATTAATTTATTTTATTTGTTATCTCAATTATAGAATACCTATTTGTATAGATAGATATCGACCTATAGGTTAAGATTTAACTTCTGATGATTCAGATAACGAATTAAATCAAGAAGAATCAGATGTTTCAGATAATGAATAAAGTAATGAGGTTTAAGAATAAATCAAATAATTTGAATAGAATTAAAAAAAGAATGAATCTAAAATTTAATAATTTTCTCATATTTTAAGATATATCTTAGATTCTGTAAAAAAAATTAGTTAATAGAATGAAGATTTTATATAAATAACATTCTATTTAGTGTTTTCAATTCTTGGAACATTTTATAAAAGTTATTTCTTTTCATTACATTTATTTGATTTATTTAGTAGATTAACTTTATTGAATAATGTATTTTAAGCAATTTCTCATAATGCTAAATAATTAATTGTTGTTTCATTATTGGGTGTTTTGTTTATATATGTTTTTTCATTTACATCATTTGATTAATATGCAGATGATATATATACTGAAAAATAACCAGAAGAACATTGTGAAACATTAATTTCATGTATGATAACTCTAGTTACAAGTGGAGTTATAGGAACATCAATGTCAAAATGGGATTTTGTTAAATTTTGCTATGATACTTTGTATTTTGTATTTTTTGCATTACTTTTTACAAATATAGTTTCTGGTATTATGATTGATACTTTTGCAGAATTGAGAGATCAAAGATAAAAGATTGATGATGATAAAAAGAATTGTTGTTTTATTTGTGGTGTAAAGAGAGCACATTTAGAAAAGAATCTTGAATAATTCGAATAACATGTTAAAGATAAACATTTTTTATGGAATTATATCTATTATATATATTGCTTAAAATTAAAAGAAACTACTGATTACACTGGTTTGGAATATGCAATTAGTGAAATGATCAGAAAAGATAATATATCTTGGTAATTATAATATCAAATTATAGGTTCCCAATTTAATTTGAATAAGAAGCTAATTAAGATAAAGAAATAGATGTAAGAATAGCTTAACTTGAAGGAGAAATGAGAGAGAAAGATGATAGAATTGCTTAATTGGAATTAGATGTCAAAAATAAATTAAATAATATAAATAATATACTGACATAATAACTAGAAAAAGAAATACCTTCTAAACTAGAAAACTTAAATTATTTAATTACAGAAATGTAATCATCAAAAAGAATTAATTGAATTTATCTATATTAAATTTAATATTTCATTATATGAACAAAATCTCTTGCTTACCAATATTAAAAAAGTTATCCATGAATCACAATCATACTCATATGGAATCTGAAATATCTGATATTGAAAGAACCATAAGTTTTGAATCAATTTAATTGGGCAGAATAACTGATAATAAATCATTTCGTAGATCATCCATCTCTTCAAAAGGAGATAATAATTAAAGTCCTAGATAATAAAGGAAAAATTCATTTATCACTTTTGAATCTAATGACCTTTCAATCTCTGTCAGTCATATCAAATCTATTCATAAGTAATTAAATAACTTTATTATTAGTCCTTTATAGTATTTAAAAATGAATGATTTATAAATTAGAATTTGGAAAGCATTGACTAAATTTACAAATGCATAATTAGTAATATTCTTCTTTTATTTAGGAATCAGTTTTTTTAATTGACATTATTGTATTACATCATGATACAGAATTTGAATTTAAGTTTGACCTTTCTCAATTGTCTTGTTTTATGACAATTAAAGAATTGAGAGAGTAAATATATCTAATATTTTATGAATAAAAGAATTAAAGTAGATAATTTTATTTAAAATTTTTAGAAATATAAGACCCATAGTTATATATTTTAATAGGAGTTATCAAAACATAAAAGTTAGATAGCGATATAAGATTATTCGAATTACTAAATATATTATTAAATGGCAAAAAAACATTGATTTTGTAATCCTCTTGTTAAAATTTTTGAAAGTTATTTTTTTTTAATCAATCAAATTTTTTAATCTTTACTCTATTAAGATTCATTATTATTTTAATCATTCTTTTCATAAGATTAAGTATAATTCCTTAAATATCAAGAATTAAATTAAATTTAAATTTTATAGATTTATATATATTAATTCATATTTCTTCAAATCTTTATTTATAGGAATTATTAATTCAAATGAGATTCAATATTCTATAATTATTTATCTTTTAATATGAATTATATTTAAAATTGAGATTAAATTATTTTCTCTCTAAAATACTAAAAAGAATTCAATTCTTAATCAATAAATAATTTAAATATAAACCTTAAATCTCTATAATATTTGGTTCCATTAAATATTTTGAACTATTCTTAATATATTATTATTCTTATCAAATTTTCTTTTATAATATATTGAATCTATAAATTATTTCATTATTTTCTTCTAGTATTAAACAGTATTTAGTTAATATTAAGCATATAAATTATATTTTTGATTCATTCTCATAGAAATTTGGTAAATTTTATTTTTTTTAATAAATTACAAGTATATAAAAACAATTAATGAAAAAGTGCAGTCTAGCTTTATAAACATCATTGCTTTTTGATGAATAAGAAGGTTTATAATTAATTGATTTTAGACTTCTAAGCTCATGATGGTGATGGTCTAGGTCCATGGTTTAAAATGAAAGAAAAAAAATAATTGGCTGCACCTTTATAGCCTATACGAATTCCTTAAATTAGAATAAAAAGCTAATAATAACAAAAACGAGTCCTCTAAATAAAAACAGAGAGATATAATACTGAAAGAGCAATGCATGTGAATGAGGATCCTATTCGGATAAATAACTTAAAATAAAATTAAGAATACACTGATTCTTCTTCACCAGTAGAATAAATCATTAAGAAACACTTTTCTAATAAATAGTCTGTATTTTTTCCAAAAAGCTAACAGAGTTCATTTGTATAAAAGTCGGATAGATCAAATAGATAAATAAGAGTGAAGAAACTTAAAATTTGTAATTCTGATATTCCGTTGATCAACTAATATAATTATTTTTCAAGATTATTGTGAAATCTCAGATAATCGATTCTCAACCAAGGACAAACCTGAGTTGATAACTTTTATCAATATATTATTCTAATAATTTAATATTTTAAGTATTCAAGACATATGTATAATATTGAACAAAATTAATTAAAATTACACATCTTACTGAAGCTTAAAAGAATCAATATTAAAGTTAAATGGATTACCATTACAAATGCAACTTAAAATTATTAAGAATAATAAATCATTTCAATGATTTAAATTATTAAAATCATTGAATTGAATAAGAATTTAATGGGAATACTGACATTATAAAAAAATACACACATATAAAAAAATTCAGATGATTAAATAGATAATACTGATAAACTTTAAGTTTATTCTTTTAATATACATATAAAAAATAAATTGTTGGATTTAAAATCAATAAATCTTTAATATATTTACTATTATTTATTTAACATATTATACTAAAGGTATCATTTTCCTTTTTTAGATTAGGCAACCTTTTTTGGTGCTTACCCAACTTCTACTTCAATCCAACCTTCATCATCATCATCATTTTGATTATTTTATGGTTAAGTTTATTGTTGTGTTTATTATGGTTGTTATTATTATTATGCAGGTTCAGGTTTTTTTTATTTTTAAGGGGGTGGTTTCTTAGCTGATCCAGAGGATATTGTAATAGAATCTGTTTGGATTTAAACAGCAAATCCAGGAATATTTTAATTTTTTTATTAAATTTTTTTATTAACAGGCTTTTTTTTATCTTTATTTGAAGCACCTACAGTTTGCCATCCTTCTTCATCTTCATCATCATCTTGTTATTATTATTATTATTATTATTATTATTATTATTATTATTATTATTATTATTATTATTATTATTATTATTATTATTATTATTATTATTATTTATTTTATTAAGTAGCTGGCTATTCAATTTTAGTTTATTATTTTTATTATTGCTCTTTTTTAGTTTATGAATTTTTCTTTGCTCCTACAACTTCCCATTCTTCGTCAGCACTATCTACAGTTTCTTATTGCTATTTAGGTTATAATTTCTATTCTTATTTTGGAGGTTCAGTTTTTAATTTTTATGGTTTTGGAATTTAAGTTTATTATTATTATAATTTTTCTGGCTATTATTAAACTTCTTCTTTTTCTGGTTTCCTTGTTTCTAATTTCTTTAAATAATCTTAAACTTCTTAATTAATAGTAACATCTGATTCTTCTTTTGGTTTTGCCTCTAAAATTACTTCTTATTATCTATAATAATTAAAATTGATAAATACTTTTCATATCCTTTTTTTTAATATAAATTTCCTTTATTTCCTTCTACATGCATACTTTTATTATCACTTCTTTTTCTTTCAGTAGGCTTATTAGTTTGTTTTGATTATTATTTTGATTATTATGGATTATTTGTATAGGCCTTTGTAACTTTGACTTAAATAGGCTGTGCCACCAATGGCTTTGCCCATTATCCCATATCTATATTTTGTTTTATTTTTGAATAGTCTATTTCAAAATCAATTCCTTATTCTTCTTTTAATTTAGACTATTAAACTTTTGGTTCTTCTTATTTTTCAATTTTAGTTGGTGAATCAAGTTATTTTTGTTAATTTTCTTCTTCTTATTTTTATTTTTATGCTTCCTTTAATTTTTAATCAGCTTCTTTTTTTTTATTAATTGCTTAAACAATCTTTTCTACTCTAACCAATTTATCTAAAGTTTCTAAAGCAACTTTAGTTTACATATTTATAGTGCCTTTAGTGATCAATTAATCTATTTCTGCTGATGTGTGAGGTCCTTATGACTTTTAATTTTCATCTAAGTAAAACCAAGCTTTTTTATTTGGATCACAAAGTCCACTTTCAACAAAAATTGTAGAAGCAGGTTATGCAGGTTATTTTGTAATTTTTTGTACTTTATTATCTTTTTAGTAGTATTTTGGATGTGTGAATTTTTGATCTGGTTGAACTTCGATGAGTATTTCTTTTGCATCCAATGTTAAAGGGTATTAAGCTTCTAAAGTAGAAGGTGGTTAATTCTGAATGAGAAACAAGTCTTGATGCTGAGTGAGCAATTTTATTATGTTGGGATTGGGTTATTTGGCTGGTTGATATTCAAGAAGGGTAGATGGTTAGCTCATTAAAATTTAACACGTATATTTAATAGCAAAATAAAAAATCAATTAAAACTGCAATTAAATAATTTCATTTTATCTTATTTTATTGTTTTAAGCATATTAATAGAACTAAATATTAATATGAAATTAAATGACAAAAGAAAATGAATTATAATTCTTCTATTCAATCATCTTTTTTTGAGGAAAGACTATATTCAGTAATTCCTTAAATTTAAGTTGTTTTCTTCATTATTTTAAGTGTAAATTTTAGATTTTTCCTTCATCAATGTTTCTATATCTCTCTAAAGATTATTATTGCAAAATTCTTCTATTTTTTGAAAAACCAATTTTGCATCTTTTTATATTTTAAGATATAATTGATCAATTAAATTATTAGTATAGTTTATGGACTTTGTTTCTCTTTTTACACTGAATTAGATGTGATATATTGAAAAAAATTGAAATTAATAATATGTGAAATGTTGAATCTTAGAATCTATTGTTTTAAGTCTAATTTTATTAAAAGTTTAATTCAAAACATTCATTATTTATTATATAATAAACATTAGGTAAATTAAAAAATCTAAACTCATTTTAAAATACATAATTTATAATTTCAATATGGCATAACTCCTTAACAAATTCTCTCCAATCTAATGAATTTTTATTATTCAAATTTTTTTAACTTTTCTATTTGTTTCATTCTCCTAATATCTACCTCATTTTCATTTTATATGAATTTCTAACTCTAATCTATTTCTTACTATTTTTTTTATCCTTATTTAATGATATTCATAACCAAAGGATTTTAATTCCTTATATTTTATTATTACTATTAATTTTCAGACTTAAGTAAATATTTTTTAGATTTCAATTAATGAAGTAAATGAACAATAGCTATTTTTGGATTCAGCAAACAAACTGGACAATGATATTAAGCTTTCTCATCCAGATTAAGACAATTAAAATGAAAAGTATGACCACATGCTAAAACTATGATTGGTTGAAGTTATTAATCATACTCATAATAATTATAACATGAAAAACAACCTGGTAAGTATCCCTATCCTTTAAGTTATAAATGAACCAAAGCTCTCATATTTTGAATACATTTAATAAAATTGATATCGACTAACTTTGTATAAACAGTAGTAGAGAAATTGATATGTGTATACATTGATAAGAATGTCATTTTAAGTTTAGAAGAACTTAATCTCATATATTTGGTTGTTATTTTATGTAGAAATGCATCTAAATGACTACATTCTGCCCACTTCTTTAACAATAATGGAATGTATTCTTCTAAATAAGATGGGTAAGGTTATGGAGTATATCTATTTTGAGACAGTTCTAAAATGCATTAAGTAACCATATCCCAGGATTCATCCAATTCATCTAATTTCTTATTTCTAAGGCATATGTTACAAATCTCCAAAAAATACAAATAAAATTCACTCTAAATCATTCAAATTAAATACATACTTTGCTTAGAAATGATTTCTATTATATTTTTTAAATAAAATCATCTAGTTTGACACTAATTGCTTCTGTTATAGCTCCTGATCTTTCAAGCAAATATACCAAAGCATCAGGAACAGGATATTATTTTAATACACTAATAATATCATCTAAAGGATATTCTTATTCTTACAGTTCCTTTAAAACTTTCTCAGGTTTAATTTAACAAAGTAATTTTATATAAAGTTTTAATAGATCTGTATTAGATTGATATTATTTTCTATCAACTTACATTATTTATTCTAAATATTCTAATTATAATTTTGGTAATTCTCCCATTTTATTAAGAATACTTATATCATTGGCTTAAAAATATTTAGAAATCAATGATCTTGTATGAATAGCACTATAAGAAACTAATGATCCTATATGATTTAGAATTCTATCTCTAAAAGAATCAATTTATAGAATTGGAGGATCTCTAGATAAAATTTTGGAAATCCATGTAAATATTTCAAACTTTACTTAAATATTATATTATTGTAATTGATTCTTAATTTTGATTCTAAAATCTAAAGCTCTACTATAATTTTTAAGTTCTTCATTTAAATACATTTTAACCCAATCAAATTATCCATCTGATGCCATTGAATTTAAAATATCTTCTTTATCAACAGCTGGATATTTTTTAAATAAATTGATTATAAATTAATTATATGCATAAATTAAACAATATTTAAGAGTTGGTTCATCATTATGTAATATATTAGGTAATGGTAAACATTAAAGTGGTAAAAATATCAAATGGCGATGTTCACTTACTAAATCTAAGAATAATTCAGTTAATTATTTATTTTATAATTATTCTGTATATCCTTTACTCAAAATACTTGCTTAAATAGATCTACCAACTTAATTGATCATCTTATCCCATCCAATTGCATCTGGTAAAGTTTTTATTTATAATTAAGTTAATTAAAATTTTAAATCATTTTGATCTTTTATTGTTTTTAATTTTTAAAAAGCTTAAGTCATATTAACATAATATTTCTTTAATCGTTCTTTATCTAAAAACTAATCATAAGGTAGTATAAAAAACTTATAACATAATTAGATACATCCACCAAAATCTATGCTCATTAATAAAAATAAAGTTTGAACTTCAAATAACCATAAAGATATCTAATCAGATTTCTCTTTTATTAATTATTCAATATGTAATGTTTACTCTAAATAATGAATAATGCTTTTTCCCTATTCTATCACTATTTATGGATCCTTCTTTTTAATGTCCTATTATATGATTCCCCATAATTTAGCCAAAGGTGTTAAAAAATCTCCAGATCTTGTACAGACATAACTTAAACTTGTAGTAAGTTTATTTAAAAGACAAAATTGTATCAATTATTCAGTATTTATTTTAGAATAATCAATTTTTTAAATAAAAGCATCAATACATTATTATTCTCCTTTTTAAACATAATATAACAATATTTCATCTAATTAAATTAATAATAAATAGAATACTTATAGTTTATTCATTTGCATCTATTACTTTGACCTTTCCATTTTTTAAATATAAACTTAATTCATTGCATAATAAACTTATATCTCCATTTAAAAATTTCTTTATTATACAATATATTTGATTAAATAGGATATCACTTGAAACTCTCAAAAGAAAGTCTACAAGCATTGAGAGTAGAGTCTTAACTTTTTCTACATCTTATTAATGACCAAATAAAGAAGTTGGAGTATAAATAAAAGTCTTATGTTTATCTAGAGTAATTCTGATTTCTTCTAAAACAACTTTAATATAATGAGTGGCTATTTCCAATACTTTCTTTTTTAAAACCTACATATTAAATTTGATTGGAGTGGATTTCATGCTACCATCCATCAAAGCAAGAATCAATAACATTCCTTTGGCCCAATCTTTATTTTAAATAAAAATATCAATAGATTATTCTAAATTATTAATACTACCTGTTACAATGGATCCTTCCACTAAAATATGGATTTACCTTGTCTATTTATTTAAAGTATATATCTAATATTGTAAAGGATATTATTTGTATGCAATTCCTTCATCTTAACTTAAAACTTCAATCTAATAAAGGGAAGTAAATGGGGAATCAGGCCAATTCTTTTTTTAAATAAAATATGGTATTTATTCGATTCCCTTTGGAACTACATGTAATTCTAGATGAAGTGTATTAAATAAATATATATTTTGATTTGCAGTAATAACTTCTATAATAGATTACTCAACAAAATAAGCTGCATGTATTTGCTATTTAAAAATTAATGGTTTAAGTGTCATATATCTTGCCTAATCATTACTTCTAACTAATATAAACATATGGCAATTCCAACAAAGTAAAATTATCAATCTCTTTTCTTTCCATTATTCTTCTTACTCTTAATTTGGAGGAGGTAAAACTCCATAACCATAAGAAAGATAGCAATAAAAAGGTTTTTCTGGTGAAGAAACATGTGGATTTTCTATTTCTATAATTGATTTTAATTTCTTTTCATCATCTTTATAAACCATGATAAGATAAAATTTGCTTAGTGAACATAATCCTATAATTCTACTTGATTTTTCATATAAATCTCCCATAAATTCTTTAGTTTCATTTTTATACAACACTATAATGTTTAACATTGGAAACGATTATCTTGGTATTGTTAATTATATTTCATAATCAAATCCTAACATTCCTTTTCTAAAATTTACAATTCTAATTACTCCAACATCATCAGAAGTTATTACATTATAAAATTTCTTAGATTAAAAAATGAATTTCAACACTATTATTTTTGATTTAGTAATATTTTAACAAGTACACAAATGTTTCCTTTTTTTCATATTTATTATGCTAATCCATCCACTCTCATACCCTACAGCCACTAATTCATTTAATGAGTCTAAAGCTGTAACTGCTCCTATCTTCTATTATTAAATAATGATATCCATCTATTATTAAGAGTAATATAGAATATTCCCTAATGATCCTCCTACTAACAAAAATTCACCATTATGATGAACTACTTTTGGTTTTCCAAAATTCTTCACTACTTATGGATTAGAAAATATCAATAATTGTTAAAATTACAGAGTATTATCAATTTTATTTTTTAAGGAATCCCTAAGAAAATCTAAAGGAGTTTTGAAATTCCTCTATGCTATAAAATTAAAAATAGCTTACTTTATTTCTCTTATTTTGCTTTATTCCTAAATTTTTCTTAAATTTCTAAGCCTGCATCTAATAGATCAACAATTGATTTTGTTCTTATTTATGATTCTCCCTCTTCATCAAATACTGAATAATATTAAACAAGAAGTTAGAATTCTTTAGAATGATCACAATTATCAAATGTAAAAATCTCCATTATGTGAATATATAATATAAAACAAATCTATGTTATATTATATTGTATTTTTATATAGAATTCATTACCCTTGAGTCATTTTTTTCAATTCACTTTCTGTTGCGAAAAATCCGGCTAATTTACCCACAAATCCACTTGGTTTTTATGAAGTTACATTCTTTTATTTGAATTCAAGTTATTCTTTATATTCATCTCTTTGAGCAGTCAATTACATAATTTTAGAATTTAAACTTGTAATTTCTTATTCCATTCTTTACAATTTTAAATTTTATTCAACAATAAATTCTTTTGTATCCTCTATCTTAGATGATGTCTATTATTACTTTTCAATTTATAATTAAATTTGATCCTTTTCATTCTAAAAAAATTAAACTATAATAATTACCTTTAATTCTTAGTATTTAACTTATAATTTCTAAAATTCTTATTCATTTTAAAGATAATTTTTCAATTATTGTTCTTAATCTTAGATTTATTTATTCAACTATTCTATTAATTTTAATTTTTAAGCATATAATTACTTTAAATTATTATATTCATCTTATTAATTTTAATAATAATTATGAGATTGTTTTAATTAACTTACATCATATTCTTTTGATCTTAATTCAGCTATTGTATTTAAAGCTTATTCATATTAACTTTTTAATTCATCATTCTCTGCTTCTTTTTAAGATCTCTCTTATTCAATAACACCTATTTCTTCAACTAATTTTGAAATCTAATCTGTTAAATCTTAATTTTCTTATTCCAAACTACGATACTCTTATTAATCAATTTAGTTAGATATTTATGGTTAATTTTATTATTCTAATAATTTCTATTAAATCTCCTCTATTTTTAAAGTTAATTATTGATTTAAATCACTATAATGTTCTACTTATTAAGACAATTAAGAAATTTAATTATTCAATGTTACTCTATCTTCATTAAAAGTTATAATTTGTTATTTTAATTATTCATTTTCATTTTCAATTTCCGATTATTATAATGATATTTAATTTTATATTTATTATTATAAATTTGCAAGTTCTTGGGTAATAATCTAATTTTAATTTTATAAATTCTACACACAGACTTCTAATTATATTATCATTTCTTTTTTTTCATTCTATTCTATTATATGTTATTATTTTATTAAAGATATTTCTGAAGTATTATTATCTTTTAATTATCTTATATTTTCAGTTAATTATTCAATTTATTCTTTTTATTAATTAATTAAATTTGTTTTATTATTAATTTCTTCTTAAAGTTATTATTCTAAATTTTATTGATTTTAATTTTAATTTTATTCTTCTATTTGTTCATTTAATTAAACTATCAAATTTTCAAATTATTATGAAGTTTATTTAAGTTATTCAATTTCATTTTTGGAATCAAATAATTATTAATTTAATAAATCTATTTATTATTTTAATGAATCATTTTAATGTTTACAATTCTAATATGTAATTGTCAATTCATCATATGAATTTTATATTATTTATAATTGACTTTCATGTTATTATATTTGATTTTATAATTATTATTCTGTTTAAGTTGATTCAACTTATTATTATTAAATTAATTGATATTCTTATTCTTTTTATTAGTATATTTCAATTTATTCAATCAAATTTTAATTTTCTTATTATTACTCTTCAAATAAATTCATTTATTAACTCAATTATTCAGTAATCTACTCAATTTAAGTTTATAATTCAAGAATTTTCTATTAATATTAATCCCTATGTTAATCTAATTATTTTTTTTCTAATTCAATTAATTTTTCTGAATTTTATAAAGAATGTTATAATGTTTTTTTCTCTTGATCTAATTTAATTATTTAATCTTATAATTCTTTTGAATTAAATGAATATTTTTCTATATCCTTTTCCTTTTCATGAATTTGTTTTTTTAAAAATTCATATTCTATTTTAGATTGTTATAGACTTTTTTCTAAATCTGTTATTTATTCATTATGTTCAAGTATTTTTTTTCTTAATTATGATTAGAATTCTTATTATTGATTTATTAATTGTAAATTAGTCTAGAATAATTAATCTTCACATTATTTTAACTCATTTAAAACAATAGACTTTTAATCATTCATTTCTGCAATTTTTTAATCATATTCTTGACATATAAGTGCAACTTCTTTCTTTGATGATACAACATCATTGATATAATTATTAATTTATTTTTCTTATTAAGCAACAATTGATTCTAAAGATGATTTTTATAAATTTATTTAAAAGATTTAAGCTTTATAATCTTATAAAATAGATAAATGACCTTATTCTTTTTATAGCATTTATTTTTAATATTCTCTTCTATATTAATGACATAATGTTTAAATATCTAATTTTGTCTCTATCTATCTAATTTCTAATGATCCTAAAAATCTAAATCCAACATTAATCTCTGTACTAATCTCATATAAAAGTTATTTAAGATTTTAAATTTCTGATTTAGATATTTCTAAATCAAATTATAATTAATCTTTAATCTATCTTAATTCAGCACACTCTTAGTCATTTATTAATAATTAAGATTACTCTAATTGAGAATTCATCATTTAAATATCTTCATCATATTGTCTTCTTAATTCTTCATTATATTTTATATACATATCTTTATCTCTTTAAAGACTTTAAACCTATCTTTTATATACTTCTTTCTCTTTTTACAGATTCTTAATTTATAAATCTTATTATTTAATATTGAAATCAATTTACTTAATATATTATTAATAGTTTTTCCTTTCTTCACTTTAACTTTCAATCTATTTTTTGAAGGCATTAGTACAATTCACAAACTCTTCTAATTTTCTTAATAAATCATTGATTAACATTTGTTATTATTACATATAAAGATCTTTATTCTAAATTTCTTATTATTATTATTCAAGAAGTTCAGTCATATCTGATAATTCTTCATTCTATTCTTGTATAATTTAAGTCAAATATTCATTACTGCTAATTGGAAAATCTATAATCTAAGGAGGTACAAAGACTTGTGTTTAGTTTTTTAATAAATTTAAATTGAACTATTACAATTCTAAATTAATATTTTAAGGTTGAAATAGTTTAAAATATTTCATATTCTAATCTAAATTGTCTAAATAATTCTTAGGTAAAAGTGCTTTTGGAAGAGTTTGAATAAAGTTATTACATGAATCATAATTGAGTATCAATTAATTATATCCTTTACATAATTCTTATAATTATGATTAAAGTTCTTTATTTTCTGTTGCTAATTATACAACCTATTATTATAGCAATATTATCTATTAATTATTTAAATGATGATTAGTTTATTGTATTTCTTATTGAATGGATGTCTAATTTATAATCGGTTAGTTGACTGCAATTTGAGAATTATTTTAAATAATTCTTTATTGTGATGATTCTTTATTTTCTAATTATTTCTCTTATTCTTGTTATTTATCTTATTGTTTTGATATGTCCTATTATTATTAATTTTAGGTCTAATTGTTATTTGTTTAAGATGGAATAGCAACTGGTGGTACTTATTTAATTGAATGGTCCTTTTATTATCTTTGTTACTTCCCCCTTAAATGAGGATTCTATGGCTTCAAATATTCCTTCATTTCTCCAGGAGGAATCTATTCTTCAACTTTAGGTTCTGGTTTCTTTTCTGAATAAACTTCTTTTCCTGGGTATTCATAGACTCCTTTTTCTTTATTAAATACAATTTAAGTATTGGGTGGTAGAATGACTTTTGTGGCTCCTCCTCCTCCACCTTAGAATACGGCTAATAAGGATTTTAAAGGGGACTTTGATTCTCTCTTTTAAGAAGACATTGCACGTGTAAACTATATATGTTGAATAATTAAATATGTATTAGTGAATCTAATATTTTTATTCACTCATTCTAAATGTAATTTGTATATAGTTATTTTCTAATCGTTAGTCCATTAAGCTAGGTATTCTCCATTTAATGATATAGTTGAAAAATGTATATTATTTTGACAATTAATTTATTCTCCAAAGATTTAAAATTTCTAATCCAATTATTTTCTAATAAAATAAATACTTATATTATGTTTCAATAACATAACATCTTTCATCTTGCTATATTTAATTGGCGATAATCCTACTTCATCATTAGATTCTTTATTATTTAATTAGAGTTATTAAAATTCTTAGAATTTCAAACTTTCCTCTTTATAAATTATACAAATTCCTCTATTTTTAGGTTGAAAGATCAGAAAATCACCATAAAATCCTAATCTAAAACCAAATAAATTTTCATCCAATTAGATGGTTTACTTAAGTATCCATTGAGTGTTTTATCCTTAATTTTCCCATATCATTATATTACTTTTTCGGCTACAACATGCTAAGTAATTTTCTTATTCATTTAGACTTATAGAAAATATATTTCCAGATTCAGTATTAATTTATTACCTTATTTCTAGTTTATTTTAATCAATATCTAAATTCCATATTATAATAGTTTAATCCTCACTACTTGAAAATAAAATATCTTCTTTTTTATTCAGTAAAAGACAGAAAACAGTACTTTAATGTTGATATTATGATGTATATTACTCCCATTAAGAATCTTATAATTTCCATATATAAATATTACCATTCGCTGTTCCTGTTACTAACCAATTTTAATTTTTACTATAAATAATTGAATATATTTTATTCTAATGTTATAATATTGATTATTTATTCTATATAATTCCATTCTCAATATTATATATCTCAACTTAATATTCTTTAGAACAAACTGCTAATTATTTACATTAATAATCAAAAGCTAGAGCAAGACAATATTAACATTAAATTTCAGATATATTTTAACATTTTATTATCTAATTTGATTCTACATTATTTATAATTTTTATTTTTATGTTAGATATTCTTTAAATATTATTTTAGATTAATTGTATTTCATTTTCTTTATTTCTACTATCATTTTAATTATATTTTTCAACAATAGAAGAAATCGATTCTTATATATTTGATAGCTTATTTTGAAATTTTTATTTATATGACAACTTTATTGATATAAATTTATCATTAAATTAATTTAAAGTGAGATTGATACTACTATTTTATTATTCAGCTATCTCTTAAATTTCATTCATTAAGTTAAACTATATATTTTCTAATATATTATCGAACTCAAAGTTCAATTAATCAATCAAATTAGAAAATTCATCTAAGATTTAATTTAAGTTTGATTTCAAATTATATATATCATCTTTGATTTTTATTAAGCCTTGTTTCTCTTCATTTATTCTTTCTAAACAATGGTTTTCTATACTCATAAATTTATCTTTTATTGCTTGAAGAACTTGGAAAATCGCCATACTTTCAAACTTACCATAATGAGTCTAAAGACAATATTTACATTTCAAGCGATTCTTCATATTTATCCCTTAATCTAATGATAATAATAAAATTTCTGAGTTGTAATGTTATTATCCATATTCACATTTAAGTTGATTGAGACAAGCATCTAGGTCAATCTATGACATATAATAGAATTTTAATTATATAAAATATAAGTTTATTATCAAGTTCTTGATTTGCGCATTCAATTATATTTATATATATAAAATATAAATAAAATAAATATATATCTAATATCTATTATTATTTTATATTTATCTATTCTAACAAATTAAAATTAATAGGATATCAAAGGTAAGTTTGCTTTAAATAAATAGTTTAAAATATTTAAGGTTATTAATTCATTTTCTTATTGTAATTATTATAATATGGATGACATTTATGGAAAACTCAATAATATATATATGAGTATCTATTTTGATAACTATTTACTAATTAACATAAGTAATAAAAAAAAAATATATTTTAATGAAAAAAAATGTAAATAAATTATAAAGTGTATCTAAATTTATATAATAATTATAAAAGCATTTAATATTATCAGAAATAACAATACAAATACTTTTTATAGACCATAAAAAATAATTGATTTTAAATAATTCAGAATCATTTGTATAAAATTTAGTATTAATTAAAAAAATACTAAAAATATTATTAATATTGTAGATCCTCAATTAAAAAGATTCAAATTTTAAATTTATGAAAATCAACAGATATTTAAGATGATTATGATTAAATATTTAATATGCTATTAATGATCAGGAAATAAAAAAACTATGAAATTCAACATTAAGTTTTTATAAAAAAAAGGAGAAACTTGTCGAAAAGATGTGGAATAATTTTTATTTATTATTTAACACAAATGATTTAAAATATTTAATAATGCCGTATGATTCATACAACTGAATCTATGAAATGCGAATAGCACAATCAAAATATTGATTTTGTGCTTATAGATGACTAGTTTATAGGAGAAGAAAAACTTTTATGTTAAATATGTTTTAAGCAAATTTCTGGTTTAAAAAAAGTTTATAGGATATCTGAAGCTATAAATATACTATAAGAGAAGAAAGATTCTGAATTTAGCGAATAAAAGACCATTATTTTAGATTAATTACATAAAATTAATAATCATATTGATACTATAGTAAACTTTTAAGGAAGTCTTTAACAATTAATTAATAATATATTAGAAGCATTGTAAAACTGGAAATAGGAATTAGAAAATAGAATATATGATATTTCTCAGTATAATTTTTTACAAGAATTAAATAAGCTTGACAATTAGGATAATACTTTTATAAATAATTAAAAAATATTTGAATTTATTGAAATAAAAAGATTGTAATATTCAGAAAAAATAAAGAATAATATATAAAATTTATAGGTATTAGCAACAAGAAATTAAGGATTATGTTAACTTTTAGATATCACTCATATATAAAAAATAATATCAATAAAGTTAAATCAAACAGTTTTTTAATAAGATAAAGTTTTATCATTAGCATTTAATTATAATGATTCAATGATTGCTTCTTCTTGTAATAAAGAAATTAAATTATAGAAATTTTAAGATGGAAAAATTGGTGATGTCATTGATACTTTAAATGAGCATACATAAATTATATATACAATAATATTTAGTAAAAGCAAAAATTGGTTATTTTCAGCTGGAAAAGATCAATCTATAATTTTATGGAAACCAGTTAGACTTTTGTTTAATTTTACTATTACAAATAAACAATAATATTATAATGCTCATAAAGATTCAATATTACAATTAGTTTTAAATTAAAAAGAAAACTAATTAATCTCTTGTAGTTCAGACTGTAAGATTTCTATTTGGACTGTAAATTATAAATAAAATTCTATTTAATATTAATATTCATTAGAAAGGCATACTGGACCTGTGATTTCTGTTTGTCTCAATTAAAGCAATAATTTGTTAGTGTCAAGTGGTTTAGATAAATAAATTATTATTTGGAGTTAAAAAAACGATTAAGAATGGATATTTAAATAAGTAATAGATAAATCAACAAATGATTTTGGTTTTAGAATAAGCTTTATCTCTGATTAATAAATAGTTTGGTAATCATTTAAAAGGGGATTAACACATATCTTTCAGGAGGATAATGGTATTTTTAAAGAAATAACTGAATAAAGATTATAGCTTGCAATGAATGCTCAAAATGATGGAGATTATTCGTTTCCATCAATATTTGATACAAAAAAATAAATATTAATTTAAAAATATCATTAGCATATATATTTTTTGAATCTAAACTCATAAAATAAATTAAATGTTTAATAAGAATAAATAGTCTTAAATGATGAATAAAGTTATGGAAATTTATCGAATTGTGGTAAATATTTAGCTATATGGTGCAATTAAAAATTTAGTATTTATGAAATAGACTATGTTTGGTCATTGAAACCACCTTAATGAAGCATTAATTTTTATTTATATGTAATAATTTAAAATAAACTTACTTATTTATATAATTAAATTAACTTTAGAATTATATTAAAAATAGTAAATAAAATTTTAAAGATTATTGAATAAAAAAATGATTAATGTGAAATTCAAATTAAGAAAGAAATGAAAGTATTTAGAATTATTTAATACATAAATTACTTATTCTATTTATGTATAAGTTTCATTTATGTTGCATATAAACAAGTTATAATCTTATATACAATTCTTTTATTTACATAGATAATATAAGATTTATTAAATAATTAAATGTATATCAATCTCACATAAAATAATAAGCCTTGGTGGACTCATACATCACTTGTACCAACAGAAACTTAAAATAAAGTATTCAATTTAGTGAATGGATAATCCAGTTTCTAGAATAAGGCAACACTACTTACCACTTATTTGAGTTTGGAAGCAGTCAATAGAATAGGTCCAGTAAAGAAATTAGCTATTTATTATAAAGCTGGAATTGTTGGTGCAATATTTTTAGGAACAAGGTAATTAAATATAATATAGTATTATTAGATTTGCATCTGGAAATTATTATGCAAAAAGTATACAAACAGAGATTGGTAGATTACTTGATGGTGCTCCTGTTTGGGAAAATAAGTTTGATGTACCAGAATTGGATAAAAAATTCTTTTTTATTGATGATGATAATAATTTCGAACCTTCTTTATGGCATCATGGCATGTATTAATAAATAATTTTATGTAGCAATCAGATTGATAAACCTAAACAATTTTACAAATTTGAATGAGCATTAAAATACATATATATAAATTAATATAAAAATGAATCCCATTGATTAACACAAATTATAATTTGTACTTAAGGATTGCATTCTGAAATTGCAATTTATAGGAGAAATCACAAGAGATAATGATATATCTTCTGAATTGGCAGGATATGAATAGAGTAAATTGTTAACTGATCAATAAACATTGGAAGTTAAATATGCAGAATTAGTCGCTAAAAGAAGCACTTTAGTAGGGATCTCTAATAGAAAATAATTAACTGAAACTCAAAAGCATATCTAAGAAGTAGCATAAAGACTAAAAGAAAGTACTAAGAAGTTATGTAGGTATAAGTTTCATTTAAAATATTAGGTTATTTAAGGAAAACCCAAATATAGATTAGGATTCATTAAAAGTATATGAAGAGAGAGCAGGATTGATCTCAGATTTGGAAGTATTAATTTTAACATATTGAAGAATCTCAAAACATTCATTTAAAACAATCAATTAAATAAATTTGCTCAAAATGTTACAAATAGTTTAGAAGAATAGGATTCATTAAGAAAATTTGCAGTAAGAGAAAAAGAATTAGCTGCTGAAATAAAAAAATTGTAAAATGATAAAACATAAGAAATTAAAGAACATGAACATGAAAAGACTGAAAAACAAAAGAACATTTAATCTTTAAAAGAAAAATTATTATATAAAACGAATAGAGCTGATTTAAAAAAAAAGTATGATGAAAAGGTAGGTACATCTAAAGAAAATACTTAAATGAGAGTATTTGAATTTGCCTTAAAAGATATTGAATAATAAATTTAAAATTTTGCTACAAAAATTGAGACAGAAGAAAAAGTTCATAAATAATTAAAGGATTACTTAATTAGAAAAGAAGTAATTAAAATTATATTATAATTTAGGAAGAATCAAAAAAGAAAACAGATGATTAAAATAAATATATGGATGAAAAGAAATAAGAATTAGAAGATAAAATTGAAAAATTAACTGAACAAAAAAAAATTATGTTAGAAGAATTAGATAAATTAAATAGAAGATTTGAAAAAGAAGAATTAGAAAAATAAGAACGTGAGAGAAAAGTAAAATAAATTTAAATATTTTAGGAAATTTAAGAACAAGAAGCTAAAAAATTAAGAGAATTACAATAATTAAGAATGGAAAATGCTATTAAATTAATCTAAAACGAATTAATGGAAAGAAAAGAACTATATGGTTTAGGTGCCAAAAAAAAGAAACCCAAGAAAACAAAGAAATGACTAAACAAATTTAAATAAAATTAAATCTTAAATTAATTCATGGGTCGTATGTAAGCTAAGGGAAAGGGAAAGGGTATTTCTGGTTCAGCCCTCCCATATAAAAGAAAAGCACCAAAATGGTTGACCTTATCATCTAAATCAATCGTTGATTAAATTGTTAATTTAGCTAAGAAAGGTTTCGTTTTACATTATTGCAATTTTTATAGGTTTGAATGGATCTCAAATTGGAGTTTATTTAAGAGATTAATAAGGCATCCCTTAAACCAGATTCTTAACAGGTTAAAAGATTTTAAGAATCTTAAAGAAAAGAGGTATAGCAATAATTAAAATTTAGGTTGTGCTCCAAAAATCCCTGAAGATTTATATGCCTTAATTAAAAAGGCTGTTTAAATTAGAAAGCATTTGGAGAAGAATAGAGGTGATATTACAAGCAAATTCAGATTGATTTTGGTTGAAAGCAGAATCCATAGACTTAGCAGATATTATAGAAGAACCCAAAAATTACCATCAAATTGGAAATAGTATAAATTTGTTATTATCTTAAAGTGTCTCAAAGACAGCTTCTGCCTTAATTGGTTAATGAGTTAGAATATAAATACAATAATGCATATATTTTAATATTTTATATCACTTTTTTATTTTATTCAAACACTCACACACTTCCTTAATATTAATACGATCTTCTTCTTTTTTTTGCAGCATTTTCTAATAATTCATAAATATATATTCAATACTGTAATTAATTCTTTCATTTCTTAACTAACTTGATTTGTATTTGGAAATTGAATTTTCTAATTGTTGATAGCATTTAGCAACAACATTATAGAATTTGTATCTTTCCATGGAAGCACTCCAAATAACATTTAATATAGAATTACACCCAAAGACCAGACATCACATTTAATGCAATAACTAAATCATTTATTTCTATATAAATACTCTTCTCCTGCTAAAATTTATGGAGCCATGTAATAAGGTGTTCCTACTGATGTTCCATGAGCAGCAACATCTTTTTTATCCTCTTCAATTACTTTAGCAAAACCAAAATCTGCTAATTTAGCTGTACCATTATGTATCAATATATTTTCAGGCTTTAAATCTCTATGGAAAACACTTTTGTCATATAAATATGAACATCCTTCTGCAATCTGAAGGAATATATCAACTGTCTCTTATTCATTCAATTTTCCTTTATCTTTGATGAGCATATCTAAATCTCCACCATTGCAATATTCCAAAAAGAAATAAATATTATTTGGAGTTTCAGAGAAATCTATAAACTTAACAATATTAGGATGATCCATCTACTTCCATAAAGAAACCTAATATATTAATGCTAAATCTCATACTTCTATTTTTAATGAGTTGATTATATATTCTTTTCTGCTTTCTGGATTATTACTTTTTTTGAGTTTTTCAATTATATTTTGTTTTGCAATTAGTTTACATGCAAAAACTTATTTCTCATTGTCTTTCAATGTAGCTAAATGACTTTTTTAAATCTTTATATATACGTATCCGCAAAATTTCCTTTTCCCAGTTTTGTAGTTTTGATATAATACTTCCCATCAACCATCTTATAATTTGGAATTGTGGCTGCTATTTCTTCCAAATTTTATTTCATTTATTATATTTAATATGTATTAATAATCTCATTAATAAAGTATTTAATAATTCGTAATGTATATAATTTATTTAATTCTTCATTACATTTGACTTACTCATTAAATTCTTATTTTTTTTCAAATTTCCCATCTCATAACAAATCTTAAATAATTAATCAATTTTAATATTCATCAATTTATCAAAAGACTAATTATATTTTGCTAAATAAAAGTAATTTTTAATTTTCAGTTTACAAAGTAAGTAGTTTGAATTTTAAGTCAAAAACAATAATATTTCTATAGTAGATAAGTATAAAAGTCATTATAATATCTACTTAACACAATAATAATAACCTAGATCAATCATTCATTAGATTGATTATAATGTTTTTTCCAATCTCTAACAATATTTTCTAGATTATTAAACACATTTAAATAAATTATAATTTGGTGAACTTTTTTAGAAGTTAATGAAGATAAAACTTTAGTATTTTGATGTTCCTTTAGTTTTATTTTATTATAAGCAAAATAAAAACTTTGATAATTAAAATTAACAGATTATTATAAGCTTTTAAGAATTCTTCAAGTTTAATATCTAATAAAGCAAAAGCAAGAAGAAATCCTTAGGAGACTCTATACTCAAAGTAATTTAATATGAAACCATTTTTATTAATCCCATTGAAGTATTTGAAGCAATGCTAAAATCAATAAATTTGAATTGCCTATCGTCTATTTTAATAGCTAAATAGAGAATTTAAATTACTGAGTCTAATAAATTATCAGACATACCGTTATAACTTATTGCCTTATTAAATAGAATTCTATAATTTTAATAATTCAAGGATACTAAAGGAGTGAAATTTTAACCGTTAGAAATGATATTGAAACAGTGAAAATAATTATTAATTGCATCATCTTAAAATTATAATTAACCAGAGTCATCAATTTAGTAAGAAAATATGCTACCTTCCTATTTAAAGGGGTTCAGAAAAATTATTTTTCTTAGATCATGATAATATCTTTATTTATGCTTTAAGAATGGGTCAATCATTTATTAAATTATATACTAATCTATATGAATAGAACTTGCTCTCTATTATCATCTTTAAATTAACTTTAAGTTGTTTTGTATAAATTATAGAAAAATGGAGAATTTGCACTACGTTAAGTTATTGAAATTTTTGAGTTCTTATTGCTGAATATAAAGAATTAAAATTATTAATTAAATTTTGATTAGATGTTGAGCCCAAGTTTTATGAGTGAATAAACTGATATTTGTTGAAATAATTATGAAATGATATTGGAGAATATATTATAATATTGATCTGTTTTGCTTTGAATCATCCAATCATTTTATTTTTACTTTTTTAAGAAACTTAGTTTTAACATAATAAAGAATTTAAAAATATAATTTTTTTTTTGGAAATTAATAAATTTGCAGTTTTTGTATTTTTAAACTAACATAAGTTTAAGAATTAAAAATAAAGACTATTATTAAAATCTAAAAATTAAACTCTATTGTAATCTTGAAAATAATAATGATTGTAAATTCATAAGATTAATTTAATTTGTCTTTTTTTCGTTCATTTTTTAAAATATAATTAAAATTTGTGTAAAATAAATAGATTACATGAATGTATATATATTAATATTAAGAATATTAAATAAATATGTTTGAAATTCCTTCATAAAAATCTTAAAACCATTTTTGAGATTAGAATATAAAAACACATATTATAATTAATATAAATTCTCGATATGTCAAGGAGTTTAAATGATGATGACAAACCTACAATTCCACTTCCTTAAGCTACAGATTAAAAGAAACAAGAAAAACTAGCATATGAAAGATAGATGGCTAAAATAACTTTATTGAAATAGACAGAATAGAAAAATTTACATCTTGTAAAACGTAACTTGATTTAGGCAGGCTAAGTTATATGAGATGGCAGCAGACAAAATTGAAAATGGTATCTTAGTGAAGAAGCATTTGTAGGAATTGGCAGATGAGGCTAAATAAATAAAAGATGAAAAAATGAAAAGAAAAAAGTAACAAATTGAATCAATAAAAAAATGTGAAGAAGACTTCATTATTAAAAAAAAAGCAGCATAAAAGTTAGGGTATAATCAAATATGCAATTTTAGAGATTCAATGAAACAATCTTAAGTCAAAGAATACAAAAGTACAATGAAAATGACCTTAAGTAGAACAAGAGATTGCATACTTTAAGAGAACCAAAAGATTAGAGAGGCATTATATTAAGAAGAGAAAGAGAGGAAGAAAAAGAAGGAAGAAACTAAGAAATTGGATGAGATGAAATCATAATAATTTTATAAGGAGAGAGTTTCTTATGAGAGATTAATAGAGGAGAAACTAAAAAAGTCAAGAGAAAAATTGTTTAAGGATGAAGAGACATTGAAAGTTCGTTTAAAGGTATGATTAGTTGGCATAATTAGTAAACATAAGATATGTTGAGTAAATCTCAAAACAAATTCATGGAACTTCAATCTTGGAGTGGACAGAAGAGATGAGAGGAAAATAATAATTATTATTAATAAATTATATATATATATATATATATGTCACTGAATTCACGATATGTCAACGACAACTTATATAAGACCCATTAAGAACATTTACATTAGACAATAGCAAAATATTGTGATTAAGTGAATGCTAATTCATCAGAGAATGATTCATAATTTTATGAGGGGTTTAAGTTTCAGGCAGCACATTAATAAATATGTATACATATATATTTAATTAGCTGACCTTATTACTTAGATTGAGATAAGTTCAAAGTTAGATGAAGGAAAAAGATAGTTATCAGCATAAATATTAGGTTAGGCATAGTAGATTTTGAAGAATTATAGTTCATAACAAAGCTAAATTAAGGTTAAGATAACACAGTCATTGTTTAATTTATAAAGAGATACGATTAGGACAATTTAAGAAGTGCATGACGCATTTAGTTTAATAGAATCAATTAAGTGGCCATGTAAAGGACCCACCTATAAATAATATGATAAACAGCTACGTGCTTTGGAAAAACAATGCTACTTTTGGGAATAAGTGTTGTTGTTAGAAAACAGAACTACAAATACAATTTGTTCAAATGATTTCAAATTACAGTTAAATGAATGGTTTGAGTAATTCACAAATGATGTAAGAACAAAGAATTTGGAAAACTTAAAAAAATCTAAAAAAGGATATTTAGATACATAATTAAGGAATGCTCATGAAATGTATGTAGGATTGGGAACAGAGAAAAATAGAGATAGTGCTTTATAAATATATAAAAAATTGGCAGAGGACAACCATCCAATAGCATAGGCAATAATGGGATAGATATTGATGGATGGAGTTATAGGAGAAAAAGATTATGATCAGGTATTGAATTTTAAAACCACTTGTGGTAGGCTTTTAACTATTTTAAAATGAGTGCTGACCAAGGACATACATTTAGTGTCTACTGGGCATCTAGATTAATATTAGTAATAAATTATAAAGCAATCTATTAGGAAGAAAAAGTATTTGACAAATTTTTTGAAAAGGATGAGCAATAGAGTAGAAAATCAAGTGTGACAGCAATTAAAACTAAAGATTGTGATTTGGCTATTAAATTATTAAGAAAAGCTGCAGAATTAGAACATGTGCCTTCAATGAATTATCTAGGTGATTTATACACCTCTGGTTTAGAGTTATAAAATTGTAATAATAATAATTATAAATATTAATGATAGACTCTTTGGAGAAAGACTACTAAGATGCTGAATACTTTTATAAATAAGCTCAAAAAAAGAATTCAGTAGAGGCTACTTATAAATTATCTTTACTTTATTAAGAAATGAGCAAAATAAATTTAAATAAAGTAAGAAATTAATTTTTAATATAAAATAGAATAGAAAATAATTAATTTTTCCATTACTCAGTCAAGCCAAGAATTAAGACTATTTACCAGCATTTTACGATCTTGGAATTTTGTTGTTAAATGGCTTAGGGGAGGAATTATAGGCTAATCCTATAATGGCTGACTTAATCTTCGAATAAGGTGCACTTAATGGTGATTTTAAGTGTGCCAAAAAATTACTTAATCTTCGTTTTCAAAGTTTACAGAGAGAAGAAGGTTCTATAAATGATTTTCTTTCTCTGTTAGATTAGTTGGAGGATATTTTGAAGGATCAATCTATCATTAATTATATGAGAGGTAAGATTTACTTTAAGGGTATATTATGTGATAAGAATTTGTAAAAAGCAGTAGAATAATTTAGGTATTTTAATGAAAAATGAAAATAGGATAGGATCATGGAGAGGATGTCTAAAATGTAAAGCTTAATTAGAGAAGATATTTAAAGACAAAGAGGAATTACCAACCAGTTCATAATAATCATCACTTTAAAAATTAAATATTTAAGGAGGATTTATTGATTAAGTTAAATAAAGTGATTAAAGAAAAGCATATCAAATATAGAAAGGAAAGATTTCTTTAAATAATAGATCTATTCCTCTTGAATAAGAGAATTAATCAACTCGATAAGATAGACATACAATAATGACAATAAGTATAGTTAAACCAAATGAAATAAATGATCCAGATAGAAAACGTGGTGGATCAGAATATAATAGTTTCAAAAGAGGAGAAAGTAGTGTTATGCTTTCCTAATTAAAATTACAAATTCAATCGCCTTAATAATAATAATAATAATCATCTACTAGATTTGAGTAATAATAATAATCTTAATATGGATCTCCTCGTCAACCCTCATTAATTAATATTTCTTCAAATTCTTCTAAGAAAGATCGCTTTAATTTTAGTAAATTACCAAGTCATCGATCTATCAATTCTTCAAAATATCTATTCAACTAACCTTGAATTTAGCATATTAACTCAAACTTTTATTATATTTTATTTATTTATAAAATGGAATCACCAAATTAAAGATAAGAAATTGACGAACATTAAAATTAAGTTCAATAACCATAGACTCATCTCATTCAATTAGATATAGAAGAAACTAATCAACCACCAATAAAAAGACCAGCTCCAAAAACATTCGGGGATTTAACAATCATATTTATATTTGAAACTATAGGAACAGGATTATTTGCATATGGTATTGTGGCATCAAATGGATCTGATTTTTTGATTGCAGCCTATTTATATGCAGCAATATTTTTAACATGCAAATTTACAGGTGGACATGTCAATCCAGCAGTATCATTTAGTTTCTATTGTGATGATACTATTAGTTCATGGACATTAAGAATCTATTGGACTGCATAATTATTAGGTGCAGTTGGAGGTGCTTGGGTTGCATATTTAATATTAGGAGTAGTGACATCTCCTAGTATTAAGAGTACAAACATAGAATGGATGCTTGCTGATTTATGTGGAGAAGTACATATATATATTTAATATAGGCTTTTGGAACCTTTATGTTTGTTTTATTCATACATATTCAAGTTCATGAATAAACAAGATAGACAAATAATGATATTGCAGGTATAGCCTGGATTGCTTTAGCTTTATTCTTTTCTAGATAGTTGTCATCACATTCTGGAGGTATTTATTATATTTCTATTTAAGGTTGCTTAAATCCAGCCATGGGTGTAGGATTGGAATTATTTGAAGCATTCTGGTTAAATGATACAACTAAATTAGCCAATTTTTGGGTGTTTCTATTTGCTCCACTATTTGGGGCTTATATAGCATAGATTTTCTACAATTCAATATATTTGCCTTTATTAAAAAAATGAGATATATATAAATTTAATTATGGAGTAATATATTGATTAAGAACTTACAATCCAACAATTCTTCAAGTAGCATCAAATCACATCACCTTTACTTTCTTAACTCAAAAGAGAGTTCGGTGTAATCAAGCATCCCACTTTTATAATGAATAATTTGCTCTAAGTAATTTTAATAACAAACATTAGATCATCTAACATAAAAAACATTTAACATGTATTGAAGCACCAAAACAAAGTGGAAGAACTATGTCTTGTCTTTTGATAATTTTAGATTAATTTTTAAAATCTTTAGATCATTTTACTCCAGATGAAGAAGTAAGAGTTAATCAAATTTATTATAGAATGGATATTATTTACTCATTACCTCAGCAAGCAGAGAACAATCAACACATTGTAAATCTATAGTTCAAAAGTTGCTTGACAATTATCCCTAAGAAATTGCATTACTTGATATTAATTCACAATTTCCTCTGAATGCTAAAAGTATTATCTAAGGTTAAATATAATTAGATGACAATTATAATATTGTATTACCACCTGTTACACAACCATCTATATTATTTGCCACATATTATTCTGTGAGTAAATTGAAGACTAGTGGCAAAGTGGATAATAAATGTTTTTAATTTGCTTTATTTGATGATTGCAATTTAGCCACTCTTTATGGAGGGTAATTTTAATTGGAAACCATTTCTAAATGGATTTCAAAGAATCAATTTACAATCTATGTTGGTGATGAAAAATTGATTGAAGTTATACTTGGAAAGGCTATTACAGTAGCTAAAATTGAAGAAGATTAGGAAGAATAAGAATAAGAATAAGAAGATAGAACCATTTAATAAACTAAAAATGAATTACCAAATTTATTTTACTATTTTTATTCAGACTTTACATAATAATAGATTGTACTTTATATAACTTTGAAACTTAACCTTGTCTAAGGAAAAACACTTATAATAGTTTAAAATTTGTTTGAGATTTATTATTTACAATTACTTTTTTAGAGATGTAATATTGAAAGATATCAAATTTATAATCATGAAAATCCAAAAACACTTAAATATTATACTTTATCAACTTTCAATACTGGAGTTATTTAAATACTTATTGCAACTGCAAATGTCTTTTTAGATTTAGAAAATGAATTCTTTGAAAGAACTAAGTAAGTATCTAAAAAATCTAAATAACCTTACACTCTAAAGAAGTTAGATAATATTATATTATATAATTTATTACCAAATGAATTACCAGATTAAATATTAAAATCTGTTACAAATACTGTTTGTATAGCTTCAAATAATGAATAAAATGTTGAAACAGTTATGTAATTTGTTAATGCAGAATATAATAATGTTAATTGCAAAGAATATCCAATAAAATAAAATGAAATTGAAGCATTCCGTTATCGTATAGAAGATACAACTAAAAATATATCAAAATATTAGGTTAAAATGGCAGAGCAAATAGATTTCAAAAAGAAGATGGTCAAGTCACCAGATTTAGTAGAATATTTTTAATAGAATCAGAAAGAAAAAGAATTATTGTAAGATCAAATTGTATAATTAAAGAAAAAATTAAATAGATCATCAATATAATTACCTTAAGGTATGTATATATTATAATGTCTTAGGTCCTGTGCCTGAATATTTATTACCAGAATTCATTAAGAAATAAAGAAAAATGTAAGGAGATTAATAAAAAGTAAAAGTTCTTGTTAGAGTTCATGATTAAAATACTGATAAATTAATAAAGAAAAGAAGATTATTGAATGATGAAATGAATAATAATATGTTACCTGAGTAAGAAGAAAAAGCAAAGGCAAAAAAACCTGAGAATTAATATGTTACAATTAATTAAGAAGATGAAGATCCTGAATTAGTAGATTCATCTAGACTTAGACCTATAAGTGGTAAGAAAATATGGAAATTAAAACATGGATTTAAATTAAAAAAGAGAAATAAGAGATTGGAAAAGAAAGGTGTCTTCACTACCTGAGTGTATATAAATTAATTTATTTAACAATTTTATAGAATGTTGTATGATATATAAATGTTCATGAATAAATCATTAATCTTTAGGTTGATTTGTTAAAACTTCTTTGAATGAAAATGGCATAAATTTAATACCATCAGCTTTATAGAATTTACTTTAGAATTCAACCCATTACAATCTTAAAGCATGTAAGAAACATTCCATAAGATCCATACACATTAAAACTATAATAGAAATATATTAATACCTCCAATAGTGCAATGTAAAAATATGGGCCAACCTATGACTAATACAATTACATTTCCATCAACAATACCAGCACCAATACATTTCTCAAAAAATACTTTAGCCAATTATCCATGTGCTAAAGATAATGCCCATAAACGTAAATATGATGCAGTATTACTAATAGAACCAAGAACAAATTCAATAGTTTCAATAATTTAATGTACAGCAAGTTCTCCAATATCAAATTCTTCATGTCCATGTCCATGTCCACCACTTTATTCTTATTATTTTGGCAATATTTATTATGGTTAATCTTTTGGTTGAATATCTTCTCCTGCTTATTCTTTGAGTCTTTATTCTTCTAATTATTTTCTTTTTAATTCCTTCTCTTTTTCTTTTTAAATTAATTATAATCTTAATTCTTCAGCCAATGCACTTTAATTAATTGATTTTTAACCTTATTACATAGGCAATAAAGCTTCCTTGCTTTCATCTTTAGGTTCAAGTGCCTTTGAAGGTTTTTTGCCATGTTTTTTTCCACTGTAATGTTGAAAAACTTCGATTATTGGTTTTGGTATAAGCATCCATGGAATACATAAGAATGACCAAAATAAGATAGATTATTAAAGGGATTCTTAAGACTCTAAATCAAATAATGGTTTTCCTTCTGTAGAACCTCCTTATAAGGGGATATTGATCATTGAATTGATAATTGATGGAGCTTTATCAGTTCTATCTTCCCAACTCTATCCCCATTTCAACATAATCATTATTGCCATATAACCAAAAGTAATGCACATAAATATCAATTATGGTAGAAATTCAAAAACAAAAGATAAGTAATCTTTAAAATATATGTTATTCACTCCTTTTAAGAGAATACCAAAAATCATTTGAGAAACACCATAAATGATAGCAAACTTCATCTTGAATGAATTAAAGAAGTTCAATTCATTGCTTGCTATATACCATTTAGGATCAAATCCAATTGGATAAGTACATCCTTTTATATAAACAGTTTCTTCAGAATCAGGTACATTTTCAAAACAACTTCCAAATATATTCCAAGTCAAAGACATAAAGTCATTATAAATAATACCACAATAGAGTGCACATATACCCATCAATAAAAATAGATATCTAACCTATATTAAACCAGCAAAATCAGGAAGTTTTCGTAATGTATCAGAATTTTTTACTAATAGGAAGGCTAAAATAAATAGTACTCCTCCATGTCCAATATCTCCAAACATAATACCAAACATGAAAGGGAAAAACATAACAGCAAACATTCCAGGATTAATTTCTTTATATCTTGGAATACCATAAGTATTGACAATTTCTTGGAATACATAATTAAATTCATTAATCTTAAAATAAGTGGGTGTAAGCACTTTTTCAGGTGGTTCCAATTCAATAATTTATCCAACTGAAGTATTGCTTTAAGAAACACTCAATTAATGTAACATATGATGTAATTCCCCTTCTACATGTTTTGGTGCCCAAAAGAACCCTATATATATTCTTTCTTTCTAATAAAGATAATTTAGATTTGTATATAGTGCTTTTTCTTTCACCATCAATAACTTACTCATTTCTAACAATGATATTTTCAATTATGGTTATATCTAAGCATATTCTAATAACAATTCCTTTATTTTAACAGTCGTCAATCTTAATAACTAAAAGTTAAATGCCATCATACATTGTCGCATTCATCCAAAGAAAGATCCAATTCTAATGTTTTTTAGACTAACAATTAAGGATCATCTGGAAGTACAAATTTGGCACAATTAAATGAATCACAAATTTTATTCAGTTTGGCTCTCAAAAAGTCTTATCCTCCTCCTGTATATACAATCAGAAACACTGTTCTTTACTTTTCCAAGTTCTTAGCAGCTGACTTATCAGAATCTAAATTCACTGATTCTAAAGAAGCATCAATTCTTGAATATTCTATATCAGACAATACTATCCAAGCATTTCCTTTAGAGGCTCTAAATACCATTCTTTTAAAACGATTAGCTTCTAATCTATCAACTACTCCAACCAAATAATTTAGATTATAAACTATTATGATTATAACTTATAATTTATACGTGGTTGTACTACTTTTTATTGATCTGGTACACCACCTATTTATGGATTTATAGCCACATTTCTTCCTTTTGTATAATATGTTGGACCTAATACTTCCTTTGATTTTATCAAAACAGCCTTATGTTCAAATAAAGTGTTTTTACGAACACAGATTTACTCTAAATTTTGAATCTGTTCTATCAATTGAGCTTTAAGATAAAGACAAATAATTACAATATTTTTCATCTAAAGTACTCTCAATTAGATCAAACCATTTATCTTCACTTTAATTTATATCCTTAGTATACTAAGACATTTTTTCTAAGAATTATTAATAATCAGAGCATTTAAGATTCTTTATTTTGTACTTCAACATTTCAACTTCGAATACATTTAATTTACTAATCACTTCATCTGCCCTTCTGATGTATTGATAAAAAGGTCTATTCACATGAGGCTCATCTGGTGACATATCCACAACTTAGACCTTAAATAAATATTCCATTCCCTACCATACTCAATTTTCCCATCTCATTAAATACATTCCATGCACTTTCCTTAGGTACTATTATCTAATAATATGCCATAGTCTCTGATCTAAAGAAACTCATTAATAAGATATAAATAATATTTATGTTAATTTAAGAAGCATAAATAAATTATTTATAAAACAGAACCATTACAATCTTTTTATTTAAATAAAATCCTTTAGATTCACATCTTTAATTTTATAATATTTACATAATCATGAACTTTGATTAGAATACGAACATTCTGAATTAATTTCCTTTTGTATTTATTTAATACTATTTTCAATTATAGTTACTTAAACAAATAAACCATTAAATTATTTTAATCATTCTATCATTTTTCATCTTCATCAAAAATTTCCGTTATTCTAGTTATTACTATATGAACTTAAAGACCATTAAATTGAATTTAATTGAAAGCATTAACCTATAAATATATATAAATAATATAGAAAAAGGATTTAGACTAGAAATACTAATACTTCAGGTTAAATGTATTAATTGCTACAAAATCAACGTTAATTTTAAATTACATTAAGGTTTTCTTATTAGAATTCTGAATCTATATATTTTAATAACTTTATGAATACTTTAGAGTTATTATGAAGATGTAAAATATCTTAATAACTGAATATCAGATTTAAATTAGTAATATATAAAGATAGATAATTTTAACGATGATAATGAAGTAATCAATATGTTTTTTTTGGTTATTTTTTATTAATCTAATATAAAGATTAATAATTAATTAAGAAATATAAATTAATTAAAGAATTTAATTAATGGAGGAATCAAAATTAAGAATTGCCATCATCAATAAAGACAGATGTAAACCTTAACGTTGTGCTTTGGAATGCAAGAAGAATTGTCCAATTAATAAGAGTGAGAAATTGTGTATAGAAGTTACAAAGTAAAGTAAATTATGCACAATCAATGAATCATTGTGTATTGGATGTGCTATTTGTGTTAAGAAATGTCCATTCAAAGCAATCATGATTATCAATTTACCCAAAGATTTATCTAAAGAATTAACACATTAATATGGAGCCAATTCATTCAAATTACATAGATTACCAACACCTAGACCAGGATAAGTATTAGGATTAGTTGGTACTAATGGAATAGGAAAATCAACTGCATTGTAAATTCTAAGTGGAAAAGTGCAACCTAATTTGGGTTTATATAAAGAGCCTCCTTCATTCGAATAGATCTTAAAGTATTTTAGAGGAAGTGAGTTACAGAGTTATTTATAAAAAGTATTTGAAGGAAAGGTGAAGGCTGTAATAAAACCATAATATGTTGATTCAATTGGTAAGGCAGTTAAAGGTAAAGTTGGAGAAGTTATTAAGAATAAGGATAAATTGAATAGAGCAGAATAATTATTAAAAGATTTAGAATTGTCTCATTTAGTAGATAGAGAAATTGGTATGTTATCTGGAGGTGAATTGTAAAGATTTGCAATATTGATGGCATGTATTTCAGAAAGTGAATGTTTGATGCTTGATGAACCAACATCTTATTTAGATATTAAATAAAGAGTGGTTGCATCTAGAATCATTAGAAATTAAGTAAGAGATAACAATTATCTTATTGTTGTAGAGCATGATCTATCCATATTAGATTATTTATCAGATTTTATTTGTTGTTTATATGGAGAATAAACAGCTTATGGTATAGTGACAATGCCTTTTTCAGTTAGAGAAGGTATTAATATATTTTTGGCTGGATTTGTACCAACTGAAAATATGAGATTTAGAGATTATGAATTAAGTTTCAAGATTTCAGATAATTTAGATATGTTATTAGAGAATTAGAAATAAAAGAAAAATTATCAATATCCTGATATGAAAAAAGTATAAGGAGAATTTTCATTATAAGTAAAAGCAGGAGGTTTTAATAATTCAGAAATTGTTGTTTTATTAGGAGAAAATGGAACTGGTAAAACTACATTCATTAAAATGTTGGCAGGAAAAGATAAAGATGTTGTTGATATTCCAAAATTAAGTGTCAGTTATAAACCATAAATGATTGCACCTACATTTGATGGAACAGTTTAAGAATTATTTAGATCTAAATTATAAGATAGTCATAGAAATCCATAATTTTAAACTGATGTATATAAACCATTGAGAATTGAAGATTTAGAAGATAATGAAGTTAAGAAATTATCAGGAGGTGAATTATAAAGAGTTGCTTTGATTTTAGCATTAGGTAAACCAGCTGAAGTTTATTTATTGGATGAACCATCTGCTTATTTAGATGCAGAATAAAGAGTTGCTACATCTAAATTAATTAAAAGATTTATAATGAATACAAAAAGAGCAGGTTTTGTTGTTGAACATGATTTTATTATGGCAACTTATTTGGCAGATAAGTAATAACNTAAATTCTAAGTGGAAAAGTGCAACCTAATTTGGGTTTATATAAAGAGCCTCCTTCATTCGAATAGATCTTAAAGTATTTTAGAGGAAGTGAATTACAAAGTTATTTATAAAAAGTATTTGAAGGAAAAGTTAAAGCTGTAATAAAACCATAATATGTTGATTCAATTGGTAAGGCAGTTAAAGGTAAAGTTGGAGAAGTTATTAAAAATAAGGATAAATTGAATAGAGCAGAATAATTATTAAAAGATTTAGAATTGTCTCATTTAGTAGATAGAGAAATTGGTATGTTATCTGGAGGTGAATTGTAAAGATTTGCAATATTAATGGCATGTATTTCAGAAAGTGAATGTTTGATGCTTGATGAACCAACATCTTATTTAGATATTAAATAAAGAGTGGTTGCATCTAGAATCATTAGAAATTAAGTAAGAGATAACAATTATCTTATTGTTGTAGAGCATGATCTATCCATATTAGATTATTTATCAGATTTTATTTGTTGTTTATATGGAGAATAAACAGCTTATGGTATAGTGACAATGCCTTTTTCAGTTAGAGAAGGTATTAATATATTTTTGGCTGGATTTGTACCAACTGAAAATATGAGATTTAGAGATTATGAATTAAGTTTCAAGATTTCAGATAATTTAGATATGTTATTAGAGAATTAGAAATAAAAGAAAAATTATCAATATCCTGATATGAAAAAAGTATAAGGAGAATTTTCATTATAAGTAAAAGCAGGAGGTTTTAATAATTCAGAAATTGTTGTTTTATTAGGAGAAAATGGAACTGGAAAAACTACATTCATTAAAATGTTGGCAGGAAAAGATAAAGATGTTGTTGATATTCCAAAATTAAGTGTCAGTTATAAACCATAAATGATTGCACCTACATTTGATGGAACAGTTTAAGAATTATTTAGATCTAAATTATAAGATAGTCATAGAAATCCATAATTTTAAACTGATGTATATAAACCATTGAGAATTGAAGATTTAGAAGATAATGAAGTTAAGAAATTATCAGGAGGTGAATTATAAAGAGTTGCTTTGATTTTAGCATTAGGTAAACCAGCTGAAGTTTATTTATTGGATGAACCATCTGCTTATTTAGATGCAGAATAAAGAGTTGCTACATCTAAATTAATTAAAAGATTTATAATGAATACAAAAAGAGCAGGTTTTGTTGTTGAACATGATTTTATTATGGCAACTTATTTGGCAGATAAGTAATNGAGCCTCCTTCATTCGAATAGATCTTAAAGTATTTTAGAGGAAGTGAATTACAAAGTTATTTATAAAAAGTATTTGAAGGAAAAGTTAAAGCTGTAATAAAACCATAATATGTTGATTCAATTGGTAAGGCAGTTAAAGGTAAAGTTGGAGAAGTTATTAAAAATAAGGATAAATTGAATAGAGCAGAATAATTATTAAAAGATTTAGAATTGTCTCATTTAGTAGATAGAGAAATTGGTATGTTATCTGGAGGTGAATTGTAAAGATTTGCAATATTAATGGCATGTATTTCAGAAAGTGAATGTTTGATGCTTGATGAACCAACATCTTATTTAGATATTAAATAAAGAGTGGTTGCATCTAGAATCATTAGAAATTAAGTAAGAGATAACAATTATCTTATTGTTGTAGAGCATGATCTATCCATATTAGATTATTTATCAGATTTTATTTGTTGTTTATATGGAGAATAAACAGCTTATGGTATAGTGACAATGCCTTTTTCAGTTAGAGAAGGTATTAATATATTTTTGGCTGGATTTGTACCAACTGAAAATATGAGATTTAGAGATTATGAATTAAGTTTCAAGATTTCAGATAATTTAGATATGTTATTAGAGAATTAGAAATAAAAGAAAAATTATCAATATCCTGATATGAAAAAAGTATAAGGAGAATTTTCATTATAAGTAAAAGCAGGAGGTTTTAATAATTCAGAAATTGTTGTTTTATTAGGAGAAAATGGAACTGGAAAAACTACATTCATTAAAATGTTGGCAGGAAAAGATAAAGATGTTGTTGATATTCCAAAATTAAGTGTCAGTTATAAACCATAAATGATTGCACCTACATTTGATGGAACAGTTTAAGAATTATTTAGATCTAAATTATAAGATAGTCATAGAAATCCATAATTTTAAACTGATGTATATAAACCATTGAGAATTGAAGATTTAGAAGATAATGAAGTTAAGAAATTATCAGGAGGTGAATTATAAAGAGTTGCTTTGATTTTAGCATTAGGTAAACCAGCTGAAGTTTATTTATTGGATGAACCATCTGCTTATTTAGATGCAGAATAAAGAGTTGCTACATCTAAATTAATTAAAAGATTTATAATGAATACAAAAAGAGCAGGTTTTGTTGTTGAACATGATTTTATTATGGCAACTTATTTGGCAGATAAGTAATAACTTTATTTATATTACAAGAGTTGTAGTGTATGATGGTGTACCAGGAAAAGCATGTGTTGCTAATGCACCTGAAGATTTATTAACAGGAATGAATAAATTCTTGAATGTTCTTAATATAACATTTAGAAGAGGTATACTATCTAATTTATTATTTTATAGATCCAACTAATTTTAGACCAAGAATCAATAAAATGGATTCTATTTTGGATAGAGAATAGAAATAAAGTGGTAACTATTTCTGTTTAGATGAATGAAAAATTCTTATTAAATTTACATAAATTATAAGTATATTTTAATATGTAAGTTGGACTCAACAAATTTGGATTTTCTTTTGATAAAAAAATTGGAAGTGGTTCTTTTGGTTAAATCTTTTTAGGTACAACTTATTGAATAATCTTTAAGGAACTAATAAATAAACTGGATAAGATGTAGCTATTAAATTAGTATGACAATTTTTATTCATCTAGGAAGCTATTGCAAATAAACATCCATAATTAATATTTGAGGGCAAGATCTATAAAGTATTGCAAGGAGGAAGTAAATTAAATTAAATATATTAAGTGGGGATTCCATAAGCTTATTGGGTTGGAAGTGAAGGAGAATACAATATATTGGTTATGGAACTACTTGGTCCCAATTTAGAAGATCTATTTAATTAATGCAAAAGACATTTTTCATTAAAAACAGTCTTAATGATTGCTTAATAGATGCTTTCTAGAATTGAATTTATTCATAGCAAAAACTTAATTCATAGAGATATAAAACCTGACAATTTTTTAATTGGATTAACTTAAAAGAATGATTTAATATATATTATAGACTTTGGTCTGTCTAAGAAATATAGAGATTAGAGAACTAGTATTATTAAATTATATTATTTTAGATCTCCATATTCCATATAGAGAAGGTAAAAGTTTAACAGGAACAGCTAGATATGCTAGTGTAAATACACATTTAGGAGTTGAATAAAGTAGAAGAGATGATTTAGAAGCAATTGGATATGTTTTAGTTTATTTTTTAAATGGATAATTACCTTGGTAAGGTTTAAAAACAGATAATAAGAAGGATAAGTATGAAAAAATTGCAGAATCTAAAATTGCTACTTCAATTGAAAAATTATGTGAGGGATTACCTGAAGAATTTTCTATTTATTTTAATTATTGCAAAAGCTTAAAATTTGAAGAGAGACCTGATTATGTTTGGTTAAAGAAATTATTTAAAGATCTTTATACAAGAATGAAATATCCAAATGATAATGTTTTTGATTGGACCAAACTTTGATTATTGATTTATTATTTATTAGATTAGAATTTATCATTATATAATTCTATTTATATAATTAATATTATATGAATTCTTAGTAAATATTATTATAAAAATAAGAATATTGGTTATTAATATTTATAATTATATTATAATTAATTTTCCATTAAATATAACTCATAATAATCCACTTTATAATGTTGATTTCAATGTTAATAATGAATTTACTTATTCTTATTTTTATTTAAATTAAGCTTATAATTTTTAATACTAATAAATTAGATTAATTGATTACTTCTTTCGCTTATTCTACAATGTAAATATCAGACTTTTCACACTTTCTTTAACAAGCTTAGGATTTCTACTCAAAATTTCTACATGATTATGCAAGCTATATAAAAGATGGGAAAGTACTTTTTCTGTTTCATTTTTATATAAATTAAATTATTGATTTGTTTTCTCAATAATTTATTAAAATTCTTCTGCTTTCTATAGATGTGGATTCAAATGAGCATCTACTAATGCTTCTTCTTCTTTGATTTTTTATAATAAATCTTCTGAATTATCAGTTGTACCAAGTGATTAACTTATATTATTGATTTATTCAAATATTTTAGTTTCTCTTTCTTTTCTTTATTAATCTTTAAGTTAAATATAATTATAATAATTACCTAATTTAATTAATTCTTCATCAAAGATTTTATCTCTTTTTTCAACATGTTCTTAAATTTCTTTCATTTTTTCTTTTAAAGCTTCATTTTCAGCTTAACTCTTATGTTTAGCAGTAGATACTTCTTCCATTTTAGTAGATATATCTTTGATTTCTTATTAGAATCCTTCAACTAATTCTGTTTTCTTTTATTTTTCTTCATCAACTACTTTGCTGTATTTTTCTTAATATTCATTTAATTGATTTGTTTAAGTAATTCTAAAAGCATCTAATGTTTTAATTTGATTCTTCAATCTTTAATTTTCATTAAAAACTTTTTTATTAGAATTAAAAATTACCTTTTTCTTTTTCTTGAGTAGCTATCTCAAATTTCTTCGCTGATAGTAATGCATCTTTATGTGCTGTTTTACTTTCATTAATAACTTTTTTTAATTTATTAATCAAAGCTGTCTTGTCCTCTAAACTATCTAGTTAACTCTTAGAAATTTTATTTTATCTGGATATTTTTTTGAATTCATCATCTCCTTTGAATCTTTGATGAAATTCTTCTAAATTTTATTCTTAAATAACTTAAATGATTTACATGTATACAATCCTTTGATTTATGCAAAGAGATCAAAAACTGTGGGATTCATATATTATTTTTGAAATTTTTATTATCCAAAATTAAACAAAAAATTCAAAAACAAAAAATTATATATATCAGAACTGGCGAAGATTGTCGACATCTTTAAATTACGAAGTCGGAATACTTGATCATCATATATATATAAATTATTGATTTCCTTTTTAAAGAATTATGAATTCAATACCCAGATTGTGGGTTTTAATTAATTTAAATTAATAAACTCAACATGGTATTTTATGTCACTCATAATAGTAAATTGCCGATGATCAATAAGATGTATAACATTCTATCCCAGACTTAGACCATGTAAATATCAAATTAGGAGATGATGAAAAATAAGTTAATCAAATATCATCCAATACTGTCTCTTAAGTTTAATAACCTCAATAAGTTGCAATACCTATTTAACAACTACCATCTAAAACACAAGATATATAATTTCTTTCATAATTGTTTCATTGTTTATTTAAGGGACTTGCCATCTTTGTGTAATATAAGCATTAAAATTAGGTTCTTTATTCCAGAAGGCTTATTAAATTTGACATATTGTTTTATTATAGTAGTGATTTTATCAGCAATTGATTTTTGGACAGTCAAAAATATTACAGGAAGGTAAAACTAAAGATTATGATAGAAAACTGGTTGGTTTAAGATGGTGGTCAGAAGTAAAGGAAGATGGATCTGAGGAATGGATATATGAGTGTCAAGTAGCAAATTTTGTTCCAAATCCATTCAATTCAAATATATTTTGGTTTGCTTAATTTGGAGTTGTCTTAACTTGGGGAATTTTAATTTTATTAGATTTAATCGGTTTTAGATGGTTTAATGTAAAATTTAAAATAAAAATAGGCTGTCTTAGCAATGACTGCATTTTGTTTGACAGGAATTAATTTTGTAGGATTTTATAAATGTAGAGGAGAACATTAAAAGAAAGCAAAAGAATATATGACTAAAATTGGTTTAAAAGCTATTTAGTAATGGTGATATTATTATTATAATAAATGAATACTAATTATTCAGATATTGATATTTTCTATTTTTATTTAAATTAGTAATAAAGAATTCTTAATAATATTATAATAAGTTTATAATAATTTTTTATGATTATCTTAAAATTTATTAGTTTTGTTTTATCCTTAATTTTTCATATTGTTTCATAATTTATTATTTTATTATTTAGATAATTTTAATATCATAATTCAATTAATATGTTCAAATAAACTAAATGATATCTAATAATTTTAATTATTTTTTATTTATTACTATTACTTATATAACATTTTATATAAAACTTATAAAATGATTGAACATTTAATTATAAGAGATTGTATTAAATATGATTATTTATAATATTGTTGATATTATATAGAATATAAACTAATAAGTAATTTTATATTTAAATTTATGATATGAAATCTTCAAATATCTTTGTAATGTGTATAAATACATTAAATTTTGTGTGAGTAAGGCTTTTTAATATCTATAATATCTAAATAGATAAAAAGATGAGCATATGAATCTAATTAGAAAAAAACTGAATTTCCTTATCTAAGAGAAGCAGTACAATTGATAGTTAAATTATCTAATATAAATGTTAACTTCTCTTCATATATATTTTGTGTATTATTTAAATATAGAATTATGACACCTTTGAAAATAGTGATCATTTATACCTTCTTAATGTTGATAAATATACATCTATACATCGATGTGATTATTATTCCATATTCTTGTAGCTTACTTAGCATTCTCTTTCATATATGTTATAAGTTCTAAGGAAGGATTGTTAGCTGTACTTTCAAATATAGATTATTTATTGTTTATTTTACTAAAATTTGTAGATTGAGCCATTAATGTTTTCTTTGATGAATGTACAAGAGATTTAATATTACATGAGTATTAAAAGATAGGCTAATCTTCATTAAATATAACAAAGGGATCATAAACATACAATTTTAGATAATCAATATGAGGTGGTACAGTAACATTAAATTTATTTAATGTTTTCATAGTTTCGTAATCAATAATATTATCACAATTATCAAATATAACTTCCTCTTCTATTTTTGTAGTTCCCATATTTCTATAATAAAAGTATAACATTCCTAGATTCATTTATGTAGTAACTTATATTTCTGGTTATTCCAATTATTCATATGTTCTAGTATTTTCTTCATTTACATTAGCTATAGCTAAACTGGCTAACATTAATTTACTTTATTCTTAAATTTCATTTTTATTTATTATAAGATTATCTGGTACTGAAGATCCAAAATATTATACAAACAATCTTTATTATTCTTATTGTAATTTTGGATTATTCTCTATTTAATTATAAAAATATGCTTAACAAAATAGAGTATATGAACCTTAAGCTAATGATTATATATCTAAACAAACATTCTATTTAATATTGTAATCTCCAGTTAAAAATTCATATTAATCATCATTCTTTTTTGAAATTAAAATTCGAATTAATCCATATTTAATTGGAGATACTAATTAATTAGAATTGAAATTTTAATCTCTTTAACAGATTGATATATAAAGATGAGATTCTTAAATGATATCAAAATCATAACAATAAGTATTTTCAATATATTATTAGAATTCTCTTTTCTCTTATTAAATTAATTCTTTAGAATTCCATTAATAATTAGGATGATGTTAAATAATACATAATTCTGGAAATATCTCTGAAAATTATTTGAATGTTAAAAAAAATATGCATTTATCATTCTAGATTTACTATTCTATATAAAATAAGATTTATTACATCCTTAAATAACTAAATTTCTATTTGCAGCTCTCATCTAAATCAATTCTTATTCTTTTATATTCCCTTTAACTATTGCTTGAATTACATAACCACATTCTAAACCATTTTACTTTTGAACAGCAAACAACAAAGAATGAAATTACATTTGAGATATAATTACATTTTTTAAGTTATTAATATCTTCTGTACTAACCTTTATTATTGGTTATCCAATCAACATCTAATTTCAAATACAAAAATTACAAACATAAAAGATTCTATTGATTCCTCTATTAATCTATTCAAAATATCATAATTCTTTCCCAATACCTTAACTATTGCTTTCTCTATAATAATTGGCCATTCACATTCACATTCTAAGGTTGCTAGCTTTTAAATATTGCCTGTTAAATAACAAGGTATTTTTTCATCAATTTTTATTAAATGCCATTCTCCTTATAGATTTAACCAAACTCCATAAAGGGAATTTAAATTTAAATAAATATTCTTAACAAATTGAATATCTTTCTATAGAATATTAAATGCATTGATTAGAGAATTATCTTGATAATATTAAGATCTTTTGAATTCAGAACATGGTTAAATATTCTTATTTAATTGAAGAGACCCTATTCTTAAGAATTGTATTTGACTATTTTAATCTGTATAATCAAAATCACTATCAATAAATGTTTATCTTTCATTTCCAATTTGAATGAATTTATAATATTCTTCCTTGCATTTATTTGGTAATCGTTGCAGCATATAATTAATATTATTATTAATAAAAATTTAATTTGTGATGACACTCTTAGGACACCTTCAGAGACAATATTGTCAATGAGATGTTAGTTACCTGTCTGATCTATTTAAATAAATATATATATATATATATAATCAATCATCAAAATTATCAATGAAGTTATAGTTAAGCTTTTCAATTTGTTAATTCAATTTACTTTCAAATTAAGGTTAACCAATATGATCAATACTTTCTATAATTTCAAATATTATTTCACTAAAATCTAAAATGCACTCTTTCCATTATTTGTACATTTTATAGATTACAATATGATTTTTATATTTTTTCATTTATTTTTCAATAGATTATGTATCTTTTTAAACTATTTCCATATATTTTTGAGCAATCAAATTAAGTACTTATATAAGAATAGATTTTCCATATGGTATTGCATATTCACATTTCAATTCTTTCTCTATAATATTCAACAAATCATTTTTTAAACATTCTAATTAATCCAAATAATCCAATATTCCAATATTATGTCTAATAGATTTTAAAGTTGAAAAATCTTTTTCAAATCCTTACAAACTCTTATTATCTCTAGTAACTAGAAAAGTTACTAATAATTTTTATAAAATATCACTAAGTTAAATATTATATTTTACTGTTAAGAATCTGTTAACATAGTAACAAGATCAATTAAAATATTAGTTTTTTATACTACACTATCAGATTGTGATTTCAAAGGAGGTAATAACTTTAATATTGAATATATCTTACAGAACATGATTCTAAAAATTTATCAATTTATGATTCTATTAATTATGTAGTAGGTTATTATGTTTCAATAAAACTATTTTTACTTTTCAATTTATTATTTTATTCTTATTCAAATTTTTAAATAGTTTCAGTTTATTACTCTAATTAAGTTATTGCTTTATCAAGCATTTTAACAGTTTCTTCATGTTCTTTTGATAGTTCATTTAATTATTCAATTAATTATTAATTTTCTTTTTCTAATGATTCCATCTTATTATTTACATTATTATTATTATTTTTGACTTATTTTTTAGGATTTTACAATAAAGAAACTAATTATTAGGATTATTAAGATGTCTACATTAATTATTATTATTGAGATTGAAGCTAGTCTAATTTCTGTTATAATTTAACATTTTATCGTTCTAAAGACATTTTTTCTTCATCTTTAGTAATTAGAGAAGACTAATAAGTTGATAATAATTTTTGCATATTTTCATTAATTGGATCTAGAATATTTATATCTAATTGATTAATATTATTAATCATTTCAACTTCATTATTATTATTATTTTAATAATTTTTAATCATCATCAATAACTATTCAATGTATGATTATTATGTTTTATTTTATTAGACTAAATTCATATAAGCCTAATATAATATAAATTACTTACTTGATGAATGATATTTCTCTCAACATTAATATCTTAAATTTTATTTTACATGATTTCAAAATATTATCTCATATAATTAACTTAAACAATAAATTCTGATAGTTATTCATTTGAAATAGTATTTTATAATTTAGTATAAATTTCATTTATATATTTACTTTATCTTAAAATAATATCATAGATATGTGATTCATCCTTTTATTCTTCTTTATATTACTAAGCAATTTAATGAGTTTAATTAATATCTTTGGATAATGTGTTATTCTTTGAAGTTTTATTTTTATTAATTTACATGATAATATTTTTATCAGATTAAATAAATAAGTTTTCTGTAAATTTTTTTAAATTTTCAATGTCTTACTTATATAATGTACTGAAATTATCTGTATTTTCTTTTTGATTATTAAGATATTAATTTAATTATTATAATTCTTATTCTTTTTATTCCAAAATTTCCATAACTTAATTAATTGCTAATTATTATTGTTAACTTTATTTAAAAAGTAATTCTAAATCATTTTATTTTTCTTCATTTTACAATTATAACTACTTAATATTTTCATTTAATTCAATTATTGTATTGTTATAATTCAATTCTTATTAAGACCATAATGTTTAGTATTTCTCAATTTTTTCCTTTTAATTTACATTAATCTGCTTTTATCTAATTTCACATTTTTTAATGGTATCAATATTATTACTCTCTTTTTAAAGTGCAAGCTTTTCTTTTTCAAGTATTTTATTTTATGAATTCAAATATTCATTTTCATATTTCAATCTTATAATCTCTTTTTATTGGGTTTCAATCTTTTATTAGGGAGCATTCTTACTTCTGCTGTAAGTGTTTCAATAACTTTAGTGGCCTTCTCGATCTATTCATCCTAGTCTTCAATTTATTAATATAAGTAATTGATATTCATTTATTATTATATAAACTAATTCAAAATATCAAACCTTATAACTAAACTTTTATTTAAATTCTTATATTTTGTTATCAAATAACATAACCACCTACTAAAGTTTGATAATCATAACTTTTAAAATACCTTTGATATTATATTATTTTGAAAAATAATTATTTTGTTAACTAATTATTTATTGCTTCTATTTTTTAATTATATAAAATAAAACATTTAGTATAATAATTCTAATTGATAAATGAAACTCACTTATATTATTTAAGACTTATAAATAATAATAATATTATTTATTTAATAATCTAAATTTTTATATATAATGAATTTGTTAGATATAGAGTAACTTTAAATATTAAATAAAAAATATCTAACAATAATAATTATAATGATTTTTGATATAAACATTATTGTTTTATTTATATTTTTTATTCTTAATTAATAGTTATTGAACTGTTAATTTCAGATGATTTCTAAATTTATTTATATTCTTAAAAACTTGAAAATTTAGTTGCAAGATGATTATATTAAATTTGAATGGTTCCAATATAAAAAGATTACTTGTAGATTAATTCAATTAAAAAAGACAAGATTTTAGAAAATATATTCTAAATGGAATCATTGACAATAATTGGTTTGTAATTAAGAATGATATATTAAGCTATTTTAAGAATTCTTTATCTTTAATCAAAGAGAGATTATTTCCTATATTCATTTTTTATTAATTTTATTATTATGAATCAAGAGAAAACAGTTGAAGAACCATTACTTAGTTAAGCCAAGATGAATGAATATAAAGAGAGAGAATTTAGAGAATATCTAGTCAATTAGGATGTTACACTTGCAATTGTTAAATGTAAATATATTAATTATTAATTGTTTCTAGTTCTTCTTGCTTTGAGAAATGCACCAAACAAACCTGATTCTCCAAGTCAAGCACTTATAGATTATTTTAGCATTCATAAAGATACAAGAGCTCATGAAGAATTCGAAAAATTGAAAAGTGATGTTGAATAATTAGAGCAAGGTTATTGATACTTATAACTGTATAGAGAATAATCAATTATCAAAAGAGATTGATTAAATAAAAGAATAGATTGTATAATAGAAATTAGAAAAATAACGTAGAGAAGAAGAGGAAAGAGTTCGTTTAGAAGAAGAAGCAAAAAAGAATACAAAGAAACCTACAAAAAAATGATTAATACATTTATTGTTATATAAATATTAATATTTTTGAATTCAAATAAATGCAAGACAATATAGGAACAAGAGTTTTTGGGAAAAATCTTGAAAATTAAGCAGACAAGGCATCTAAGAATCTTAAAAGTAAAAAAGATACAACACTTGATGAATTGGGAGGGAAGGAAAATATAATAAATGATGCAATTTGGACAAAGGAGGGTTTGAATAAATTAGACTCACCTTAACTTGTTAACTTGTATTAACAAGAAATATATGAATTTTTATATGAAAAAGAAAAAAGTATGGGAGAACCTAATTTTCAAATGTCTTCCACAAAAATTAATGATACTATGAGAGCCACAACAGTATATTATTATATTAAATATAGGTTAGATACATTGTAAAACTAATTAGATGTTTTAATTTAAAACCTGAAACACTCTTTTAGACTGTTGATTTAATGGATTAAACAATCCCGCTCCTAAATCCTGAAATAGGGGAATTAGAGCTTGTTTCATTAACATGTCTATTTATTGCATCTAAGTACGAGGAAATATATCCACCTCCTTTAGCAGCTTTGCTAAGAGCTACAGATATTAAAGCCAAAGATGTTATTGAGATGGAAAAAGAAATACTTAATAAATTAAATTTCAATGTCATCAGTGATAACACTTTGGTATGGTTACAATTAATAGGAGAAATCTTAGGATACAATTGTAAATACACTGAATAAATAAAGCAAAGATGTATGTAAGTTTAATTCCCATTTTATTAGGAGTTTAGCTGAAACAAGCTTAACTTCTTCATTATTTTTGAATCACAAAAAATCAGTAATTGCTTTGAACATATTTATGGCTGTTGAAATGAATTTAGGTAGTCAAAAAACATAATTTAAATGGGAAAGACTAACTTAACATTAGAAACCAAGCAATGAATCAAAAACACTCAAATTACTGACTTATATTTTGAAAATCAAATGAATTTTACTTATTTAACTTTGTTAATAAATCGAATTTTCATATAATCAATTATCAATGTTTTTTCTTATTTTAAGTATACTATCACTGATAATGTTTTATTAAGAAAGAAAATATAAAATACAGATAAAACTAAACTAATAAAATAATAATAGAAAAAAATCAATTCAATAAATGTATAAATTGACTGAACATCATTATTCTCTAGAATTTAGTAGTTATTATCATTAGAAAAAATTACTTTTAAAAATGATATGCTTAACTTGGCATCTTTTTATTTAAACCAAAGTATCAATTTTATTATCTTTACTCTCCTTAAGATCTATTCTATCAGAAGGTAAAAATATAATCCCCCCATAACATAAACTTCTTAAATTTGAATATCCAAAAAAAAAACCAAACCACAAAACACAACTATTTTATTATAAATAGAAGCAAATCCAATTATTAACTCATTCAAGTAAATAAACATAAAAACAATGAATAAAGTAAATATATATAATTTAATTTATAGTTTTATAAAATATAGATATAGTTGAAATTTTATCTGATTTTTCTTTTAATATAAGACATTATATTGATATATTTATGTTTAATTTATATTTTTTATTTTGACAAAACAATAATTTTATTATCAATAATACTAATTTATGTGTTCGATTCAAATAGATTATTAAAGAAGAAGTAATAATTATTAAAGATACTATGGGATGGTGGTGATATAAAAAAGTAAATTTTAACATAATTAAACAATAATGAATAAATCTATCAAAAATAAAAAGAATTTAATTTTACTTGAAAATTTAAGTTTCAATTTTATAATATACTATCTAATTCATTAGCCTAAAGTTTTGAGTAGTCAAATTTTGCATAGCTAAGTCAAATAATTTTACCACAATTAAGTTATGTATTTAAAGTTATGCATTAATAAACATGATAGAGTTAACGGTAATTAGATAATTTATTTTTCATAATCTATCTTATTGATAAATTATTATAATAGAAATGAAGAAAATGCTATAATTTTTTAATCAATAATTAGAATTTTTTTTCTATTTAATGTTTGGTTAATAATCGAAACTCAAAATGTTAAAAAGAGTATTAAAGATTTAATTGTAACCATTTAAAAAATAAATTATTGAATCATAAAAGTTGATATGTATATTACAATTAACATTCTTAATATATTTAGTATCTTAGTTATGTTAAAAATATAGCTTAATTTTTATGAAAAATGTTTCAATCATATAATTAATTGATACTAAACAAAAAAAAATATGTTTCCAAAATATAAAAAATTTTAATATTGAAGTAAGACTAACATATATACTTAAATATTGAAAAAACTCCCTATTTACGAATTTACTTTATTTATATTTAATAGATGAGAAATATTTTATATAACCTTATCTAATAATTTAAATTTGATTTTAACTTAAATAATTATTATTGAACATTGAATATATATGTTTCCTTATTTTATATTTAATTAATTTTGAGATTATTCATATTCATAGATTACATGAAAAGGTATTTAAGAAATTAATTAAAGTAAAACATTTTATTTAATATCATAAAAGGCAGATACTTAATTCATTTAAAGTTTAAGATAAGGGTTAAATATTTTTTGGAGAGTTAAGAGCTTCTACAATTACATATTTATTTAGAAAAAGATCATCTATCATACTAAATACAATAATAAATAAAAGAAAGTTTTTAAATTGATTATATGTATATATTTATAATGTTATTTCATGGTTATTGTGATTACTATTATTGGACTGCCTATGACCTTGGTTATTAAGATTGAACTTATTATGGCTAATGGGATTATTATTATTATGGTTAAGATGGCCTTGTGACTGGAGGAACAGCAAATTATGGTTATACAAATTAAGGAACAACTCTAGATGCAATCAATGGTTGTTAAACATATTAAACTGGTTATTAAACATATTAAACTGGTTATTGAACGTATTAAACTGATTATTAGATGACTGGTTATTAGACAACTGAAACAGCTTATGTTGGTTGTTAATGAACTACCTGTCTTTCAACTGGATAATATTCCACTCTCTCTTGATATCTATCAACTGGTACGTATTCTAAATAATAATTTTTTATTATTACCTGTGTATTTTTCTTAGAATACTTATGGGATATATTCTGTTTAATATTCAACAGCATAATAATCTGTGACTTTTGTTTCTCTTGGAACATAAGACACAATTTCTTATTCTTCATATTCAACAACAGCTTTTTAATATGGAATATATTCAATTCTGGATTCACCTTTTATGGTTTGGTGCTAAAATTCAATTCAAATTTACTTAAGCTACTGGGGCAACTGCTATAGGTTAAACTGGGACAGGGGCTATTTATTAAACAGGAACAGATGTAATTGGAGCAACAGGCACTTAGGCCACTGGTGCATATTAAATAGGAGCAACTGGAGCCACATAAGACTATCTAATTGGAGAAGCTGGATAATAAGTAGGTGGTAAATAAGTATTGGGATAAACAGGAGCAGTAGGTCTTGTTTAAGGAGCTGGAACTTATTATGGTTATTATGGTTATTAAGCAGCTTATGGATGATTTGACATTATTGTTTATTTGATAAATTCAAAAATAATATTAAAATTTGATCCTCAAATTATTTAAATAACTTATTTCAACATATATGTATATTAATATATAGTAATTTATATTTCATAAATAATAAAATCCAAATCATCAATGATATTATAATCTAGTATATAGACATTAAATTCAACAATTCATCAATTAAATCAAGGATACAAGTTAGTTAAAAAGGTATCTTTGAATATTATATAACCCTAACAACTACAATACTTTGATTTTTCTTTTTTTTTATACTAATGATTTGATTATCAAATTGGGATCTTAAATAATGTTAATATTATATAGAATTGAGATAAAATTATAAATATAAAGATGGTTACTATAGGTTTTTCTCTACTCCATTAATAAATAATTTATATTAATTTAATTATATTTCTATTAAGAATATTATATTACTTTTCAATTCCTTTTTATTATTGTAAGAATTAATTTGAGAGAAATATAAACTTAATCATTTCATTAGATCTTATTTAAAAATTTGTTGAAATCCAGATTTATATAAATATTATATATTCCAAATTATAAAATATATCTATTAGGAATCTACTCTAATTATAAATTTATTTTTCAATATATATCCAATAATTATTTCCATTTATGATGTTTTTTGTCAAAACAACAAGATAAAGAAATTTTGTATTAAAATTAAAAAAATTTGATTCTAATAATTCTTAATACTAAATTATTGAATTCTTACTAATAAATAATTAAATTATTTCATATAATGAGGCTTTAAAATAATGGTTAAATAATATTAATATATATATTTTATTAGTTAGGAAAGAGATCATAATCAATAAAATTAATATTTTTTTAAATTAAATGCAATATAAAAAGTACTCATAAGCTAAAAAAAGTAAACTCTTTGTTTGATTCTAATTTATTAAATAATAATTATATATGACTTAGATGTTAATTCTATATTATATTGATACCACATTATGATTTAGTAATACTTATTATTAATATTTAATCTCATTTATTAGTATTATTCATATAATTACTTATGAATAATAATAATTCAATTTAAAATATAAGTAATTTACAAAAATGATCATTGGAAAAAGACGGTTGAAACAAATAAAACTCATTCTTGTATCTCCTACATTAGAGAAGATTACAGTATTATCATATCTAGTCTTAATACCATTAATGGTAGGTAACATAATAATCTCAAAATTAGATGATGTATGAAACTTATGGATTAGGTAATGGATATTTAAATTTGTATTAAATCAAATCTTAATTCTAAGTGAGTACTTGGCGTAATAGTTCGACAGTTGAAGATGCATTCAATTATTTGATGAATGTTTTCACACCAAAATATTTTGCAAATTAATTTAAGTCATCGCATATACCACTTTCAAATTTAATTATAGCTTAAACAAGAAATGCTATTTAAAAATGTAATACTAATATTATAAATTGTGAATATGGATCAGACTAATATTAAGAAGTAGAATTCTAAGCTTTAGATGTTAATAAATGTGTTTCTGAAAATTGTACAGAATTTATTTAAAGTTAAAATGCTTTTGGAGGAATAAAAATAGGAATAGATGGTCATTATTAAACATATTATGATTTCTATTATTATAGTGTATTAAAAATAGCAGATAATTACACAGATTTCTATACAAAATTAATTGAAAATAAATGGGTTGATAATCATACTGAATCAATTGGGATATTTGGATCACTTTATGATTTGAATAGTTAACAATAAATTTAGATAACTTTACTATTAGAATAATAATTTGCTAAATATCCATTATATTTATAAGAAACATTTTTTCAATTGCCTTTTTTTGATTTTAAAGATACTATACATATTTTGTTATTTTCTTATTTGATATTTATTGGACTATTAAAAATATTTAGAACAATGTTGGAATTAACATATATTTTTTCAAGATTCAATTTCTTTTTTTAATTGTACAACTTTGCTGCACTTATTGTGTATTGTATAGTACATTTTTAGATTCTAATTGTGAGAGATTAAGCTTAAGATAATAATTTAATATTTTCTAGAAGTATATTGGAAAATAATTTTAGTGGAAAGATTTTATCTGTTGGTAATGCATTATTAATAAATGATTATCAAACAACTGAGGATGTTGGGAAAGTTTTGCTTTTATTAAGTTATCCATATTCATTTGTGTAATTTATATTATTTTTTAATGCCGAATGGATTTAGAATTATCACACATTATAAATGCGTACTATGCCTGGTCTTTTGACTTGTTCAGTTTTATCATTAGCTATTTATATCTTAACAGTTTTACCTTAAGGCTATTTAGATAAATAATATAGGACAGGTCATCATTCTATCAATTATATAGCTTATTTATTTGCTTAATTGTTTTTAGATAATTACCAAGATGATGAAGTATTCTATATATAATAACAGAATTTAGGATTAAAAATAATTATTAAGCATTATAATTGAGATTTTGCATTATCTATTTTAGATTCTCATAGCTTTGTATGTGATTGCATTATCTATAGAAGGTTTTAGGAAAGCTTCAATATATGAAATGCCCTATTAAACTAAATATGACAAAGAATTTATCTAAAATTTTGATAATCTTAACATAAAAATAAATAAGTAATATATATATATAATATTTATTTAAAAGGGTTTTAAAATAAGTATAAAAGTTGTTTATAAAAGAGAAATAATCTCAAGGTAAGAAAATAAATAGAAGAGAAGAAGATAGATAATCATAAATATTAGATGATGAAGAAACTTTAAGTGACATGTCAGAAACTAAATCTGATAAAATATTAATAGTTTTTGAGATTAATAATGCATTTTTAGAAGATATTAATAGATTCAAAGCTAGAAGAGATGCTAATTATTATGCATAAAAAAGAGTGAAGTATTCGAAATCCAATAAAGATTAAGCTTCATCTTAAAAAATAAGAATTATTTAATCATTACTTTAAAAGGATAAAGTTAATTAAAGATTACAAGTAATGCTAAGCAAACATTGTAAATTATAAACAATAATTTTTAATAGAAACAAATGAAGCTTAATACACATAATTATAAGAAGATTAAGTAGAATAAAATAATGACTTCTTTTAAAATTTTAAAGAATAAATAAGTGATTAAGGAGTAAAGATTAGAGAATTTACTATTATTGATTAAGTCATTAAATTTTTAGAAATGTTATTAAGATTAAGACCTGAATTTTTAAGTTTAAATGCAGAATAAAGAATTAGAATAATGTTTTACATAAATTCAGATTAAGTAGAAGAAGAGGATGTATATAAATTATTAAGTTTTTTAATTGTTAACTTAGCAAAATAGCATTTGAATTATCCTATCCTTGTATTTTCTTGTCATAAAGAGTGGTATATTGAAAAAGAATAATATTTAAAATTGAAAAAGTTTTATAGAAATATCTTTTCAACTTTAGAGAAGGAATGTGCATTAGATTTTAGTTTAATGTAAACATCATTCTTTGATTTTTAATTGAAATTTTCAAAAGATTAATAATTTTATGAGAAGGAAAATTAAGAAGAAATATCTAATTCAATGATAGAAGAAGGAGAAGACAAATCAGAATTACTTTGATAATTAAATATATTAATATCAATATTGCAATTATAGTTAATAAATTATAACTAATATAACATGTTTAACTTAAATACATATTTCATATATACATCAATATTATTGAGATTACTCATTTAATCAATTCAATATAATAGTTGCATCAAAATATCCAGTCATTTACATTGCTGCCATCATTATGGTGATAAGAATCAAAAATATAATAGGAACCATAAATGGATTACTTATTAATTTGCTTCTTATTGTTTATGATGGCTAATCAACTTCAATAAATGATTTATGTAATTAAAGTAATTCAATGTAACCTTAAGTTTCTTCTTAATTATCGATAAGTGGCAAATTCTCCTCATTCATATTTTATTTAATGGAATTGCAAAATTAATTACGATCTTATTTGAGTTCTTATGAAACTTATCCTTATGTTAGAGATATCAAATTAAGAGTACTTTATGGTGATAAGTAAGATTTTAGTATAATGAAGATCACATATAAAATTAGTTCAATAATGTTTGGCTAGTTTTCTGATAGACAATGAAGAATCTCCAATTTTAAGGTTACTAACCCTCAAAGTAAGAATTCTAAACAATTTTTATTATAGTTCAACAAAGAATTAGCTGAAACATTTAATGAAGATTACATCCATTTGATGTAAAAAATTGTTCTCCCAAAAATGGAATAGATTGCTTTATTTTAAAATGATTCCAAAGACTATGATAGAGGCAAACTATATTTTTTAGGGAATCAAAAACCCCACTAAGGTATGTAGAGTACAAAAGTAGTTCAGGTAACAAAGAGTTGCAGGCAATAGGCGATCAATTTTTGAGAGTAACTCTAGAATGTATTAGGATATGGGGAAGGTGGTTTCCTTTAGACAAAATTCATCATAGATTAAGTTTATATCGTGTAGCATATGAGAGATTATACAATTTAGGTATACAATTTCCAGAAATTCAATATTTTGATCTCAACTAAGTTCATATAAATTTGCCTTCAACTTTTCCTCCTTTATCAATGATGATGTAATTAAAGAGTGTTTTAAGTGAGCATTCTAGATCAAGTACAAAAGAGATTTGTAGATATTTAGAATCTCATCTTCCTGAAGAATATCATCAGACCTAATATTCATCATTTGCTGAATTATTTTAGACCATAGTCAAAAAACATATAATAAAGAAAAATAAATAAGCAAGATTAGCTAATCTATTTCTAGAACGTGATCCAAAATATTAAGAAGTAAAGAAAATGGAAGATCATGAAGAATGGACTCAATTATAAAGATTATAAATTGAAAATTAATAACTTACTTATCTTAATAATATGCATCAATAAAAAATGTAAGAATTATAAAAATAAATAATTGAGACTCAAAATTAAAATTCATTATTATCTTAAAATATTAAAGAGAAGTAATTATTAATAGAGCGATATGATACAAATTTTAAACTTTTAGAAAAGAAATATGAAAAATTATTTGAAGATTATAAAAAAAACTATCCTTCCAAAACTCCATATATTCTTGCTACATATGAAAAAAATGTAATTATCACTGCTATGCTCTTTAGATAGCTGAATTTCGTATAGAATATGGACTTTCATACTCTGAAATTGAATGCCATAAATTAAGAGCTGAAAATGAATATTTACGTAAATAATTAGATGAATCTGATAGTATGTATGATAAAATTAAACATGATAAAGATGTTTTATTAACAGAAAATAAATTATTATCTGCTAGAATTTCTCAATTAGCATAAAAAATTGCAAAAGGTACTAAAGTTGAAAAAGATAATTCTTAAACTTTAGAGGATTTCAAATTATATAAATAAAAATCAAATTTAGTATAATATGAATAGGTTATGATATGTTAAAAAAGATAAATTACATAATTGAAGGAATAATTATTAAAAATGAATGATAAAAAATATAGTGTTACAAGTTAAACTTGGGGAGTAAGTACTAAATCAGATTCAAGAAGAAATATTAATGAATTATAAGCATGTAATATATCCTCTTAAAAATAATCTAATAATTAGAAAACTACACATAGATAATCAAAAATCATTATGCCTCCAATACTTGAATATGATCCAACAATATTTGCTGTTAATCCAACTATTTTTAACACTAGATTTAGATAAGCTTGTTTTACTTCCAAAGCAATTATACATCAAGATGAATAAATTTAAATTACAACTTAAACATAATTGAAATTCAAAAAATTATTTATTACATTATCTATTGAAAATAAATCAAATATTAAACTTATTGGTTTCAAATTATAATTAAAAGAAATAGAATAATTAATTTCTTATGTATTAGATGAAATTAAAAGTGATTTAAATCCTGGAGAAATTTAGTAAATTAAATTAGAAATATCTATTAAAGAGATACCTTATATATTATAAGAAGCTTAAATATCTTTTATGGATAAGAATATATAATTTGTGATTCCTTGTACAATTAATAAATATTTAACTTTTAAATCTTGTGAATAGATACCTTAATCATTTTTTTATTAATGTAAACCATTTTTGACAGGATTCTAAAATTCTATTCCTAATCTATTACCAGAATTTGAAGTAATTAGCTAATCTGATACTGAAATAAGTGTCTTAGCTTCAGCTGATTATAATGAAGAAGAATATGAAATTATGATTTCCTGTAGAAAAAGTATGATGTAAATTAAAATGAATGGTGTTTATAATGATAAACTAGTGAAAACTATCATTTCAACTTACTAAGGCCTATTTTTGAAAAGATGATTTTATATTTATAAATGATATTATTATTATTCGTTATAAATTAATTAACTTTTTTCTAATGATTTTTTAATAATTATTCCTCTATTATATTCATTAATAAACTGATATAAATATAATAATATTTTGGCTCTATAAAAATTTATTGAAACTAATCAATCTATATTTTTATATTTAGAAAAATTAAAAATTATTTTTTTAAAATTAATAATTATATATATATTATCAAAATTTTAGTTGTACATAAGATAATGTCTCTTTATAAGAAAATAAATAGTAATTAAATCATAAAATTTGCTTTTCTTTTTTAATACTTCATATCAAAACTAATATTCAAACTTAATATTTTAGTTTTTTTTTTTCTTTTTTTAAACAAAATTTTATAATTAGAATTCTCTCTTTTAGATTTATAAAAAAAAATGATATCATTTAAATTATCACTATAAATAAGATATTATTTTGATTGGAACTCAATATTTAACAATCAGAAATATAAATTCCTTTTGAATGGGTGAGATTAATTCATTCATTTTAATTAAATATATCATGCTATAATTGAATTTTCATTGTTTAAATAATATTGAGGGTTGAAAGTGACATCTTGATTAATACAGATATTCTCATCAAGTAATACTTCTGGTTCATCTGGATCTGTGTTGAGGACTTCTTCAATGAAAAAGCATTCATTATCATTTAGGCACATTTTCTTTTGAAGTTAATTTCCAAGATCTTTCAAATCTTCTTCTTAAAAATCCTTTCTTATTACAATTTCTTCATGACATACAGATTAAGGTTTCCTGTTTCCTACTTTGAAGTACTTTCTAGATTTGATACTATTCATTGTTGTACTCAGTTAAATTATTTAATATAAATTTAATGATCAATTCTGTTCTTTATAATCTTTAGAATATTCATATTTAATATTTATTAATTCAACGATCATAGAGTTAAATAATATATACTAGAAATCATTACATTAATCAATACTTATAAATTATTGCTTAATAATGCACATCTAGTTACAATAATATAAAATTTTAACTTCTTATTTTTTACTTAATTTGATTAGATTTCAAAATTAAGTTTAAGCTAATAATTGATCTCTTTTATGAAAAAATAATTTTTGAATAAAAATAATAATTAATGAATTAATTGTTAAATAATTTAAAGTTTCATAAGCCATTTTTTAAGTTAAATACAGCATAGATTGAAATACTAAAAGATCCTGTAGACTTTTATGTGAATTTACATAAAGGAATAAAAAATGCTTAAAAGAGAATAGTATGGAGTACATTATATATTGGAAATGGAAATATGGAAGAATTTTTAATAGAGAGTTTGTCTAATTAATAAAGAAGATTTGAATAGTTAAGGATTTCTTTATTGATGGACTATTATAGAGGGACAAGAAGAGATAAGAAAAATCATTAGACTCCTATTGATCATTATCTTTACTTAAGAATGCAAAATTTATACTCTAATAATATGAAACTTGGATTAATGAGACATCCTTTTCTCCCACAATTTGCTAATATGCTTGAAGAATCTGCAGCTAGAGAAATTTTCAATGTTCATCATATGAAATGGTATATCTTTGATAATCGAGTAATTTTAACAGGAGGTAATTTAATAATTTAATATATAGCTAATTTATAAGAACAGTACTTTATTAATAGATAAGATAGATATATGGTATTTCATGAAGCTAATGAATTAGCAGATTATTTAGATGATGCATAATCAGCATTATTATAACATGCTTATTATGTAGATTTTGATTCAAATTCCAAATTTGATCCTTTAAGAGCTCAACCTTTTAAGAGATAATAATATTTTAAAGAATTCCATTAAACTTGGAAGATCTTCAAATTTAGTTATAAAGAAGCTGCTGAAATTAAAAGTGATGATGAAGAATATTAAGAATAATAATAAGAAAAAGTATAAAAGCAAGAAGAGGATAATAATAATAATATAAAATAAGAATAAGAATAAGAATAAGAAGAAGAATTATCTAAAGAAGAAATGTTATAATTTTATGAAAGGGATTTAATTGTAGAATAGAAAATATAAGAAAGAAAAGAATAAGCAAAATTAATGTATATTAAGTATTAATCATAGTGAAGATTGAATAAGAGTTTCAATAAGGGAGATGTTCAAAACATTATTAATAGATTAGAGAAAGCCCTTTATAAAGATGAGGAAAGAGAATTAGATGAGGGAGAGGAATGCACAGTATTAATTACTCTACATATTCCATATTTATAAACTGATGAGGATAAATTAGTTTTTATGAAAATTCTAGAAAATTTAGATTAATTTACATGTATATCAAATTTATATTAAATTAAGCTGTGACTTGGGCATCTGGGTATATGAATTTTACTAAAACTATTATTAATTTTGTGAATAATTGCAAGACTGATATTAAATTTATTACTGCTAGTCCAGAAGCAAATGGATTTCATAAGGCTGGTAAAGCTAAATCATTTATTCCTTTTTTATATCGTTATTTTGAATTGGCCATTGATAAACCGATATTCGAATACAAAAGAAATGGTTGGACATTTCATACTAAAGGGTTTTGGGCTGAACTTTAAGATGGTTCTATAATGACAATTATAGGTAGTTCTAATTATGCTGTAAGATCAGAAAAAAGAGATAATGAAATATAAGCTTATATTTTTACTCAATGTCCTATGTTTAAATAAGATTTAAAAAAAGAATAAAATTACTTATTAAATTATGCTGAAAATATAACAAAGGAAGAAATAATTAAAGATAATGAAATCAAAATTAATTGGAAAATAAAATTATTATCAAAAATTTTTAAATCAATGATGTGATCTATAAATAAATAAAATAAGAAAACATATTTTAAGTATTTCAATCTATACTAATTTAATTGAAAGTAATTCAATATCATTCTAAATTGATATATTCAAAAAATTAAAAAAGAAGTAATACATAACAAATTAATTTAAATAAATAGTTAATTAGACATTTTGAATAATATATAAAACTTAGAGATTATTTTTGATTAATGAATGTATTTAAATCATAATTTCTTCAAAGGAATTTTCTTTCCAGCTTTAAGTGATTCATAGTCATTTTTCAATTCTTCCAATTCATCATCAATTTTAAATATTTAAGTTTCAAGTTTCTTCTCTTTATCTCTCTCATTATTTGATTAAGCCCAATAATAGTGTTGCTAAAATGAGAATGATTTCTTACTAGCATTTCTCTTCTTTATTTTCTTAATGATTCATATTTATCTTCTATTTGATTAAGTGATGATCTTTTTCCAAAATATGAGCCAGTCTTTTCAATAGTGGTCATTAACATATACACAACTACTAATACAAGTGTGATTCCCAAAAGTGCATAATTCTGCATTTTATTTAATTATTAAATATTTATATATATGAATCGACTTAGAGTCCTCAGGAATTTTACATTACCTAAATAGTTTATTAGAATCAGTTGTTTAACCTTACCTTATTTAATTTATCATAATTATCGAAATAATCCTATTCATTGTACAAATGAAGGTAAATCATATAAAAATATGACATATCAGTTCGACAAATGAATTAATCAATGTTTGTTCAAAATATTCTTGGAAATAGATAAGATTATTTCTTCTTGGTAATCTATAAAGAAGAAGTAGATGGAGGATATGGTGAGAGAGAAGCTATTGAGATTGCTAAAAAATTGTAATAAATAGCTGATAAACTTTAAATTGATTGTATTTTATTTATTTAATATAGGTCATGTTTATACTATGTCTAGACCATCTTTAAAATCTATTACAAAATTAGTCAATAGAGTTAAAAATATAAAGATTTATGAGGGAGAAGATTTTTAGAAAATTGAAATATTTTTTAAAACTCCTCATTCAGATGATTATGTTTACTTTCCTTTTAAAAAACACAACTTTTATCAACAAAATAATTTAGATAAAATATAGTAATACCTATTAATCACAATAGAACACGTGTATCGAGATTCTTTGATTTGTACTAAACAGTTACAACAAAGGAATAGTTTTAATCAATTATTTTAGAAAATTATTATTAATTAGACTCTCCTGTTTTTATTAAGTCTAATAGTACTGATGCATAACTTAAATTATTTAAGAAAATTACCTTTTAGTTTTTAGAGAAAAAAACAGTAAATTAAAATTCAAAATTCCTTATTATAGATAATAAAGAACTATGTCAAGATTTATAATTAAAAGATGATGATATATTATTATTAAGAAATGATATTTTATAAAAATATTAAAATTGCATTATCAATGAAAATAATCAAATAATACCACAATTGATAACTAAATAACAAATTGATTAATTAAAATATGAATCATTTAATGAATGGAAATAAAACAATAATAAAAATATATCAAATACAATTAATGATAAAAAATAATTAAAAAATCAATTCACTTTTGATCTTTAGTAATTTAGTTTACCTAGAGTATTTTACTTAAAGAATAGTAGAAAGTCTAATATAGGAGCATTTGTTAGAAAGATCCAAAATCATAAAAACTAAAATGATAAATTAGTTGTTAGTCTATAATTAGATCCTAAACATTAAAATAGATTAGATGTAAAATAATTTATTATTATTTTATATAGAATCACATAAGGATATCATTATTTTTTAAACTATATGATAAATATAAGGATAAATTGGAATTTGTAATATCAGCTACAAATTAATTAGAAGAATTATTACCTCATCTAAATAAATTTTAAAGTAAGTTTGTTCTTTTTAATATCTTTAATTCAATATCTTATACAAAATAATTATTTCCATAAACTGCAAAACTTTATGAAAAATATTTCTTAAAAGATACATAATTTGTAGAGAGATATGAAATAATTGATTAATAATTGAATAATTTACTTTAATAATCTTCAGAGGAGAGAATAGTCAATATTAATTACTTATCATAGGATCTAGATAAGATTTAGGAAATTAATTTAGATTATTTTAATTTTCTATAGAATAATGAAAATAAGAACAAATAAATCATATTATATTATTAAAATGATATAATGACAGAGGCATTACTATTTATTTTGAAAGATATTAAAACAAAGTAGATATTATTAAAATATTCTAGTTTAAAAATTTATACAATTTCAAGTCTAAATTAAATTCCAGCACTTTATTCATCCTTTCCAAATTAAAATGTATTGATAATAAATGGTACAGCTATAGGATTTCCAAAAATAAATGATACAAATTTAAATGAATTAAAAACTCAAGTTGAGAATTTGATCAAACAATATTTATGATTATAAATTATATAATAAATACAAATTTATCTTTTTTCAATTAATTATCTATTAATTAAGATTTAAAAAGAGAACTAATTATGAATTCTTAACATTTGTGATAATTAAATTGAAATTCATTTCTAATCTTTCAGGTTTTCATTTTTAGTTAATTAATAATTCTATTTAAATAATATAAGTAATTGTAGTTATCTTAATTTAATTGAAATTTCGTCAATTCCTAATAAATAATATTAAATAACATACAATAATATTAAAATTTGAGAACAACTAACTCATTTTATTACTAAATTTTAAATAAAATTATAGTATTTTTTTTTCACCCATTCTTAAAATTAAACAATTCCTTTAATTTATGGTCAATTCACATATCTTAAGTATTTCTTAGTCTTACTAATAATATAATAAAAGTATTACTTCTAAAGTTGTTGGATATTGATTAAGACTATGAGTACAAATATTTTCAATTTAATCCCACATACTTAATTCATTTTATATACTAACAAATGAGATTTTTGTGGGTTTAAAGTATTATTTCTTTCCAAGTAAATTGATAAGATCATTTTAATCATTTATTAAAAGAAACCTTAAAAAACTCATTAAATCTAATATGTTAACATCTAAATAAACATATTAAATTACCTTCTGGATCAATAACTAATTTAAAAGATTTTGGAAATTATAAAGTGTCTCTAATTAATTCTTCTTTTAATTATATTAGTGGTATAGGTCTATCTGGATCAACAATCACATTTACTTCATTTGCATTATTATCATCTACAACAAATCCATAATTTAATAAAAATCTTGAATTACATTTACTTCCATAACTATCAAAAATCATCTAACCTTTTTCAATATTTCCATCAGTTTCAATTATAAATCCTTACCTTTCATCAGAATAACACCAAGAAGTTAATTTAGGACGTTTATGATTCAGCATATCTGCTAGAGGAACAAAAGCATCAGTTTTAATTCCTTTAATATTTATACCAAAAATTCTGCTGCATGCAGTCATTCTAGCCCAACAAAATTCATTAAATGAATATTAGAGGAATTCAGGAGCTATTTTACAAATATTATCATAATCTTTTTTTAAATCAATAATTTTATCTTTGACTTATTCTAAAATATTCAAAATATATAATACTTAAAAAAGATGATCCTTTCAACCATTCAAAATCATTTTCATTGAAAAAGATTGGAAAATTGGAATATGATTTTGGAAGAATATCTAAATAAGGTTTCCAAAATGAATCCTAATTAGCTTTTTCTTACAATAAAAAAGTAGACAGAAATGAGTGTTTTGGTGATAATAAATCAAGTCTATATTGAATTATTTTTTTAGCTATTGATGTTTCTTTTGTCATTTCTAAAGTTATCATATGTGATCTAGGAATGAATAAGATGATTTCTTTTGAACTTATAGCCTTTTTTGCATTTATTCCTCGATAATCTTCTGAATAGCATTCAATCTAAATTTTAGGAAAATGAGCTTATCCATTCTTAAGCCATTCTAAAAATCTATTTTATCTAACCAACTCATCTTAATCAATTAAAGACTAAGATATATATTATTATTACTTGTAGAACTAGTGATTTATAATAATTCAAGTGTTTCTCTATTTCTAAACTATGATTTTCCATTTATTCTAAGCATTAAATAGCATCCTAGCTATGATCATATAGATACTTAAATATAACCCATTTCATATAGTATCTGGGCCTTATTTATTAAAGCCTTAACATAATTTGGATTCAACAATAAAGCTTTATTACAGTCTTAAAGGGCCAACTCTAAATCATCCAAATAAAAATATGCTTAAGATCGATTGTTAAAATAGATTGGATTTTCTTCAATCTCTAAACACTATTAAGAAAACTCTTACAAATAGCTTTTGTGTATAAAGTAAGTGCTTTATCATATTCACTATTTAGAAAAGCCTTATTCCCTTCTTCCTATTTATTTTATTTATTATTCGTCTTACTTTGAGTTAATTTGAATTGAGTTCATTTCTTCTAGTTCTAGGTGGCATAAAATAATATAATTAAAATTATTCTAAATAATTTTCATTCATTATTAAATGTTATTTTACTTTATTAATTTTTACCCATTTTTTGATATTTAAATAAATTTTATTAACAATCCTTTCTATTATAATTATAATATTTAAGTAATTCTTAAATAACTAAATATTTTTTCAAGTTATTAAGTATTACTTTTGCCATCTATATTCTAAATTTAATTTTAATAAATTAAAAGAAAGATAAATATAATTCAATTAATAATTAATATTAGGATCCCTTATATTATTTAAGTAAATTATTTCTATCATAGATTATAATTATGATTTTATATCTATATACTATTTCATCTAATTAATTGTTAAACTATTTTCATAAATAATGATCTATCTCAAATATAAAGAAATAATATTTTAATTTATTTTCATCTTTAATATAGAAAATTTGAATGTATAAATTAGTTATTTGCTATAAAAAATGATCATAATATTTACAATCATCAAAATTGTTGTTTTTAATTAAATATGCATTTTTCTATATATATACATTTACAAAAATAAATAAATCTAGAATGATTGATTTCTATTAAATAGAATGCTTAAATCAAATATTTTGTATTAATCTTTTATTTCTAAGTAAATTTTTAATAATATTGCATAAATAAAATATAAATAATCCGAAATAATGTATTTATTCGTTTCTATTTCAATTAAAATTTCTTAATTAATTATCATAAGTTTGTCAGTTTTATGAGAACTAAATTAAAGCAAGTAAATTCGTAAGTCAACAGTAAATCTAATTTTGATATATCTACAAATTTTTTAATAGCTAATATTATTCTTAAATAATTGAATAGATTTTTGTATCAAGTAAATATTAAAATAGATTGAGCATAATTTTTATAATAATAACTTGACAAGTATCAATTGATTTTTATTTATAAATTCTGAACCTTTAAAAATCCATTCTCAATTACAATAGTGTTGCTAATAATTCTTTAATTCCAAATTATTTTAATGAGATCTTATAACAAATGTAAAATAAAAAAGTTGATTTAATAATGTTATTTATATTTATTTAATAAAATAAATAACAAAAAAAATTTATTAACTAATTCAGAATATAAAAAAGAGTAGATTAGTTTAGTTTGTAATAATATGTAATTTATATACTACTCATTCTTATTAAATGGTTTATCCTTAAGAGTTAATTGATTCATCAGTTCTTAATTAGTAAAAAAGAACGTAGGCTGATTTTGTAACGACCTATGATTCACTGATTTCTCCAACATGAGAGTCATCAAAATTATACCATTTTTTTGTAAACTATTGAATATATAAAATAAATACTTTATTTTTAGCACAAGCTGTATAATGACCTCCTCCAAGACCTCCAAAATGATTTGATACAGCATACAAATCATATATAACTTTTTGTTTATTATTTTCTCCATTGTCATCTTCTGTTTCAGTTTCATATTCCTGAGGGGTTTTGGAATTTATTAAATAATCAGTCATATCAAGTCCATTAATGGGAAAGTCTACAAAAGTTTCAAGTTTTTATTTAAACATTCTATTAGATTCTTTAAATCTTTTCAATGTGAATATTAATATTTGTGGAGCCTATAATAATTTGAAATATATAATTAACCTTATATATTTACATGCTTTTATAAGCTTAGACATGTTCTTTACAAACTTTACAATACCAAGTATTATCTATATTTAATTATTCTGGTTATTGAGAGAATTACAAACAATCTACTAAAGTAACACTACCAGAATGTTGATTAGAATGACCATGATTCTAATATGGAGTAGTTTATTATTATTATTATTCAACTATTAATATTTGATTAATAAATTACTTTCTATTTTATTCTAACTTTTATAATGATCAAAAATATCAGCAAGTTTGATATTTTAATATGGAGATTCTTTCCAAAATATAATAATTTCGAAATGACCTTAAGAATTAGAAGTAGCTATTTTCTTTTTGATTTCCTCAAGTTATTCATCATCAAATTGAACTTCACAATCATTACAATTCTTAGATGAACAATAAGAACATGGATTCCAATAATTACTATTTGATTTATATAAAATACTATAATACTAATAATAAATTGAATTGTTACTTTATTTAATACATTTGTTTCATAATCTAATGTTTGATAATCAACAAAAAATTATTTTAAGTATTAAAATATTTTTAGATGCATTTATTTTCTAGTCATGGATCCATCAAAAATAAAGAATCCATTTTAAAAATATGAATTTTTTTAAAATCCTTAATATTTATTTGAAAACTAAACAGGCAATTTATTTTATATTTAAGCTTCCTCATTTAAAAGAGCTCTAAAACACAATTATTATCTTTTAGCACTTTTTCGTATATCAATAATTGATTTACTTTCATTTAATAATTCAAAAGATGTATATTAATTAGCAATATAAGCATATAAGTTTTATGGTTAAATCTTTAATTCTTATCCTAAAACTTAATAATATTCTTTTAATGATATATTCTTATTTTTATCAAATGGAATAATTTTAGAGGTTGAATTAAAGAATGAATCAAAAAATTTAAAAGATATAGTTCTTTACTTTTAACTTGGTATTCCTAATTATACCATCAAGTAAGGATCAAATGTGATAGACAATCTTTCACATTTTGGACATTTTAATGTTGATTTATATTATCCATACATCAAATCAACAACAATAGATTAATTTCTAGCTAAATGATTTATCCAACTTTCTTTAGCTACAACAAAATCTGTTCTTCCATCACTATCTTTAGTTTCAACATATGGTTTCTTTTTAACTCTATTCAAATCTTCATGAATTCCATCTAAAACAAAAGTAATTAATTCAGATGAATCATGTTAATGATAACCTTTAAACATTGGTTAAAATTAACCAACAGCTTTTTTATAATTAGTTGGTGTTACAACAGATTTCTCTCCATACCATAACTTTTTTAATAGAGATCCTACTCTTTTTACTAATTAACCTTTAGTTCCTATAGGATTATCCATATTTATTTCATCAAAATATTAATTACTCAAAAAATACTCTGTTAATGGCATAGTATTTGATATACATTATGTGCCACTATTCATAAAACAAGTATTTCCTAAATTACTCAAACCAGCTAATCCTGCAACAGAATTAGGTTGTTAACTCAATCCTTTGATAGTATCATCATCAGATCCAAACTTATCACATTTCATACTGTGAGAGTTATAATCTTTAACTTTACATTCTTATGAACAATATGCTACTTTTCTACATACACATGGATGATTAAGGATTTTCATAAATTTACAATTCTCACACTTTCCTTCTATCTAAACAGCTTTATTACGAATACACCAAGGTTTAATCTCATCTTTAAACTATTTAGATAACATCTATTATTACTTCTATAATAATCAAATGATTATCTAAAATTCCTATATCTTCAATAGTTTCATATATTGAATAATGAATATAATCACCATTAAAATCAAAACTCATTTCATCATTATTCTCTAATTCTCCAACTTATTTTTAAATATCTGTAAATAATGCCTTTTAAATATCCTTCTATTCCGTTTAATATCTCCAAATTCTGACATTATTATCTTTTGCAAAATTAGCTGTGAATGTTGTTACAGTTTTTTGAAGTAAATTATAGTAATCTTTTAATTTCATATTTCTATCAACTTGTAAATACAACTTATCAAATGATTTTTTATAAAACTTATCCATTGCTATCTATTTGATTACTGTAGGATAAAGCAAAATACTTTTAAACTCGCATAATAATATTATAAAATACTTTTAATAAATTGACTGCTACTGTTTTCTCTGGTCCTTATCCATTTGACATTCTCACTATTGGTGTGCCATGATAATATGTTGTGAAGAATTACCAAATCTCTTTATCTACTATTATATAATCAATATTTTCTTATAGATTCTCTTTCATGAAAGTATTCCATGGATGATCCTTTATTGGATAATATTTAAAGCATTTATCAACACGATCCTCTAAATTTATGTTTATATGTTCCATATTTAGTCTTCCAAAATTTTAACTTGGGTTCTTATTAGCCAACATTTCTTCATATGAAACATATTCCTTCCATTGATTTAGCCATCTTAATATTACATTTAAAATACTTCACACTCAAAATATAAAATACATCGATTTGATCTTATTAAAATCTCTTTTAAAAAGAATCCATAAAGTTTTTGAAATCTAAGGCTTATCTTTTAAGTTTATCTGCAACTTATTAAGACACCTTAATATAATCTAATCTCTCATCTTCCATTGTTTACTAAAATTTAATTAATTAATTAATATATTGAACATCTGCTGATAAATACTGAAATATATATACATTCATCCCAATGTAAAATATTTATTAAAATTGTACTAAACTATTATTATTCCATTTTCTCATATATGAACTATGATTCCTAAAAATAACCTTTTATTATCAATTATGCATTTTAATAACAACAACAATTATACTATATTTTTATAAATGAGTTTGAAATTACGAATTTTATTATCTCTCTAAATAAATAATAATCATTTAATTTCTAAATTAATATTATTAACTTTCATAATTAATACTGATCAAATTTTACATCATCAAAATTAAATAACAAATAAAGGGATGCTAATTCTGATCCATATATATATGAATGGTGGTTTAATTATTTCCATAATTTATATATATTTATAATTATTTAAACTTCTCCATTAAAATATGATTTGCAATAATGACACATTTAAGATGTTTACCATCAAAAAAATAATTTATGAAAATCAAAATCAAAAAATTTACTTGGCTAACATTAAAGATAAGTTCAAAGTAATTGTACTTAAAGTTGAAATCGGTGATTAAAAATACATCTAAACATAATACAAAATACTTGACTTTTTAAAATTTGTTTTGGGAGTGCCATAAATACTGAACTTCGGTTTTACTGCTGATGAAAAGTATATATCAATTATATTTGAGGTTTTATTATTCTATAGACTATTATGATAAATCTGTTTCCAATATTTTAAAATAATACGGAACTTTAAGTCTATAATCAGTGTTATCAATAGGATTATCTTTACTTAGAATTTTAAGTGCTATTCACAGATAAGAAATTATTTATTGTAATATTTGTCCAGAAAATATTGTATTTTCTAAAGAAGGATTAGATCATGATTCTAAAATTCATTTAATTGGTTTTGGTTAAGCATTTTTTAAATATGACAAACCAAAAAAAATTTTAAATAAAGACTTTTTTCCTTATTAATCCTGCTTATCTCATAATAATCATATACTTTATAAGAAGGATGATTTAGAAAGTTTGGGATATCTCTTAATAAAATTAAGAAAAGGTATGATTATATATAAAATTTGTAGGAACCTTACCATGGGAATAATTGCCTCAATAATTGATGAATTAGAAGAAGTTTGAATGTTTGAAATCAAACGAAATATTTAAGGGACTTCCATATGAATTTAAATTGTACTTTAAATAACTTGAATAATTTAATGATGAACCAAAACATTAATATTTCATTAAATTACTAAATGCAATTATGTTAAAATATTGCAAGACAACTCGACATTGTATTTAAGAACTAAATTAATTAACTCCAATATCTGAAGCTTCAGTTGAAACAATAACATCAATAGATAGTTTATANATGAGTTTGAAATTACGAATTTTATTATCTCTCTAAATAAATAATAATCATTTAATTTCTAAATTAATATTATTAACTTTCATAATTAATACTGATCAAATTTTACATCATCAAAATTAAATAACAAATAAAGGGATGCTAATTCTGATCCATATATATATGAATGGTGGTTTAATTATTTCCATAATTTATATATATTTATAATTATTTAAACTTCTCCATTAAAATATGATTTGCAATAATGACACATTTAAGATGTTTACCATCAAAAAAATAATTTATGAAAATCAAAATCAAAAAATTTACTTGGCTAACATTAAAGATAAGTTCAAAGTAATTGTACTTAAAGTTGAAATCGGTGATTAAAAATACATCTAAACATAATACAAAATACTTGACTTTTTAAAATTTGTTTTGGGAGTGCCATAAATACTGAACTTCGGTTTTACTGCTGATGAAAAGTATATATCAATTATATTTGAGGTTTTATTATTCTATAGACTATTATGATAAATCTGTTTCCAATATTTTAAAATAATACGGAACTTTAAGTCTATAATCAGTGTTATCAATAGGATTATCTTTACTTAGAATTTTAAGTGCTATTCACAGATAAGAAATTATTTATTGTAATATTTGTCCAGAAAATATTGTATTTTCTAAAGAAGGATTAGATCATGATTCTAAAATTCATTTAATTGGTTTTGGTTAAGCATTTTTTAAATATGACAAACCAAAAAAAATTTTAAATAAAGACTTTTTTCCTTATTAATCCTGCTTATCTCATAATAATCATATACTTTATAAGAAGGATGATTTAGAAAGTTTGGGATATCTCTTAATAAAATTAAGAAAAGGTATGATTATATATAAAATTTGTAGGAACCTTACCATGGGAATAATTGCCTCAATAATTGATGAATTAGAAGAAGTTTGAATGTTTGAAATCAAACGAAATATTTAAGGGACTTCCATATGAATTTAAATTGTACTTTAAATAACTTGAATAATTTAATGATGAACCAAAACATTAATATTTCATTAAATTACTAAATGCAATTATGTTAAAATATTGCAAGACAACTCGACATTGTATTTAAGAACTAAATTAATTAACTCCAATATCTGAAGCTTCAGTTGAAACAATAACATCAATAGATAGTTTATATCTCTCTCGACGATCTGCAATGCTTTCAAATGTGAGTAGTGTAAATTTGTTAACGAATACTGAATTAGACTCATCTATTGAAGAAAAGCTGAAGAAATTAGAGTTGATAACTAAATAATATAAATTAATCAGTAACTTATGAGTATATTATATAATATTGATATAATTTATTAGATTATTACTATAGAATAATATAAATTAAATAATAAGACAATACTATATTTTTATTTAGTGTCATTTACTTATTTGTTTATTATGATTTAAGTATTTTTAATTTATAAATTATTATTATTCATAATAATAGTGTTATTATTATTATACATCTAATATTCGTTGTAATAGTAACAAATGATAAATAATAACTAAAAATTAAATAGCTCGAGAGAATTATTTAGTTTTTTAAATGGATATTGACAAATAATTAGAGATATTGAGAAATGGGAGATGTTTAAGTGAAAGAGACACTCATTTGATTTGTGAAATTGCAAAAGATATTTTAATAGAGGAACCAAATGTAGTTAATGTGAAAACTCCAGTTATGGTATGTGGAGATATACATGGATAATATTTTGATTTATTGGAACTTTTTAAATGTGGAGGACAATTACCAGAGAAGAAGTATATATTTAATGGGGATTATGTTAATCGAGGGTAATTTAATAGATTATTTAAGGTATCATTCAGTTGAGACCTTCTAATATTTATTATGTTTAAAGATTAAGTATCCAAAAGATATTATATTGCTAAGAGGAAATCATGAATCAAGACCTATAACTTAAGTTTATGGATTATATGATGAAGTGAAAAAGAAATTTGGTAATATTTATCCTTGGTAATACTTTTGTGATGTATTTGAATATTTGCCATTATGTGCATTGGTAGATTAAAAGGTATTTTGTGTACATGGAGGACTGTCTCCATTAATAAATACTATTGATTAGATACGAGTAATAGGTTTCATATAAATGTTATATTTAAATAAGATCGAAGAACTGCAAAAGATAATGAAGGTCCAATGTGTGATATGTTATGGTCAGATCCTGAGTAAGATTTAGAGGGATGGGCAAAAAATAATCGTGGGGCAGGTGTTTAATTTGGAAAGAAAGTAGTTGATTAATTTAATCATATTAATGAATTAATTTTGATTGGAAGATCACATCAATTGATAATGGAAGGATATAGATATGAATTTAAAGTAAATATAGATTTAAAAATAGAAATAATTAGTTACAGTATGGTCAGCACCTAATTATTGTTATAGATGTGGAAATAAAGGATGTATTATGATTTTGGATGAGAATTTAGAGTAGAGTTTCTTATTATTTGAAGAATCAATAGATTCTAATTAAGTTATCTCTAATTAAGGTTTGTTACCTTATTTTTTATGAATTTATTTTTGCAATATATTTTATTCTATAATTATAGTTAGTAATAACATATTGGTATAATAAATTTAATTTAATGAAAAAGATAGCACCAAATTTGTCAGATTATTAATCTGCAGGATAAGGATAATTGCTGAAATATATTCAGACATTAAGAGAAGTAGAATAGAACAGCATTATTCATAAGTTAGAGTAATACGATATAAAATAATTGTATCATGTAATATAGTGTTTAGAACTTAGGTTTATCAATAATTCAAAGCAAAGATAGTATAGATGACACCATATGAGACAATCAAATGTTTAGAGTTTAATGGAAAAGACGAAGAGATTGGATTTACAACAATAGCAGAGGGCAAACGTATACGGTAATACTCACTATTTAGTGGCAATCGTATTGAGTGCTCAGCAAAACATAAGTTTGTTAGACATCCAGTTGCCTTCACATAAGTGTTTGTTTCAATTGTATTGCGAACGAATTTGGAGTCTTTAGAATGTAATCAAACAACGTTGTGGAAAATGTTTACCAATATTAATATTTATAATGACTACCAATATTAATCATGATATGATTACTAGCTTTTTTTAAGATAAAAATCATTTTGGTTTGTAAGAAGATCAGATTTTTTTTATATAATAAGATAAATTACCATTATTAAGTATGGATGGACAAATTCTTTTTAATAATGAATTTTAGATTTCTGATGAATCAATAGGAAATGGATATATTTATTTAAATCAATCTGTTTTAGATACAATGAAATTTTTAGGAATAACAATTCTTCATTTATGTTCTATTGAAAATGTCCTATGTAAATTTGGAGATCCTATTTGGATTGGTGCATTCATTAGAAATCAATTATATTTTAGTGCAAAATGTGTACAGAAACGTAGTGTTGATGAAAATCTTGGAATCATAGTCAATTAATTTAATTAAGGTTTATAATATAAAGGTATAATTATATAGAATTATATATCTTTAGAATATGATGAAATTTCATATAATGATTTAGTCAAAAAAGATAAAAATGGAAATTTGGTTAATCCTGATGGAGTCATTGGTTAAGTCTTATGTTCATTGGATTATGCTATAGAACTTTGTTGCAATTATAAAAAACATATTTTGTCTAAGTAGAGATTTACAATCAAACTAGTTTCCATATTCGATAAAAGAAATGTACATATTTTGATTACATAACTTCCAGATTAATCAAACCTATGTAATAACCAAATGCTCTAAAATTCGAATTGACATATTATGAAGCTATTCCTTATTGTCCAATACAATCTTTTGGATTATTCAGAGTCAAAAGAGAAGATGAATATGCTCCAATTCTCAATTCTTCAAATGAAAGTAAAGACACCATTCATACAGCAAGACAAGCCTATATGTATAGAGATTAAAAATGGATGTCATAATTAGGTTTTGAAGTTAATTCAGAATTTGAGATTTCACCTAAATTAACTTATTTTGGAGAAGGATTGGAAGAAGCTACAAAAAAATAGATAAAAAATAAATAATAAATTCCACTTATTCTACATAGTGAAAAATAAATTAGAACTGTTAGAGTTAATAGTGTTCATAATTAATAACCATAAAGTTCACCTAACAAATATTCTTCTTAAACTGTTAATACATAAAGTTTCTTATAATAAAAAATGAGTATTCATTAAAGTTTGAATCATCTAAAATAACCTATTACTAATTCATTAGTTACTCCAACTAATAATTAAAGTTTCCAATTATCTGGTAGAAAAAGTATAGATTAAAAACCAAATAGATAGACTGATTATTATCATAGACCTAATCTAAATTAATTAAACAAACCTATTTATTATGTACCTAATACATATTATTTACCAAAAAAATGATTTAATAAATAATTTTATTATAATATTTATTTATCACAATAAATTATAATTTTATTAAACTCTCTCCCAAAACTCTTCAGATACCTAACTCAATTGGATTTCATATTGAATTAAACTCTTTGCCATTCTATAATAATTCTACTACTTCTCCAACTAACATTCAACCTAATTAATACCTTAAATTTATCAATCTCTATATATCCCAATAATACAGTAAGTATATCACATATAAATTGCATATTTTCAATGTCTTTACATACTTAATCTATCTAAACTTATAATTTTGCTATTTGATCCTCCTTCTTTGATGTACTAAATATATTCTTTATTGAAGATTTCCCTGCTAACACTTCTTATAATTAAATTTAAAGTTCCTTCTACTTTTATTCATAAACCACCTTCTATTATTCATATTTCTCTCTCTATATCATTGTCTCCAAAAATGCTTTCACTTATTTTGATTCCTTCTTAATTTCTTAATATAATGATTGGAATTCATTCTATTGTAATAAATTAAGGTAATTATTTAGTAATTAAGATGGATACTCATCATTTTTGATATTCTAAATTACTAATTTATCTTAACTCTCACTAAACTCTAGTAAGACTTACTATTCATAACTAGGCAATTAATTTTAAAGGAAATTGACCATTGATTCTTAAAAATTCTGTCTTGCCTCAGCTATATTTCTATTATATTTTGATAATATACTTAGCAATTTACTTAAAATTCTCAACCATAGGATTTACTCTTTTTAGAAATTAATGAAAATCTGTTATCTTTTGGATTAATTCTCTATTGATTTCTCTCTATTTTCTATAAATTAAATTAATATACTCCTGAAAGATCAGTGAATGTGTCTTAATATTTATTGATTATTTCATCGTATGTCAATTTTGGTACTTAAGTCAAAGCCTATTTATAAGTGCTTTATTTACTTTTTCAATATCACCATTAGCCTTTATAAATAATTGAAATTCTTCAGAATACCAGAAATACTTCGATTAAGACATAATCCTCATCCATTCTTATAATGAATGCATTCTATCATCTATGAACTTCTAATCCATATTTCCCTAAAAGTTGTAGACTCTCTATATATACAATTGCCTTTCTTGGTGGAAGTGGTGGTATATAACAACCTGGCCACTTTGTTATAAGGAATTGTCGAATAAGTCTGAAATCGCTAAACCTTCTAATCACATCAAATTATCCATTCTTATCCATTCCTCGGACTGAATAAGTTGTATACTTGTTAAGTCCCGATTAAACCTTTGGATCACTAACTTCAACTGAGATCTTTTATATTCTCTACATCGATATATAATACCTCGAAATCATCTTAGTTCATGAATAATATTATATAAATTCATTTTCTATGTGTAACTGAGTGGTATAATTATGAATAAAACATTGTTGCCAAAATTGCAGCTCCAATAGGTCCTCCCACATAAATCCACATATTAATCATCTAATCCCAATTCTTGGCTAAACAATCAAAGACAGTCAGACTTAGTGCAGCAGCTGGATTAAGTAAACTATTACTAGATGTAATTGTATATCTATCAAAATATATTTGAAAATATTACTCTCTGCAAGCATAATATATACATGATAAAATTACTAATGTGGCTATTCTATTTTAAGATAATGAAGTCTCTTTAACAAAACAAATTAAAGTAAAAATTAAAAATATTGTAGATCCTATCATTTCTCCAAATAATGATGCAGCTAATTCTTTTATAGGTTCACTAATTTATCTTAATTTCTTACTCTTCTATATATGGAGCCTTATCCATATTCAATAATAAAAATGATAATGCAGCCCCACCAAATGCTCCTAAAAATTGAGGTAAGAAGTAGAAAAACATTGTGCCATATGGTATACCTCCACCTAAAGCCATAGCTAATGTTATTGCTGGATTGAAATGACCTCCACTTAATCTACCAAATACAAGCATACATCCAAATAATCCCAATGCTACTTAATATGCTTCATTTCTAATTGTATTTTATTGTATTACTGACTACATACACTTATATACACTAAAAAGAATGTCCCTAAGAGTTCAAAAATAAAGATGTTCTTTTTAGAAATTGCTTGTTTTTGTTCTTCTGTAATTTGTTCCATAAAAATATAAAAAAAATTTTTAATTAAGATTTTAATACATGGGTGTAAGAGTCACTTATCGTAGAAGAACCAGCTTTAACACAAGATCAAATAAGATCAGAAAAGTCAAGACTCCAGGTATTTAAATCCATCTACTCTAGGTGGTAGAATTGTGACTTAATATCCCAATAAAAAGACAACTGCATCAACATGTGCAGATTCTAATTTGAGTATTGTCTTAAATGGTCTTAAAAGAATTAGACCAACAAAATTAAAATAACTTGCTAGAAGATAAAGAACAGTCTCAAGACCATATGGAGGTGTTTTAAGTGCTGGAGCATTAAAAAATCGCATCATTAGAGCATTCCTTGTTGAGGAAGTTAAAATAGTAAAATAAATCAAAAAATGATTAATAATACATTAAAAATTTATCTATGAGATAACATTATTGCTTGTAATAAATTAAATTCAATAATTTCATATTTAGCAAAGTTTATTATAATAACTGAATTTTACAAAATTATCTTTAGGTTATATTGTATATATGACATGATGATTAATCATAATGCAAAGATTATATATTTTATTAAAAAGAAATAAAATTGCCATCCCCCTAGTTTAATTATTATGCTATATAGATAGTAATTAATAAGGAATATATGAAAATTGTTAATAATTTGTATAGAATAACAAATATTGATTTTATTTACTATTATTTATTTTTATTAACGATTATGATAAGCAAAATGATAATGGATCGTTAGAAAAAAACATAAAATATTGATGAAAATGAATTGGATTCTTTCAATCGATATTTGTAAAGGGATAATCAACCTTTAAATTTAGGCACATAACTCTCTTATTCTAAAATTAAAGTGAATGTTGGAATGCCTGTGATAACTGAATAGTAAAATGAAACTCTTGGTAATACTCATTAATCAACTGTATAACAAAGCAAAAATGTATCACCTTAAAAGAAGGGTATAGGAATGGAAGATATAAGGTTGAACATTAGAATAGTTTTCAAATTTTATGCAAGTTTTGGGAATAGAAACAATACTAGGTTTTTGAAATCAAATAAATTTATTAAAATGTTATCTGATGCTCAAATAATGCCATAAATATTATCAAATCGAGATTGTGATATTTTATATGCCTAACAAACTAAAAATAATGAGAGTCTTACACTTGAATAATTTTAAAATTTAATACCAAAACTAGCTATGATTCTATACCCATAATAAAAAGTTCATTAAGCATTTTAAAAATTATATAATGAATATCTATCATAGTTATCTTAAAAAATATTAAATTTTACTGAATTTGGATAATAAATTCAATTTGTACTCTAACCAATAAGCAATGAAATTAAAGAATTTATAGAACCAATTTAATAATAATTGTCAAATTTACATAAATTTATATTTGAAGACTAAAGCACAAATATAACCAAAGTTTAATGGTAATTTATGTAATTTTTAACTTAATGTGAAATATTACCTAATTATATTAATTAATCTTAAGCACAAATAATTTTTGATAACATATAAATAAGATAGTAAACCCTTAATCTATAAGAAAGTGGAAATTATTTATTTAGTTTGAATAATTTTGTTGAAAGTTTGATTATAATTTCAAAAACAGTTCAAAATCTTGATGAATTTACACAATTTAGATTATTGCTTGATAAAATTGAATAATCAGAAGGTTTTAGTTAATATTTAAGAAAATTAAATAGAACATAGAGTGATAAAGTGAGATTATTTTATAATATAGAAAAAAGTAGAGTCTATAATAAATAAGATAATCTAATTCAATAAAGTTAAATGATATCAAATACTTAAAATAATTTAAGTCATACTAACATTTAAAATATATAAATTGGAAATACTAATAAAAAAGTTGATGAGAGTAGGGTTAATGTTTCTTTATTAAAATAATCTAAATATTTATCAGATATAGAATAATCTTATATTTCTTCATTGAAAAAATTATTTGAATTTTTTGCATAAAGTGGAGAACCTAGTAATATTTAATCTTTAAAAAATACAAAATTTAATAAATTATTGTTACATTCTGGAATTTTGAATAATTTAATAACTATAACTGATTCTGATATGATCTATTCAAAATTATGTGGTGTTTAATCAATTAAAACTTAATAAAAAAATAAATAATTGACAAATGGTAAAATGACTTTTGGATAATTTCAAATGAGTTTGGGAATCATAGCTGAGAAATGTGGAATGGATGTAAATGAATTAATTCAATAAAATATATTACCTTTAGAAAAATAAATATCTGATGATAATAAAGAATAAATCCTATAAATATTAGTTGATCTATTGTAAGATGAATCAATTGTATAATAATTATATAATAATATTAGATTTAACTATATGAGATGATTTAACCAGTATTTGATTGGTATTTTTAAGAATATACAAAATAATAAAATTCAATATTGTATTTATCAGAATTTTTGAAATTTTGTTAAGACTTTGAATTATCCAACATTTTAATATCTTAGACATAATTGACTTCAATATTTTACTCTGTAGCATCACTTAATTAAGAAGGTCAAGAATACTCAGACTAGATTTTCCTTGATAAATCTTAATTTGTAGAAGCTATCAGTATTATAGCCATTCAAATTTATTCTACAATTCCTAACAACATTTAAAGAGTATATATATTAATATTATTAGATTGTATATCTCCTGGAAAGAATATTTTAGTCTCAAAATGCTTCAAAAATATATGTTAAATAAAATAAGTATATATATTTAATAATTAAAATGTAGATTATAAGCTAGATTTTAGAATGTTATTGAGGATATTAAATATAGATTTTTAGAAAAAGATAAAATACATTAAGTGGAAGAATAATATAATTTTGATGATTTAGTAAATGGAACTGTTTAATAATTTTAATGATTTTATTTATTTTCAGAATAATTCATTAATTAAATCTTTTAATTCTAAAATTGTACTTTCTTATTATTTTTCTTTAACAGGAAATTCTATATTATATGATTCTTCTGGTTAAATTGGTTCTTAAACTTCATTATAAACATCTTTTAGATTCATCTTTCTATATTTTCCAGAAATAATCATTCTACTTACCTTTTATCTTTCTTTCTATTCTTGTAATGAGTGTCCATATTAAGTAAAAGAATATTTTGGTAAAATAGTATTACTTTAAGCAGCAGATCTTGGAGGATTTTAAAGATTTCGAGAACATTAACTACAAAATATATCAGTTTTTTAAGCTTATGGAATAAGAACCAAATAAATAGGAGTTTAACAACATTTACTACATGGAATCCATTCAGAATCTAAATTTAATAAAAATTAATTATTAACCTGAAAAATAAATGTAAAACTTTTCAGAAACAACATGTTAACATATAAGTAAATTTATTTCTTAAATTGTAAGTTCTTTAAATTTGTCTTATACAATATTAAGAACTGATAATCTTCTCCTGTCTCCAGGTGGTAAGGCTTTGAGTTTAGCATTCATGACATTATGAAGAATAGTACGATAATTTGCTAAATGTCTTATTAAGTCTATTACTTTTGAGAAAGTATATTTTCATATATCGTTTACTTTATTTTGTTTCCATCTCATTATTATTTAATTACTCAGAAAATAACATATTAGGTTATCTTTAGGTGTGTGAAGTTGTTGCTCTTGGAACATGACAAATAGACTATCAATTAGTGATATTAAATACTTGAGCTGTTGAAGGTTTTTTTATAGGTTGAGTTTAAGAAGTAAATGGACGCACTTATATATTTGACTTATAACTCTATACAGGATTAAATGGGTAATTTTGAAAGACTATTCCCTTCTTTAATTTTCCAACTGATTAGGACTTTGAATGGATAGCATTCTGATTGTCGATTTGTGTGCTATAATAATTATAATTCATATTAAATTAATAACTTAAAATTATTAAGTGCTTCTTAATATATCTATTTATACATCAATTAATATACAACTGATTACACAAGCAAAGTATCTAATATAAAATAATAAAACCCTGAAAATATTTTTCAACAGTTATAAGAAAGCTGATTGAAAGATGAAAACAATATTATATACTTTTTATTCTAAGGTTTAACAAAAAAATTCTAAATTAATACCAATTAATAATTTCTAGAATCCTATCATTTCTCAAAAAAATCTAAATAAACAAGAAATCATGCTAAGTTAGACATCAACTTTAGCCAATAGTATAGGGCAAAGAATGCACAACTTTAAAAATTATAAATATTTTTTGAAGAATTAATGAAAAACAAAAAAGATAATTGAAACCTTTAATTTATATGGATCTAAAAAAATAAAGGAACATTAATTATTATGGAACTAAAAGAAATAATTAAATAAAAATTCTCTGAGCATTATTTTTAATTTCTATTTGTAATCGAGATGGAATCAATTTTTTCTCATGCAAGTTGATTTTACATTCGGAACTCTCATATACATAAGTCGAAATGGATATAAGAATATCTATTTAGAATTAAATAAATGTATTAACAAAATATTGTTGTTGTTAAGTATAAGATGGATGAAAAAGTTCTTATTTGTTTTCATTTATCATTGTTAAAGAATATCAAATCTCAAAAGTACAAGAGATGTACTTCGACTTTTTTAATATATTAAAATGACTAAATAGCAATTATATATAGTTATATAAAAATTCCATTCAAACATGGTTTCTTTATCAAGGCATTGAAAATAACAAGATATCCAGTATGCTTTCGGGAGCAGATAAAGATGTAGATGGCTGTTCAATAAATTTACTAAGGAGATATTAATTTGTATTATGAGGAGAATGATTAGTTTTATATTGCTATATTTTCTCATATTTATTATATTTATATTTGTTATTACCATCAACTCTCTTTCTTGATTTAGTCTCTTGATTAGAATTTTTGTTGATTTCTAAAAAATTATAAAATTCATTATATACATTTTCTAATAATATCTGATTTCGTTAAAAGAACCATTAAGAAGATTTTATAATAATTTGTGTTTATTAATTTTATTATTAAGAATTAAAACTATTTTTATAGCTTTTAAATTTTATATTAGTAATCATTCAATATATAAAGTAGATAAAATTGATATTAAAATAAATATTAAAAGAATGTCTATTTTTTTATATTTATAAAGTTTGTTATTTTACTTTAATTCAAATAGTAATTACAATATATTTTTTATTTTATAAATAAATATACTATTAAATATAAAATAAATGAATAATGAGTTATATGTTAAATATTCATAACTAAAAAATCAAATAATAATATTTTAGCAATTAATGTGTCCATAATTTCTACAAACTAGACATTAGATCTATTCTTTTTAATTGTTTATTAATTGAACCAAAATTCCACAATCTTATTCATTATGACTATTTTTCCCACAATTTATGCATTTTTAGAATTTTAGTTAAAACTTATTATTAATAAATATGTTTTACCTTACAATCATATTTTCTATGACCTATTTGATTGCATCTAAAACAAGATACATTAGAGCATACGTCTCCTACATGTTTTTAACTTAAACAATAATTGCATTATATATTTTATTATTCAGTACATTATCTTTCTTAATGTCCAGTCTACTTACATCTATAACAATATTCAAATGGATTATATTAATAGTATCTATTTACTCCTAATTCTAATTCATCTTTTAAATCTTATCTAAATTTGTTAAGGTTATTGATACTTTAAATTATTATCATCATTCATTTCATTTTTATCATCATCATTTTATATTTATTGTGATTAGATATTTAGTTTTTATATTTTTTCATTCAAATTTTACATACAAGTCATTTTCTTTTATCCATTCAATTCATATTCTATCAAATAATTACCTTTAGGTGGATTAATATCAAAAGTAAAATCTAAAATTTTGGTCTAATATTTTTCATGTTTTTTATTTTATTTAAAATTTGAAGGTAAAGAAGGAAGACTATCAGATTCACTTGAACTAGTAATTTTCTAAAAATTTGAACTAGTAGATGATGAGCTACTACTACTACTACTACTTTTCTTTTTCTTCTTCTTATTTTTATATTTCTTTCTTTTTTCATATTTTTAATTTTATTTTGAAATTCGTCTTTCATTTTATTTATATTTCTAATATAGCTCTTCTAATGCATCTAATTTTATTTATTACTTCATTAAATATTATATACTTAAATATGATAATCCAGAATGCATTTTTCTTGCCATATAGACATTTTACAATTAAAATTATTATATATTTAAAATAAAATTAAATCAATTGTTAGCTGCACGATGAAATTTGATATAATTAATATTATCTTCTTCTTCTTAATCTTAAACTTATTCTTCTAAAGGTTTTAGATCATAGATTTAATGTTAAATTTATTCACTTCTTTCAAAATCTCTAGTTAATGCAAGATTGAGTCTACAAATTTATTATTCATTATTAGAAACTCTTTATTCAAGAGCTTATAAAGTTCTAAAAATAAATTAATTAATTGTAACCTTGTAATTAATTCTAATTAACCACTTATATTATCTAATTAAGTAATAACTTCAGCTGGTACATCCTCTTTCTATAATTATACACTTTAATTAAATTCACTCTTTTTATGTAGACTATTATCTGCATTTGAATATAGAACAGTTTCTTTCTACTTAGGTAATTAACTATTAGTTTATTATATATTTTCTTTCTATTAAGATGATTATTATTATGTTTATGGTTATGTATGTTGAATAGGTTTAGTTTTAACTTATTTAGGTTTTTCATCTAAAGATTCTTGACCACTGCATACCCAATTAGTATTCCAAACTAAAATCATACTATCAGATCCTCCAGTAGCAAAATAATCTCCATGATTAGAAAATGCACATGTAGTAGCTTAACCATTATGACCATAAAGTGTATATGCTAATTTACCCATTCTTAGATCCCATACTTTTACTTTACTATCAGCTCCAGATGTCATAGCAAATTATCCAGATGGATGAAATTTCAAATCTAATACTGAATCTGCATGAGCATCATAATGTTATATAACTCTCTTTGATCTTACATCAAATAATTTTAATTTTTTATCATGAGAACATGATCCTAATATTGTAGAATCTGGTGAGAATTGAACTTTATAGACTACTCCAATATGTTCATTATATCTTTAAGCTTCTTTTTTTGAATCACAATCCCAAATAATAACTGCTCTATCATCACCACCTGATGCTATCAATCTAACATCTTATGAAAACACTGCACTTCTAACCCAATTTGTATGCTGGAATCCATATTGAAATTTACGATCATTTACACTCCAAACTTTCACAGATTTATCATCACTTGAACTTACTAATAATTAACCATCACAAGAAAATTAAACACTTCTGACAGGTGCTGAATGTGCCTTTATTGATACTGAACTTCCTTCAACTGTATTATTCCAAAGTCTTATAGTCTCATCTTTTGCACAAGATGCAATTAATAATCCATTAGGAGAAAATTGTACATCACTTACTTATCCTTTANTAATAACCTTGTAATTAATTCTAATTAACCACTTATATTATCTAATTAAGTAATAACTTCAGCTGGTACATCCTCTTTCTATAATTATACACTTTAATTAAATTCACTCTTTTTATGTAGACTATTATCTGCATTTGAATATAGAACAGTTTCTTTCTACTTAGGTAATTAACTATTAGTTTATTATATATTTTCTTTCTATTAAGATGATTATTATTATGTTTATGGTTATGTATGTTGAATAGGTTTAGTTTTAACTTATTTAGGTTTTTCATCTAAAGATTCTTGACCACTGCATACCCAATTAGTATTCCAAACTAAAATCATACTATCAGATCCTCCAGTAGCAAAATAATCTCCATGATTAGAAAATGCACATGTAGTAGCTTAACCATTATGACCATAAAGTGTATATGCTAATTTACCCATTCTTAGATCCCATACTTTTACTTTACTATCAGCTCCAGATGTCATAGCAAATTATCCAGATGGATGAAATTTCAAATCTAATACTGAATCTGCATGAGCATCATAATGTTATATAACTCTCTTTGATCTTACATCAAATAATTTTAATTTTTTATCATGAGAACATGATCCTAATATTGTAGAATCTGGTGAGAATTGAACTTTATAGACTACTCCAATATGTTCATTATATCTTTAAGCTTCTTTTTTTGAATCACAATCCCAAATAATAACTGCTCTATCATCACCACCTGATGCTATCAATCTAACATCTTATGAAAACACAGCACTTCTAACCCAATTTGTATGCTGGAATCCATATTGAAATTTTCGATCATTTACACTCCAAACTTTCACAGATTTATCATCACTTGAACTTACTAATAATTAACCATCACAAGAAAATTAAACACTTCTTACAGGTGCTGAATGTGCCTTTATTGATACTGAACTTCCTTCAACTGTATTATTCCAAAGTCTTATAGTCTCATCTTTAGCGCAAGATGCAATTAATAATCCATTAGGAGAGAATTGTACATCACTTACTTATCCTTTATGACCCATAAATCTATAAATCTTTCTTGGTTATTTCAATTGCCATACAGATACTACACCATCATTTGCACTTGAAGCTATTGATTTTCTACTATATAATTATTGATATACAATCCAGGATGAAATGACAATGCTGTTATAGTATCTTTGTGTCCTTTAAGTGTTGTAAATAATGTTGGGTCGTCTTACATTTCGTTTAATTTAAAATTCAAATTATATAAATAATTCTTTTTTTTTTAATTAAGATTAAAAGACTATTATTGATTCTATTTCTTTTATGAATCTCTTCTATTTATTTACATACATGTTAATTTATTTAATAAATAAAAGAAATTCTTCTTTCTAATATCCAATTTACTAAGAATTAGAATATAATTATTATTAATTAATAATTATTTATTTAATAGTTTCTGATAAACAATATAAGGATTTTCTTTGAATATATATTAATAATATTATAAAATCATTTAAAATTATTTAATATATGTCATAGAAGAAGAGTGAATGTGAATTGATTTTAATTGATCCATCAGATGATACAGAAATTAAACCAATGAAAATCTTAAAAAAAATTGTTACTAATGCTACTGGAGTTCGATATCTAGTAGAATACAGTAATAATGAATAAAAGTAAGAAACTGAAAAATATATGAAGGAGAATTATTAGGAATTGATAGAAGATTATAATTATTTTTCAGTTTGTGGTAGTAGATTTGATTAATTAACTTTGCAGAAAATGAGAGAAAATAATAGTAAGATATAAAATTTTGACAATCATTCAAAATTACCTACTATTCCTTCTGATGAAAACTATCCAATTTTTAAAAGGCAAAAAAAAATTGATAAATAAAGTGAAAAAAATAACAAATCCAATATATTACCATTGCCATAATAATAGCAATAATAATTATAATAATAATAATAAGTTTAAATACAACAGAATTAGTAACAATAACAAATTTAATAATAAAATAATTTGAATTAAAATGAGAAATATTTAATTAAATAATAACAAGTTCAAAATTAAAGTTTACTATAATTTTAATCAGATTAAGGAGATAAAATTCAATCTATCTCTTTAGAAAATGGATTATTTCTTGTTTAATGGTTACCAAGACCTGATGGAAATATACCTTATTAGGAATATTATCATTATGACTATCTAAAAGCAACAGCTCCTACTATTTTATTATCATTTTTAGAGTAAGAATTCTTACATAATGACTTAAAATTTAAAAATCTTAAAAGACATTCTTTTTTAAATTCAAATAATGAAATTATTTAAAATGATGATAATTTATCTAATAAAGATAATAAATTTATTACTTAATCATTAAAAAATTAAGAAATAATTGATGTCTAAAAAGAAGTATCAAAGGATGATTTATTGAATAAAAAAGATGTATTATTTGAAGAAGTAAAAGAACAAAAAGATAATTCTAAAGATATTCTTATTGATGACATCTAAGTAGATAAAGCATAAGAAGTAATTCTTGATGAAAAATAAACTGCTGAAAAAGAAAAAAAATAATAATAATAAAAAAAAGGCATTATTCCTACTAGTAAACCTTAAGGATAAAATTAAAAATAAAAAAAGTCTACAACAGAGAAAGGTTAAGAAATGTTTACAATGGATAAAGTATAAGGAAAACTAGATGAAAAGTTATCATAATTAGAAAAGCCAATACCTAAATAATAAGTAACTATTACTTAACCAAAATTGACAAACTAATCATTTCCAGCACAATTTGCTTAAGCTTAAGTATCAGATGAATTTGAAATACTTGGTTCTTTAGAAAAACATGATGATAAATTAAATTTAAATTATGAAAAAGAACTTGAAGAATGTTATTCTGATGTTGATTTACCACATTTTTAATTTAATTAAAGTGAATTATGAGTATTATATAATTTATATTAATAAGATAGTTTAAATATATCTACAATATCTTTTTAAGATATTAATTGATTATAACTTAAATATTTATTTGAGAATGATATAATTATATGAAATGAGTATTAGTATAATTTAATTAATGAAAGTAAATAAATTGAGTTTTTATTTATTCTTTTTCAAAAAATCCTTAAGTGAACATTAATGGATGTAGTAAATATCTGAATTTAGAGAGAACAGATATTATTGATATTAAATCAACAGGATAATTATAAATAGATTTTTATTTGAGAGTGAATAAATAATATCTAATGAAATTAAATCCATTACATTTTGAATATTTAAATTTAATTGATTCACTTCTTATTAGTATTCATAACCAATATTAATAAGCATTTCTTCATCTTTATTTATTATTTAAAATCCTTTAGAATATAATATATATATTTTTTAAATAACTTATATATTTTTCTTCAATCTCCTTAACTGAAATGTGTTATTGACAAGTGGGAATTAATAATAAGATTATTCTGAGTCTCTGACTAAGAAAATTTAGTTAAATTGTGATACAACAGAAATTCTAATTTGATAGATTCCTTGTGTGGAGAGATCTCTATTTTTGAATTTTGGAGATGAATTAAAACTCCGATCTATGTTTTCATCTAAATATATTTAATATTTAATATTCATTTATCTTGGACGGTCTTAATTAGCCATTCCATTCCTTCTTATAAACCTTCTTGAGTTTTGGCTGAACATGCAACAATAGACCATTATCTATCATTGATTTTATTTAATTTCAAACTATCAGAGATCTTAATTAGATAGAATACTAACCTCATCAGCAGGAAGGGCTTGCACCAAGTCTTATTTATTTGCAAATACCAAGAGGGGAACTTTCTTTAATTCAGCTTCTCCTAGTAATTTATCTAACTCTTTGCCTCCTTCTTCCAAACGCATTTAATCAGATGAATCAATCACAAATACTAAAGCATCTGTATTTTCATAGAAGTTGCTCCAATATTCTCGAAGTTTCTATAAAGTAGTATTGGAATTACCTCCTAACCTCCTACATCCCAAACATTAAGTTTAAATCCTTCATGTTATAAATTTTTAATGTTAAAGCCGTGAGTAGGAGCAATTTGATTAATGTCTTCATTTGACAATGCTTTTAAAATAGTAGTTTTTCCTGCATTATCTAAACCCAAGACAAGAATTCTTAATTCTTTCTCTGACTTCTTAATCTTACGAATGATATTAAGCAAACCCTAAATAAGCATTTAATTCATACCATCCTTAAAGATTTGTTTTATTATTATATTTATTATTTAATATTTTCCGTTGCATATATTAATAAATCATGGATATAGAGGTTTATCTTCGCTCTGATGAGAACTTGTAAGATCTGGATGATGTACTGGATAAACTGCTTCTTTAACTCTAAATCATTCAAAATCAATAAAATACCTTCCACTTGCTTAATCCCTAGCAGCAACACGTTTTTTGGCTTCATTGATCTCAGCTTGAGTAATATTAGTGTATCTTTCATCAGCCCACATTGTATCTGGTCTAAGTTTCTCTCTATGTCCATCAGCCCAAGTCTTGTCTGAAACATCTTTTACAGTTCTACCCTTAAATTTCAATGAATATCTAATACTTTATTATATGGAGAGACCTCTAATACAGAACGATATTATTATGTTTAGATAGCCTCAATCTTATCAAGTTGCTTCTTCTTTTCTTTTAATCCTTCCAAAGCCCATTTTGGACAAATTGATATTATATTATCAGCTTCTTCTTAACATTTAGTTACTCCATTCACACTCTAACATCGTTTAAATTATTCAATCTATCTAACACAACCTCTTGGAAGTGCTTAAGCTCTAATTGCCAATGCTGTAAACATAGGAGCATCTCTATTTCAAATAGGATTTCTAATTACTTTCTTGTTTGCCATCCATGATTGCCAAAGTGTTATTCACTCAAAGGATCATAGTGAGTTGGGAAGAATACACTCCAATTTACTCTATTAGGGTAAGGATCTGGAAAATAGAATCCATTTCCATTTCTAATTCCCATACCCATACGCTTCTAATTAGGAATTTGTTGCATAGCAAATGGGTTATATGGAGCGATAGCCCTTCTCCATTTAGACAATGTATTATTCAGTAGATTCTTTTTAACATTCAAATATGGATAATTGGTCTCATAGTACTCAAAATCCAATGGTTGACCATCTGGGTTATCGTTCGACATATATAAAGATTTAATTAATTAATATACTATTTAAAATTAAAAAAGAAATATGTGTAAACATGTACTCAATGCTTAAGTTGCCATAAGAGCTCCCTGTTGTAAAAAGTAAACATTCCAATTTATTAATTAATAAGATGGTATGATTGTGCAGAATGTCATTAAGAATTAGAAGATCATCCACTTTTAAAATCAATTGAAATGATTTTTGCTTGTAAAAAATGCAAAAAGGTTTTTCGAAAAGACATCACAGATTATGATGAATCTGATGAATATTGTCCACAGTAAATCATATCATTATTATATTTAAGTTGTGATAACCATTATGTTATCAAAGCAGTCACTTAAGAATCCAAAGAAATTTAAAAGTTTGAGAACTTAGTTAAGGAAGTCAAATAATGAATTAAATTAAGTCTTATTCTGTTTTAATAATAATATTTTGGTTATCTTTGTTTTTTTAAGAATAAAAGTTTATAAATTTCAATGCATCTTAATAATATTATATTTTTATTTTCTCTTTCATTGATAATTTAAATACATTTTATCAGCTTGTATTATTATTTATAATAATAATTAATAATAGAGATGTTTGATTATATAATAAAATATCCTTTTTATTGATTTTAATTATTATACAAGTGTTATAAGGTATATTACAATTAATCCATTATTGTATTGAATATAGATATAATTGTTAATATTGATATGATTAATATTCTAATTTATATTTCTACTAATTTATATAAAGTAATTTAAATTTATGGAAAGAATAAAGTATATAGATTTCTATTATTTTAATATATTTTCAAGAATTATGGGAAATTGAATTGAATTAAATTTGAATATTATTATTAATGTCTTATCATTATTTGTTTAAGTTTATCATTATTGGAGATACAGGTAATAGTAATAAAATAAAAATGAAGCTGTTGGAAAATCTTGCATTTTGTATTAATTTTTGGAATAGAAGTTTCGAGTGAAACATGAAATGACTGTGGGAGTTGAATTTGGTGCCAAGATACTAAACTTAGAGAACAAATAAATAAAATTATAAATTTGGGATACAGCTGGATAGGAAACCTTTAAATCTATTACAAGATAATATTATAGATCAGCTGCAGGTGCAATTTTAGTATATGACATCACAAGAAGAGAGTCATTTGAAAATGTTAGAGAATGGATAAAAGAATGTAGAACACATGGAACATTAGAAATGGTTATAGTGTTAGTTGGAAATAAATTGGATTTAGAAAAATAGTATAATATTCATAATATAAATGGCGTAAAGTTTCGAAATCTGAAGGACAGTAGTTAGCTTATGAAAACAATTTATTATTTATAGAAACAAGTGCAAAAGACAATTTAAACATAATTGAAGTAATTTTAAACTAACTGAATAGACATTCTCATAGGCAGCATAATAAGTATTAAAAGTAGTATAGAAAAGTTAGTAAAAGAATGAATTACCAGGAGTTAGAGTAGGATATGCAATTGATTAGACTAAAGGTTAATAAAATAGTTAAAGTTCAAATAAATGCTGCTGATATTATTATTAATTTATATATATATATATCATTATTACACAGAAATTAAACAATTTAAAATGGATTATTTATTAATCCATTTTAATTATTCTAAATCATTATTAATATAATCAAAATAGATATATTTCTAATCCTTATGCTAAATAGATATATTATATTAATTATTAATATTATATATAAATAATATGCTTCACTTATTCGTTTTTGTAGCCATGATTTTAGTTGTACAAAATACTCAATCAAATGATAAAAAAATGACTTATAAAGGTTTCCAATTATCTTTATTAAGTAGAATAAAATGAGGATCTAGCAATCAGTACAAATATTTTTAATTCTTGCATAATTATCTCTTACAATTATTTAACACAAGAAGATGGCAAAATTGAAAATGAATTAAATAAAATCATGTAGGCTTATGATGACATATATGATTTAGAAGAAAGAATCTTACAATAATATATTGCATCAAAAAGAATTAAACTTGAAGCAGCCAAACATTGTGTTAAAAAGCAAACTTCTTAAGGAGCATAAAAAGTTAGAATAACTATTAATTCATTAGATATTATCTGAATTGTAAAATAAAAGTTTTAATGCCAAAAATTATTATCATATGATGAATGGATTTGAATTAACAAACTTCTTTAATAGATAAGTAGAATACAAATTCACTAGAGATGAAGATACTCTTTTTCAAATTATGGAAGTACTATAAATTTACTATTAAATAGGAATTTTTAACAAAATTACGAAAAGCTTCAGGAATTGATGAACTTGAACTTAATGATTTATATCCTCAATTAAAGAATGATGAATTGAAAACTAGAATTTTTGGAGTAGCTATTGAATCATCATGGCTATCATATATGGTTTTCTTTTCAGTTGCTTTTGTAATTATATTAATAATGAAATATGGTATTCTTTTATTCTATTTTAAATAGCTTATGACACTCTTTAAGATTCACAAAAAAGAAATTCAAAAAGATAAAAAAAATAAAAAAATTGAAAATATTAAATGAGTATTTTAAATTAAGGGTTGTATTTTACATTTAAATGTTTATTCAATATTATTATTATTATTATTATTATTATTATTATTATTATTATTATTATTATTATTATTATCTTTATATTAAGAGGAATATTCAAACATTATATGGTTTGTTCTTGCAATCATTTCATAATAAATTATAAGGAATATATTGTTAAATTTCATTAAATAATTACATATTGTATTTAGATACTGATGACATTTAATAATTTTATAGGTAATTTAAAAGGGTTTAATTAATATATGAGTTTCAAAATGTGAAACAACAACATCCTTTTGATCTTTGGATCATCACAAATTTAATAGGATTATCTGTTCCTAACAATAACTCATGTACTTTAGATTTGTTAACTAATTTGGTCTTGCTTTATTCTTGAATTAAATCAAAGTCGTCTGGACCCAAATCGATATATCTTAAAGTTATAAGAACCTTCCCCTTTGAATGTATTTGGTACCTTTATATCTTCGATGGATATTGTAGATTCAACATCTAACTGAAAAGTATCCTTCTCGACTGAAGGATGAGAAAAGTCTTTATGGACTGTAATGTAGATTAGCATATTTTAATATATATAATATAATAATTATATATATAATTATATATCAAATAGAAACTAATTCAATCCAATAAAGATTAGGTTCTACTTACCATTTATACCCTTTAGTTTGATAAATTTATGAATTCTGATTATTTAAGTATTCAGTTACTTTATTCATCTGTACTTTTTCCAAGTCCATAAATTATGGTTCTAAACTCCAAGTTTTAGCAACAACAATTAAAGTAAGCACTTAATAATATTCTAATAAAATACATGCTGCAAAACATAGAATAGAAACTGCAACATAAAGCAAAGCTAATTTATCTCTATTTCCATATATTAAAACTAAAAGAAACACAAAAGCTAAAAGAATTAAGAAAACTGAGACATAAAGAAGTGGTTAATATGCCTTAGTAGGATCTTTGTGTTCTTCTCTTTGTTTTTCTCTCCACAAATTACGACATATACGAGTAGCTTCAGCAACCGTATTATCAAAGGTTTATTTGTCTATAGTTCTAGCTAGCAGTTTTTCATCATAAGTTTTCCATTGAAATCCAACACCCTAGAATTTGATAAGCAATCACAAATACATCTTTATTTGCTTTGACAATGAAACGCTCTTCTGTAGATTGTGGAAACTCTAATTTATCTATCTTTTATGCCCTTGAAGCAAAATTAAAGTCTCCTCCTTTGACTTTCTTCATTTAATTTAAATTATATACAATAATATGTATCAAATATTAAAAAGTGTCTCACATTTTTAGAATGAATGTATTCTTACTTATTCGAAAGAGAAGCTTATAATTTATACAAAAGAAATATTGTAACATATGCAAGTACTAACATAATGAGATTCTCCTTAGACTTTTAGGAATTACATGAGTGATATCGTAGCTGTGGCAACATCAAGCAAAGGAGTATTTGTAGTGTTCTGTGAGAGAGAATTGATAGCATATAAGCCTCTTTTGAATGGCTGGGAATAAGGTTATAGTAAAAATTGTACAAATCCCATAAGAGATGCATTTTTCTCATTTGATGGTATATATATCATTCTATAAAACAGATGAACATATTATAGGATGTTCATAAAATAAACTTCATATTTGGAAGGCAACCCATAAGTAAAATAGATTACTTGGATAATTAGATTAATATGAATTAATTGATTTGACAGAAATCTATACATTAGAATTAGAATACTAGATAGCAAATGTGAAATTCTCTCCAGATGTTCGTTATTTTACAACTCTTCATGAAAACACTGTTCTTGTGTGGGATTTTAATTCAATCAAAGATGTCTAAGAAGGAGTTCTGTCACAATAATAAAGAGTGAAATTAGATCATATGGATGAAGTTATCTCTTATAAATTTCGAGGTACACTTAGGATAGCTCCATCTCCCTTCCCAACTCCTAATACTATAGTTACACTAACAAAAATCAACCAATTAACAATTTGGTAAGAAATTACTCAATGCAAAAATTTCTGTAAATTACATACTTTGCATTTTGATTAAATCTCTTCATTTTGCTTTATTTATCTTAAGGGTTTAATACCATACCCTTGGAAAAATATATATTTAGAATCTGATTAATTTGGAGTTTAAGATACAGAATCATCTAGTGTTGATTATCTACTTTTACATTAGGAATCTGAATTGAGTATTGTCAAATTAGATTTTTTAAGAAATTATTCTCTAGAAGAATCAGTTAAAATAATTAAGAAAACTTAAAGTAATATCTTCAACCAAATTAAGAAGATTCTTTTAGTTGTTTAGATTTAAGGATAAAAGATTGAAATAATTGGATTTGATAGATTATGGAATATAATTAAAATTTGTGTCAATTTAAAGGATGATTCAAAATAAGTTTTTTAATGTGAAAAATTCTTATTTTAGAATATTGTACACTTTTCTATATGTAAAAATTAAGTTGCAATAATAAATGATTGGAATTATTTGTGTTTACAATAATTAAAATTGAATAGTGTTATTAGTTAAGAATATAATATTTATGAAGGACAATAAAAAATATGGAAAATTAATTCAAATCTATCGAAATGTAAAATCGATTGTTTATAGTAGATTAACAAATGTATTTTGCTAAGGATAAAGTAAAAGAAATTGATATTGTTCTATTAACTTCATCTAATGCTTAATAATGTTTGTCTTTCATAATATAATAAAATTAATTAATAGAAGTACATCTCAAATTATATAATCATCTATCAATTGATTATAGAGATTAAATAACTGACTTGAGAAAAATCAATTATGAAATAGATGAATTACAATTATTAATAATTGCAGCTTAAAAAATTGCATTAATTTAAATACAATTTGAAATATACAATTATGGATAAATGGATTTATAAGTATCAGAATTGAAGACATGGAAATTAGATTTTGTTTATGAAAGATTATAAATATTATAATCACCAGAACTATCTTTTATTTCCATAAATGGTAAGACATTAAAAGGGTATAATGAATAGATGTAACAAACTGTTTAAATTTCTAAAAATTATAATATAAAAGATGTTGGATAATTAAAAGGAATATAACCTATTTATTTTTTGATGAGCCATTAAAATGAAATTGATTTTCATTCTTCATCAGGTGAATTTTTAGTTAGATTTAATCTTTAATCATTTCTTGTGAGAGTAGACAAAGCTATTTATGATGTTTCTAAAGTTATTGTGTAAGTAGTACCATTAAATAACTTTGCATTCATTTTACAAACTGATAATTATTTAACAGCTTTTGCTATACATTTTGATAAGAGTGATTAAAATTATAAATTGTCATCAATTAAATAGTAATAGAATTATTTAATATTGATAGAAAATATTTAAATAATAGAGAGGGAATCTATTGCAAACGATTATCTAAATACTCAAGTCCTTAAAATTATAGATTTTTCACAATAAAGGATTCTCTAATAGTAAAAACTGGTCGAAAAGTTAAAGTATTAGGAAATTCATTAATCCGTTGTTTAGCAGATAAGTTTTGGATGCCCAGTACATTAAGCTATAAATTAATTAATTCATAAAGTATTTAAATCATTTATAATTTAGACAATGTTTAATTGTAAGATTATGATTTTCTAAGTGAATTAATACAACTTGGCAAATTATAATTAGTATAATTTATATTAAAACTAATTTGTATGAAATTTAAACATCATGGTGGTTTGGGAAATCATTTTATGGTTCCATATAAATATTTATTAGAATTATATCAAATGAATTCTGAACCAGAGCCATAATGGGTTGATGCAATTAAAACATATGAAACAAATAAATTGTAAGACAAAGATTCTTATGATTACACATAGCATCCAGTTGATATACTTAAAAAGATTTGTTAAGAATATCCATTAAAAATTAACATAATTCTAGATTACTTAAGATATTATGAAGATAATTAACGTTCATTAGATTTTTATGCTGCAATGTTTATGTTCCATGTTCATATCTTTAGAAATCAACCAACTCATAAAAGGAATCGAGTTTTAAGTTCTAAAGAAGTAGTATGGGCACTACATTCATTATAAAAAGAAACTCTTTGGTAAGAATGCATCATTAGCTCTGACGATTTATCTTGGAATATAATAAAAAGATATTCAGCAGTGTTATGGATGGATTTATCATTTATTAAATAAAGATTAGAAGAAATTGCATTGTAGATTTATAAATAATCAAAGGATCCATTTTAATCATTATTGTATTTTATAGTTTTGGGTAAAAAGAGTGTAATAACCACCCTTTTCAAAAAGGAAGTTAATTCTGGTAAGGAATATAAATCAACTTATGAATTTTTGCAATAAGATTTTACCTAACCTAGATGGAAATCAGCAGCATCAAAGAATGCATACGCATTAGTATCTAAAAAAAGATATTAAGATGCAGCTGCTTTTTTCTTAATAGGAGGACATTTGAATGATGCAGTAAATGTGATGGCTAGATATATGGAGGATATATAATTAGCTTACTTAACTACTAAGATCTATGAACCTTAAGGTGGACCTGTTGGAGAATAATTAATTTAAGATTATTTTATCAAAAGTGGCGAAGAAATGAATGATATTTGGTTATTACATATTGGTTTTTATTTATTGGGAAGATATGTTGATAGTGTTAATGTTTTATTAAGAGAATCTGAACATCATATTTTAGAATATGATAATTCTGGAAAGGCTATTTGTATCAGTTGGCCTTCTACATTTACACCTTAATTATCATACTATCATCCATCTGCTATTCTTTTGGTTGAAAAATTGAAAGATAATATAAATGTTAAAAGAGAAATTCAATAAAGTATTGATGCAAATAAAAAAAAGAGTAAGAAAGCTGAAGATGATATTTTTTCTCAATTTTATGAAAGTGAAGAATCAGAAGAAGAAGAGGTTATAGAATAAATACCAATTAAGACTATTAATAATAATTAAGAATTTATTAAATAATAAGCAGTAGAATATTATTATAATATTTAAATGCCATAATTAGGAATGATATTTGCATAAGATTTAAATTAAGAAACAGAACAATCAGAATAATTAATTGAATTATAGATTGAAATGTATATAGTTTAAGCAATTGAAGATTAAGAACACTTTACAAATTATGTATAATTAATGTAAAAACTAGATGATTTAGCTAAATTTACAAATCATAACAAAACAAAACTTTATGATATTGCATTGAAAAAATTAAGATAATTAAAGTCTCCTTCTCGTTTACTTACATTTGCAATTCATTATGATTAGACTGGACTAGATGAATTTATTTCTTTTTGTTAAGAAACGTAAAGTTTACTATATAGAATATGCTTCGATTATCCTTTATCTGAAAAGAGTTAAGAATATTATTTAACATTTGTTCAAAGTATTTATGAAATTGATGTTGGATTAAAACTATTTTAATAATCATAATATTATCAAAAGAAATTTGATAACAAATTGAAATTGAATATCATCAAATTATTGGCATTATTTATGACTTTAATTTTAGCATTAGAATTACATTTATGGGAAAATGCTTTTGAATAATTGAGAAAATTAGAGACATTTTGTAATACTGTTTATAAGTAACATGTATAAGATTGTGGATATGAAAATTTGAGAGATGATTTTTGTGAATTAGTAAAAATAGTTATAAAAAATAAAAGACTTTATTCAAATAAAGGATTCAAAGCATATAGAAATTTAGATGTTTTATAAGATGCTTATCCTGAAGATTTATATAATGTTAGTGAATAGGATTATTTGTAAAAACATAAATCAATAACATTAGAATAGGAATAATAAAATTCATAAAGATCAGAAAGTCTTGAAGATTTATAAAAATCAGATATTAGTTAAGAAAAGATGATAGGAGAAGAGAATATATAGAATTAATTTATATATTTTACATTGTAATCTTTGATTGTTAAATATTTCTTGTCTATCTCTAAGAGTTATTTTAAATTAGAAATATTTAATATTGCAATAACTAGTTATAGTAATATATTTATAATGGCTGAATAATATGTAACAACTAGGAATGATATGGCTGTCACATTACTAAAGAATCTTTCTGATTTTTCATAAGAATAAAATTTTATTGAAGATCTAAGAATGGTATTAAAAGAATCTTCATTTGCTAAAAGCCAATATTTTAAGTAACTTGAAAGAATTTTCAATTTAAATCATTTCTTTTAAATTTGTTCTAAAATTGGATTAGATTAATATTTAGACGAAATCTCAATAAATAGAATTAAATAAGCTTTTAAATATCCTATAAGTAATTTTGATGAATAATCTATTATCACATTTAAAAATAAAATCTTTAAACAAGGAGTTGAAGTATTTAAAATAAAAACTGATTAAATTAAAAGTATGTGTATTAATAATGCTAATCCCATAGAAGGATTTGTATTATATGGTAAATTTCTAAAACATATGAAATTTTATAATACTCTTTAACACAAAAATAGATCACTTGATGGTTATAATTTAATAGAAGAAGAGACAATAGATGAAGCCATAAAGACAGATTCTTCATAAACAAATAAACCATATATTATAAAACTATGTTCTTCAGCTTTAGGTATATAGGTTGGATTTGATAAAGAGAAGGAACCATATTTAAAATCAAGAGCAAATCCATATTAAGAATATAAAGATTTTACTGAAAAGGATTTCATGGAAAAGTTTTAGAATTGTTCTAGTAAATAAATTCCAGAAGAAGATTTGTAATGTTTGGCTTCTCATCCTCATCTACCATTATTTTTACAAGGAGGAAAAGGAATGGTTAATGTAATGACTTTTAAATAGTCATCCCAAGTAGTTGCTGAATTCAATACTTAATAAAGAGATAATATTGATTTTCTTAAATTTAATAACTCAGGTGAATTATTTATTGGACATGATGTAAATAATAGTGCTTATATTTGGAAACTCAATAGAGTCAATAAACTCAATACACCACTCTTCTTACTTAATAGTAAAGTTAGACCAACTACTGATTTAACATTTATTAATGAGGGAACAGTTTTTGCTTCAATTTATAGTTCTACTAATAAACCTCATTTTGGTTTATATGATATGTTATTACCATCAAATCGTAATATTGTAGCATAAGAAAACTTTAATGGTACAGATATTTTATTTTCTACTCCTTTGAATTCAATATTGATAGGAAATCAAAAAAAAGGATCTGTCAATTTTTTAGATATCAGAAAAAATTAAATCTATAAAACATTAGAGGTAAGTGGTTAATTATATTTTTAAGTTACCTTTTACAGAAATCAAATTTATGAAATTAAATTAGTATCAAACATCATTAATTTGTGCTTGTAATGATGGACAAATAAAAATTATCAATTTAGAAACATTATCAACAATTGTTGATTATAAACCATTTAGATAAGGTATTAAAATATTCATATTATTTTAGATAAAAAGCAGTAAATTATGGCTTTGACTTAAACTGAAAATGCTACATATGCAGCATCATCCGATGGAGTTATATCATTAGTATATTTGAATGCATGAATTATTAAATGAAAATTTAATTAGATAAAGACACATACATTCTCTAAAAAAAAATAGGTGAAGGTAACTTTGCTACAGTTTATGCTACTCAGCATCAAAATCTTGTAGCTAAAGTATGTTACAAGTCAAATCCTAAAGCATTTAGAGCATTCTAAATAGAAATGGACATTTTGAATAAAATTTAAGGAGAAGGAATTGTAAAACTAGAGAAGTCTGGCATTACTCAATTATAAGGCTAAACAAGTGGAATCTTGATTTTAGAAAATTGTTCTAAGGGAAGTCTAATAGATTTAATGACAACTTATGTATTATCAAAAATATCATCAAGATTAATAGAAGACCTCCTGAACAATTAGTATTGATGGTTGCAAGAGACATTATCAAAGGATTAATTTAAATTCATTAAGTACCAACTCTTAAATACATATTTAGCTTGGATATATTCATAGGGATGTTAAAATGGAGAATGTACTTTTAAATTCTTTAGGTTATTTTAAACTCTGTGATTTTGGTAGTGTTACTAAAACAAAATACTTTAAAATAGATAATACTAATAGAGATACAATTAAAGATGAAATCGAAGAAAATACAACACCTTTTTATCGTGCACCAGAATATATTGATTTCTATGCTAATTATCCTATTACTGAAAGTGCAGATATATTTGCTCTGGGTGTTTTGTTATTTATGTTTTGCTTTTAAAAACCTCCATTTGAAAGTGGTTTAGCAGCTGTCAATAATCATTATTTCATACCAGATTCTCATGAATATTCACCTAAGTAGTCAATTTTAACATAACAATAGACTAATCTAATTGATTTAATCTCTTTTTGTGGTTAATCCAAAAAATAGACCAACTGCATAAGATTTACTTTAAAAAATATAACATAATTGGTAGTTACCTTAGAGATTCATAGAAACAACTAATTAACCAATTCCTGTTCCTAATCTTAAATAATATTTCTCTTCTGTAGACAATGTTTATATTGAGAAAAAGGCTGCTCCACTTGGTTTTTTTGATTAAGTTAAACGTTATCTCTTCACATTAAGTAGGAAAACAGAAGCATGGGTAATCTAAAGTACAAGCAATGATGATGACCCTCCTAGATTGGAGGATATAAGATCTTTAGTTATCAAAGCATGGTTAAAAAGAGAAAAAATACCAAAATTTTATCTAGCCATCTAACAAAAATTACTTTTGCCTCAACCTGAAAATCAAAGAGTTATGATGAAGTTGGGCATTTTATTACATTAATATATCAAAAAAGGTCCACCAGATGTCTTATAAGAATAAAAATAAAAGAATCAACCTAATATTTGGAGTATAATAAAAATTTTAACTGACCTATATAAATAGAGAATTAAGATTAATCCTTAAAACGAAGTTAAAGTAATTGCAAATTATTTTACAATTATAAATAAGAAATTAATAATTTGTCATGCTAATAAAAAATTATTTGAAGGTAGTTATTCATTATCCCCTCTTTTCTTATCTTTAGAAAGAGGAGAATTTTGGAAACCCCTTGAATCTAAATTAATAGATGATTTATTAATATATTGGTCAGATTGTTTGCAATATCTATCAGAAATATTTTAACCAACTTCTCTATGGAGAATTTAGACATTAATAATTATGTAAATGGTTGATGAAATTTATTCATTATTATCCATGTTACTTCATTTATGGATTTCTGTAAAAGAAACTTTGAATACAAGTGATAATTTAGATACATCAAAATTAATAGAATGGATCTTAAGTGTTGATTAAAGATATCAAGAAAACTATTTAAAAACGAAAAAGCTATTTGAGAAATGTTCAACTTTATCTGAATTTACAGAAATTAAGAGATTCATGCCTAATTTACAGTCTGAAGTTATTAATTATATTTAATCAGTCGAGTATTTTAAAGGAAAAACAAAAATTGAACTTAGTCCCTAAAGATCTATACATGGAATTAAAATGCCTGTAAGTTATTAAGTAACTGTCCAAAAATTATAATAAGTACTTTTATCTATGTCAGATTTTGATAAGCCATAAAATCAAATTTAGTCAAATCTGAATAGCAATAATAATTAAGACTTTTTTGCAGATTTTGCATTCTTAAATAATTAAGTAAATTAGAAATAGCCATAAGAGTAAGTATATGATTAACCTTGGGTTGATTTTACATAAACATTTTAACAATAATAATAATCATAATAATAATAATAATAATAATAATAATAATAATAATAATAATAATAATAATAATAATAATAATAATAATAATAATAATAATAATAATAATAATAATATTTTTCTCAATCATCCTTTGATAATTAATTTATATAATAAGCAGGAAGAGAATCAGTTTAAACTGAAATTGATCCTTAAATGCTTTCATAAATTGTTTTTAAAATAAACTATGATAAAAATTCAGATAATAGTATCTAAGATTCTTTAAAAATTTAATAATCTTAATAAGTTTAATCACTAATTTTGAATTAGAAATAATAAGAGAAGTCAAAAATAATTGAAGTAACTAACTTACTAGATGTTCATGATAATGTTGTTCCTTAAGCAAAAAATAATGAACCAATTGATCTATTAAACTTTGATGATTAATCTCATTAGGTAAAATAAAATGCTTTTTTCTTACCTACTGATATTAATTTCACTCAAGTCACAAATTAAGATTAAAATTAAGGAAAAGGTTAGATACCTCAACAATAATAATAAAATCAGAATTTTAATTAATAAATACCTATATAATAAAGTCATCAATAAAATGTTTAATAATAGTAAATACCCTAAATGATGCATCAATAAAATTTCTAATAATAATAAAACATTGTAATTGAAGATGATGATGATGACCTTATACCTATGACATATGATAATATTCCTTAAAAGAAAGTAGAAATGAAATAATAAATACCTCAACATTTAGCTTAATCCATAAATCCAACTTTCAACTTAACACCTATAAGACAAAAAATACATTCTTAGATTTTAGAACATGCAAACTAAATAATTGATGGTGAAGTAGACATCAGTGATTTCATCATATAATACAATGAATTAGTATTTTATGAGCAAATAGCATCAGGAGGATCGGGAGTGGTATACCGTGGAAGGTACAAGAATGAAATAGTGGCAATAAAGGATATTGATATAAATGAGAAGGATGAATAAAAGATGAAAGAATATAAGAGAGAAATAGTGACTTTGGTAAAAGTTAGACATCATTAGAATTTAGTGTGTTTAGTAGGGATTACTTTTCATTAAAATAAATTGTATATAATAACTGAATTCTGTTCAGGTGGCTCTCTTTTTGATTTAATGCATAGAAATAGAGAGACAAAAATTGATTAATTAACGAAATTGAAACTCAGTTTGTTTATAGCTGAAGGAATGGCTTATATTCATAAATTAGGATTTATGCATAGAGATCTAAAGTCATTAAAGTAAATATTAATTAAAAATTTATAGTATTTTATTAGATTAACCATTCAGTCCTGATTCTAATATTAAGATTGCAGATTTTGGTTTGGCCAGAACAGCTTTGGAAAAAACTGAGTGGATGACAGCAGTTGTTGGAACATTTGTAAGTTTATATAATCTAAATTAGCACTGGATGGCTCCTGAAGTATTTAGAGGAGAAATGTATACTAACAAGGCTGATGTATATTCTTATGGAGTATCATTTATTAATATATATTAGATAGTCTTATATGAAATATTTTCAAGATAAATTCCCTATATGAATATTGCTAATCCAATGTAAATAATGAAGGCTGTAACAGAACAGAATTAAAGACCTGATCTCTCGTTTGAATGTTAATAGGAGATTAAAGCATTAATGGCCTAGTGTTGGCACCCTAATCCTTAACAAAGACCAACTTTCGAATAAATTATTAATAGTTTGTAAAGTTTATGAAAAAATTCCAATTAATAATAAGTGATTTAAATTTAATATCTTTTATTAAAATATGTCAGTCAAGTTATACGGCCCATCAGCTAATCCCAGACTCTGTTAAGTTCATTTGGTAGCAGATCTACTTGAAATTCCTGTTGAGGTAGTTGAAGTTGGATACGATCAATGCGAATCAAAGGATCATTTGGCAAGAAACCCATTTGCTAAAGTTCCTGTGATTTAAACAACCGATGGATTCTTATATGAAAGCAATGCTATCTGCAGGTACCTTGCTAGATCAAAATTAGAATCAGGATTATATGGGTATGATGTTTAGAATTATTCTAAAGAGCTAACCCTTTCTAATAATCTTAAGTTGATTAATGGATTGATTGGACAGTAAATGAATTAGATCCAAATTTCATGACCACATTCCCTTAATTATGGGGACATTTCCCAGTTAATGAGGATTCATTCAAAAGTGCAAAATCCATCATTAATGATAAATTAAAATAATTAGAAGGTCATTTCAAGAATTCTTCATATTTGGTTGGAGATAGATTAACAATTGCAGATGTTATACTTATTGTAAGAATTGCTCCATTTTTCATTTTATTGATTGATGAGAAATCCAGAAAATCATACCCTTCTCTTATGAAATGGTTCACAGCTGTAACTGAACTTCCTCAATTCAAAAAAGTATATATTATATATATTTATATATAGAATTTTGGAAGAGTAAGATTATGCAAAGTTGCTTTCCCATTACCTAAATAAGAGGCTCCAACAAAGGAAGAAAAATAAAAGGAATAAAAGCCAAAAGATGAAAAAGCAAAGGAATAAAAACCAAAAGAAGAAAAACCAAAAGAATAAAAGTAAAAGGAATAGAAACCAAAAGAAGCTGAAAAGCCAAAGGAAGCATAAAAATAAAAAGCTTAGGAAGATGATGAACCTGCTCCAGAAAAGAAAAAGAATCCTTTAGATTTACTTCCCCCATCACCATTCAATATTGATGATTATAAAAGAGCCTTCTTTGCTGAAAAAGATATTGCAAAGAATATTGCATAACTCTTTGCATAAGTTGATACTCAAGGTTGGTCTTTATGGATTATCACATATAATAAATCATAAAATGAAGGCAAATAACTTATTTTAACAAATAATTTAATGAAAGGATTTATTAATTAAAGATTAGATTAAAATTTCAGAAAATATTCTTTTGCAATTCATGGTGTTTATGGTGATGAACCAAATTTGGAAATTAGAGGAGCATGGATTTGGAGAGGAATTGAAGTACCATAAGAATGGGTAATAATAATAATTCATAAATTATTAGAAAGATCATGTTGCTTATGATTATCATGTTTTCAGAAGAATTGACTTAAACAATGAATAAGATAAAAAAGATTTCATTGAATATTGGGTGAACTAAGAGGAAGATGTATCAAAAGTGGGTGGTCTTACAGCCAGAAGCTTGATGTATTTCAGATGATAATAAATTATTCATAAAAAGAGTATTAATTGTAAAATAGTAATCTTCAAATCAAAATTTCTTACAATTACGATTATTATTATGATTACGATTGGGATGTTTAAAAACTTAAATATTCTGTTTCATTAAAAAGACTATTATATATTTAAATCTCAAATGAATAAATTTTTAATTTTTTAGTATTATAATCCCAAATAATTAAGATATTTCCATCATCACTTACATTTCCATAATTAAAACTATCTTAGCAATCTATAGTTTAAATAATTTAAAGCTTTTCATTAGGGAGTTATTTAATGACATAAACATATTTACCATACTTTTAAATTAATATTTATTTTTTTTAATTATAAATTGTTGGAAATAAATAATCTCCGTCAAGTTGGGTATCATAAAATTTTAACTCTAAATCTTTTCTTTCAATAATTTTGTTATTATTTATATTGAATACTCTCGTTACATCTTTTTGTGAATGTTAAATTACAAATTAATCCTCTTTTATAAAACAAGATCTATAGGCAATATTAGATAGAGAATATCTATCACTAATTTCATATTTTTTAGTCTGGCTATTTTTTGTCCAAAGAACTAATGTTTAATTAATATTAGATAAGATTAGACTTGTATCTGATGGATTAATGCATAGACTAAATATAGAGTATTAAGATTCTATTAGTTCATAAGAAAAAACAATAGTATTTTCTTCTAAGTTAATGTTCCAAATAGCTACTGTTCCTTCGAATCCACCAGAAAATAATTAATCTTCCTTATTATTTAAGATCATAGTATAAATACTTTTATGATGATATTTATTGGATTTTTTACTAACCCATTTATTATCAATTAGTTTGGAAATAAAGATTTTCCCATCACATCCAGTTGTAGCAAACCAATCTATTTTTTTACTGTGAACAGAGCATAAAATTCTACCTACATGATTTTTTAATGTTTCCTTATATTATAATTTGATAGTATTATCAATATCTGATTTTAATATTTACCATACTTTAACCTCTTATTCACTACTGGCAATAATAGTATTTTAAAAAATCTCTATTCCACAAGAATATTTGTGCTCTTCTTGTTCTCCCTTTAATATATATAATTATTTTTCATTATTTTAGTTTAAACTTCTTTAAATTATTGATTATTATTTAAACTTTATGAGTGAAATTTTAATTTACTCTAATTCCTATTAAATTTTTTCAATATAGCTTTATTTTTCAGCTTATATTTTTTCTAAAAATTTTCTTTAAAATAATTCTTAATTATATTAATCGTATAAATCATTGAATTATATTTTTACTTCATCTTCAAATTTATAGATTAGACATACATCATGTAATTCTTAAATGAATTTACTCCATTTTTAAAAAATTCCCTGTATGCGTTTTTGTTATTTCATTATTTATTCATGTTACTTATATAATTGATCCAATATAGAACGATTTCTTATCATTAAATTGGCTTCAATCTCATCTGCAACTTTATATATTGGTTAAACTAAGTTGAAAAGTTAAGAATTTTCTTCAATACAGGCAATACAATAGTAATGAATAATTTATTCATCTTTTTAATAATGAATGAACTCAATTCTTTTATGTTCATGTTTAAGACAATAATCTTAAGGAAGCTTCTTTTAGAAAATATACATTGAAGTTAAAAGTAAGTAGTTTATATTTAAAATAACATTTTATTCATGCTCTTAATCGATTTAAAATACATAATTTTAATAGAAATTCATTAAATTTTATTTATAGAATAAGTTTAATTAAAATTATTTATTCTCATACATTAACTTTTCGTTATTAAATTAATATAATTTCTTTTGATGCACAAATTCAGAGTTGATTAGGTTTTTAGGAAGTTGAAAATATTATATAGAAAATTCTTTTCAATAACTATATTTTTGATAAATAAATTTTTGTAAACTTTATATAATTTTTATTAATTTAATGAAAAATTTAATTAACTATTCTTCATTTAGCAGTTATAGATTGAACCATTATCAGATTCAAAAAGATTACTGATATTAATATAAGTTATAATGAAGACAATTTATCTCAAGAAGTAATTATTTAAAAAATATATGAACAAATAAATAAATTAATTGTATAATTATTAAATTATAAGCAGGATCTAATTTTCAACTCTAAGTAAAATATGAACACATTTAGAAAATCAATAAACTGAAAGCGATATGATATATAAATCATCGAACATTAATAAAAGAAAAATAATTAGAATAGCCTTTAAAAAAATAAAATACATAAATTTTAAGTTATTAAAAGGGTAACATACATAAAACATAAAAACTGTGATGATTAAAAAATCTATTATTTTAGACTATATTTTGTTAATAATTTAATCAATTTAATAAATGACTAATAATTTTGCTAGATCATTATAGATTATAAATTTAGAATTAATTAACGTATGTAAATTGAGTCTTAATTATAATAATTGAATTATAAATTGATAATAATATGATTATAATAATGTCTTATTACAACCCCAATTAATTCTAATTAGGTTTTATAAAATTTAATAAATGTATTGAAATTCAACTAGAAATTGTTATAGTTAGTAAACATTTATAATTCAAATTAATTAATATTAAAATACAGTCGTTATGCGGTCGCCATCTCTATTTTCACCAGTATTAATCTTTGAGATAATAAAAGTCTAGGTAGTAAAGATATGAAAAGCAAAATGGGTCTTTTTAAACATTTTCAACAACTAATTAAGTGAACAAAGCTTAATTAGCTGATTTTCGAAAAGAAATAAGAAACAATATTAGTTAAAGAGAACCTTTCATTCCACAATAAGAAAATAAGCCAATTTTACTAACAAATTTGAAGAAACATGAAAGAAAAAATACGTAATATTTTGAAATTATTTATAGAGAAGGCAATGTGGCCAAATATATGGCAAGGTCATCTCCTAAGAAAAGCTTACCTGGTGGATTAAATGTAGAAGAGATTTTGTAAATATTGATTTGATTATTAGTAGTAGTCAAAAGAAATTTATAGATAAGAATTAGTCATAAAATACTTTTTATTATTAACAATAAAGAAAAGTGGATTAATTATTTAAAAAAGACTAAAATGATTCTTTTAGTAAATAAGACAATTCATTTTCTAATTTATTCAAACCAAAAAGATCATCTTAAGCTCATTTATCAAGATAATCAGGAAGAGATTAATCTCCAATAAATTTAGAAAGATTTAGAAGTTGGGACACAAAATTAGATTTGTAACTAAAACAATTAAATAACACTAAAGATCTAAGCTTTTATAAATATTCTTAATAACCATAAAAAGAGAATATCTATGAGACTAGTAAAGCAATTTAAACTAAAGATATCTTTAATATTAATAAAAATGCCAATAATTTTAATAAATTTTTAAAGAATTCTTCTCCACCTAAATTTATTGAAAAAATACCCTTAACAGAGATAGTTAAAATGTAATCATATTTCTCACAATTACCTACTGTAGAAATTACTACAATACCAAGAGGGTAAAATTTAATTTAAATTTTTAAGATATTTATAAGAACTTTAGAATTTATAACAAACTCTAGCTAGAGTTGTCAGATAGTCATCATAAATTATATGAATTATATATTATGTCATTTTTATAAGCAATTTAAACGTTCTAAATGATAAGGAATATCATCTTTTCTTAATTAGCATAAACATTATGTACAAAAACATAATCCCTTACACTTTTCAGAATTACATTAGTAAATCAGTTTATCGATTAGAGGTTCAGTGACTCCCTAACAAAAAAAGCAAGGAATATAATCAAACACACTAATTATTCTGAATTTCTTTTATTCTTTAACAATAGGATTATTCTATTTACCATTTAACAAAGTTATACATTTATTTTATTAAAAATGTTTATGATGATCCTTTTTATAACTATAATTTACCTCTTTTTATAATTATTGATCACATTCATAACAAAAATAAGTTCCACATTTACAAGTCATAAAATTACATCCTGCTATTTTCTCAACTAAAACTTTACATTTTGGGCATCTACTAATATGTAACTTTTTCTTTTTTTCTATATAACTAACTTCTCTTAGATTTTATCCTTATTCACAAGAAATTCCAATCTAATGATCATTATTACATTTTCTACAATGTTATTATTTACAAACCGGGCATTTTTGATGATCTTAAATAATGATTCATAAAACAACCTGCATGTTTCCATATCATAAATTAATAAGAACATTATTAATTTTTACATCCTACAAGAATTTCATCATCAACTAAATATTCAATAAGATTTTGCTTAACTAAAAGTTCACAATATTATGAATAAAGATCTTAACTAACTACATTTTATATCCATCTATTATCAATAATCTGAGTGTTACAAAATGGACATGCATAAAATTTAAGTTAAACCTTTTATTCTCTTATACTTTATTCATATGTAGTTTTTAAACATAATTTACAAAAGACATGTTAGCAAATTGGAAAAAAATGTAAATCATCTATTGAATATATAGAAAAGCATATTCTGCAGCTATTTTTATCATCCATCTAATTAATAATATGTTGATAATAATATTTACACATATTAAACCATAAAGAATATAATAAATAACAATTAAATTATTAAATTTAAACAGAACTATTTTTGTCTTCTTATTGTTATATAACAATTTTATTTGATTAAGTCATTTTGAAAATCTATATGATATTTATATAATGAATAGCAAATTGATACTGATATAATGTAATTATTTTGTTTAGTTAACTTTTTAATATCATTCAAATTTAATAAACTATAATATTATTTAAATTATTGAAGTTTTTAACACTATTCATTACTAGTTAATAAATTGAATAAGATTTTAATAATAAAATATTTTATATAGTTTTTAGATATAAAACATTATTAAATAGAATTTTTAAATATATATTTTATAAGTGAAAAGGCTCAAACTTTCTTTCAAAATTATGAATTATTCATTGAATGAGGGAAAGACTCTTGTCTAACTATATAAGGAAATTGAAGAAAATTCATATTTGATAATGAAAGTTACATCGCTGAAGACTAATGAGTTTCTTGACTAGAAACATTTGATAAGATTGGAAGGCTTTCTTTGAGTAATTATGATTATGAAAGACTTTAACTTTTGATTAAATTGGCAATTCCTTCATAATATTTATAATACATAGCAGCAAAGTCTTAAATTAGTACAAATATTTACATTATTATTACTAATACTATTACTATTATGAAGGTTAATTCTAAAAGACTTAAGAATTATATAATGATCTAAATGGTTCACTTAACAGTTATTAAGAATTCTATATGTTATTAATCTAACTGAGATTGTTATTTAAACTTTAACTTAATATACTTTAAGCAATTTTATTTGCTTAAAATTCATTATCATCTTCCTCTTTTACCTAAACTTCTGAGCTTTCAGCTGAAATAATTGCATTCCAAACTTCTTCATTTTATTCATTTACATTATTAATTATTTTTTTTTCTTACTCCTTTTGTTTTTTAAAACCATTTTATTTTTTCAATTTTTTCTTTAAAATTTTAGTAGGTTTCTTCTTTTTTAAAATACTGTTTTGGCAAGATTAACTATTCTCATTTTAATCTTGTTTTGGGATTTCATTTGATTATAAAGTTGATTTTAATTATTCAGCATCTGTTTTTTGTTATGAATTTGGTATAACATAATAAGGATTTTAAATATTCATATATTCTTTTCTAATAAAGGAATAAAATCTATTTTTTATCATATTTTCCTAAAAAAATTTAGTTATAAATTATACAGGTCTCCCTTTTAATAATTTGGATATTTCTGTCCATCTTGATCCGTACTTTTAATAAGCTTCCATGACAATCAGATCTTCTTCCTTTGACCATGGTTCAGCTCTTATTTCTGGGTTTAATTTATTTATGAATCGTTCTCGAATTTACTTTCCCGTCCTCCAATGCATTATACTAGCAATCATTCCCCAATTTCTTTTATGTATTTTAACTAATTCTAACAGTTATTAATCTTCTTCTGCACTCCAAGAATGTCGAGAGCGTTACTGAGCTTATTTAAAATTAAACATACTGAGACTGGCTTAATTCTCTTCCATCTTTAAGCGCATTAAGATGGATTTCTATTATATAAATGCTTTGCCACTTCCTTCCAATTAGTTCCAAGTTCATGTATTGCTCTTTCCAGCAATTTGTCTTCCTTTTATGACCATATTTTTCTATTCTGTATTTTTTTTGAAGTAGCTTTTGCTGACAATTTATCATCTTCCATTTCATAACGTTCCAATTAACTACAATTAAGAAATAATTTACCTATCATTAGGCACCATTCAAAATTTAATTTAATTATTTATATTTCCCATTCAGATTTGTCATGTTTATATGTGATGAAAATATATTAAATAAGATTTGAACAAACTAAAAAAAATATTAAATAAGATAAATAATTACTAAAGATATTAAGCATCACTTTTTATAATTATAGATGCTTCATTTTACATTATAATTTAAAACTTATCAGACAGAAGTTAATTTTAATATACAATACTAATATGTTTTGTAATAATAAATATGTTTGAATTCCAAAATTTTTATTTCTTTATCAAGTAATTATTTGATTTTTACTACAAATTCATCTATTTGATTGGTTCAAGTTTTTCAAATTCTAATAGATTTTGCAATAACTTAAAAATTTACTATTCAATAAGTTAAATTTTTAATAGAAGGTTCTATATATAGTACAACAATAAATATATAGGACTCCTTATTTAAAAATCAATATTATCATAAAAATAAAACACAAATAATAGCACTTTAATTTTAGTTTATGTGTTTAGGAATATATCAATGTTTTAATCAAAGCCTAACTTATCTAAAAATAAATTTAATTTATATTATTAAAGATCAAAAAATTAATTATATATAGATTTATAAAAGCAGGATTGAGAAAAACAAATAATATATAACACTTTATACTAATTAATATCATAATAAAATTTAAATACTAATTCAAAATTTCATATATGTTGCTTCAATCTTGAAATAGACTAATATTGTTTAAAAAAAAAGATAAATCTACCAATTATTGATTTTAAATTATGAATATCAATTTATTTTAATATTCAATTTTATTTCAGACATTCTTCAATATAATTAAATAAGAATAGTAGTTGCATCTTTATCAAAATAATTTTAATGGGGAATAAATATATTTTCCCTTTTTTATATTAATATTTCTTGATTGATGGTCAATTATTAATATAAATAGTTTTTTTCAAATAACTCATTCAATTTTCATATATTTCTTTTTCTTTTCCTAAATATTTTGTTAGGCTATATCAATTCTTCTGATTTTCTTCAACAAATTAGAATGTGATCTTTTTTAAAAGTAACAAATGATTGCAATAATGATAAAAATTATTGAATATATTAGAATCTATACTATTGTATATAATACTTACAGCAACAAAGCCAGTCAGCTTTCTTATAGAACGTTTCCAATAATTGATTTCTTTAGGTACTTTCTTTCCTTAAAGTTTAGTCCATTCTTCATTCCTCACAAAATTTGAAACATCTTCAAAGGTTAATTCTCCACTATATCTATACATAAGACTATTCATATCAAAGTAAACTAATTAAGGAAATGTTGACACTACTATTCTATCTCTTACATCTTCATTTTCATATCTAATGTTAAATGAAATAAATACATATCAACAGCTGAAAAGTACATATTAGTAGTTTTAAATTCCTCTGCTAATTTATCAAAGATTGGAATAAATTCTTTAGATTTTTCTTCATGCTCCATAAAAAAGAATACAAACCATGGCTTTTCCATTTTCTTATCTAATTAATCATTAGTAAAATTACCTATTTGTAATTGATTAAAAAAGTCATAATCTTTTAATGCAATAATCCTATATGAAAATAATTTTGATTTTTCTACACCATAAATAGTTAGGACAAGTGAGATTAGAATTAAATATATATACATTATATTATATTTAATTATATATATTATTTTTATTTAGAATTATTGAACATTAGTTTAGTAAATGAGTAATATTAAAGAGTTAATATATATTATAATAGAAAAAATGAATGTGAAATAATGTTATATGTTTACTATTTTCTAATAAAAACAAATTTAATTGTAATTCAATATTAAATTTAGAATGGAAATAGTTTGTATGAATTCAAAATATGTGAGTTTAAGTACATTATTAAAATAACTTCAATTTGATATTAATATAAGTTAAATATTATTTTACAATACATAAATTTAATTATTAATATGAAGAACGAATAATCTATATTTAAGTTATTTTTGACCATTGACTTAGCGAAACAACTTAATAATAATAAAGAAATAGGTGCTTATCGTTATGTGATTGATTTATAAGATTAATCAAAAACATTTAATTCGACATCAACCTAAAGCATACTATTTTTCTTAAAGTAAAATTAGTCATCATTTTAATATTACTAGTGAAATAGAAAACAATACAAATATGACAGTCAAAATAATATCAGAAAAAACAAACAAAATTATAGGTACTTTAAGTATATTGATCCCATTTGCAATTAATTATGAATAAGAATTGACTGTAACTGAATCATTTCAATTTGAAAATGAAAACAAATTAAATGGTTCTTATACACTCTATTTAATTAATATTCCATTGTTTAAATAATAAGGTTCAAATGATACTACTTCTATCTAAAAATCTAATACTGCTCCTTAATCATAAAAGTAAAAGAAATAGGTCTCTAAATCACCTTAATCACAATTATCATAGTATTCTTATCTAGAAAAAATAAACAAAGAAGTTAATCAGATATTAAATAAACATCATCATTCTCTAAGTTCAAGGAAAGATAAGACAATTGATACTGGGATTGTGGATGAATCTCCAAGTAGAATAAGTGATAGAGTTTAAGTTAGTAGATCTGGAACTTTTGTATAGTCTGAGATAAGTCCATCATAAGTGAGAAAATATGTTATTGAAGATTCTCCATCAAAATTAAATTGCAGTTTTAATAAAGAAAAGGAAATAAATCATAGACATCATTAAGAATTGAGTTGTTTATACTATTTAGATTAAGCAACTTTAAGTAATCAAATTCAAATAGAAAATGAGAATTTAAAAGAAACAGTTATAAATTTAAATACTAAATTGGAGTATTAGGAATAATAAATAATTTTATACAAATCATTAGAATTAAATTACAAAGATCTTTAAAATCAATTATAAACATTTTTAAAGGCTTAGGAATTAAATAAATCAGTAGATTCTTTATTTGATAAGGAAATATTAAAAGTGAATGCATAATTAAATTAGAAGATATCTTAATTGTTAGAAAATGAAAAGAAATTTTCAAAATAAAAACTTGAATATGAAATGTAAATATCTGAATAGAGAAATGAAATTAATATGTTAAGATAGAATCTTTATGAATTAAGTGAGAAATAGAAATACTATTCTAATTTAAATAATGATTTCATAAATTAAAAATAATAAAATATGGAATTAAAATAAGAATTAATTAAAAATGTTAAAGATTATGAAGCTAAATTATGTAAATTTGATTAGCATATCACAGATTAAAATAAAAAAATAGATGATTAAACAAAATAGATTTGGGATTAAAAGTAATAATATTAAGAATTGGAAAAATTAAATAAATCATTATCTTTTTAATTAAAGAAACTTTAAGAGAATTACAATTCATAAAAATAACCTTTAATTAATATAAAGCCAATAAATAATAATAATGATACTGAAGATACATCAAAATAATTATAAATTACATAAGAAATTAATTAATAGAAATAAGTAGAAATTGAAAAATTATAGAATGCATTAAAGAAAGCATAATAATAAAATTAAGATTAATAGAATGAATATACATTAACAAAATAAGCTTTAAATTAGGCTAAGTAGGAATTATCTAAATTAAAAGAATTTAATTTATAGAATTAAAATTAAAAAACAAAATAATAAACTGAAACTAAATAATTACAATAATAAATAGAGACAGAAAAATCAAAAGTATAGAATTGATATAATTCTAGGTTGCAACTTTATAGAGTCAATTAAAAGCTAAGAGTATTTAATTATAAGAGGCTTAAGTTAGAGATGAGAGTTAATAAAATAAAATATTGAAATTAGAGTAGATTATAAAATAAACCAAGAATTTAATTGAAAATTAAGAAGAATAGATCAATTTATTAAATAATTAAGTAATATCTATAATATTCTTAGATTAAAGATTTATAGGATGCAAAATAAAAATAATAAAATGATATTAAAGAAGACAAAGAAAAAATGAATTAATTAAAATAATTAATAAGTGGAATGAAAGAATAAAGAGTTGCATATATACCAATGCATGGTGATCCAATAGATCATGCTCTTTCAGAATATATAAACTCTTTAGATGATCCTAAAAAACTAATTGAACTTTTTTTCCGTGAAAAAGAAGGTTAATATTTGATTGGTTCAAAAAGTGTACATTTAAAGAGTAAATACTAAATCTATTAATTTAGCTGAATAAGGAAAAGTGTTTGTTAAGATAGGTGGAGGATTTATAGGAATTGAAGAATTCTTGGATGTATATTTAAAGGAAAAAACTGAAAAAATTGAAAAGAAATAAGGTTAATTAACACCTAGAAATAAGACTTCGAATAAAAGTCAAAGATCTTAGATATCTACTCACTAGTTTACTTCCTGATATTTATCATAAATTTATATTAATGTTTTTAGAATTTATATTTACATTTATTATTTATAAATTATAAATTAAAAAAGCCAGATAATTATTTGTTTTGATTATTGCTTCCACTTAAATAATATAAGGCTTTTATTATATATTATTATTGCAAAGAATGTATTTAACTTTCATTAAAGAGCATTTTACACCTAGTTAAGAAGAACTTGACATTTTAGAAGCTAAAGAAACATAAGATTTATATTAAGATATATAAATATAAGGAGGATTCATTTAAGTAAATCCATTTCAAATATATAGGTTTATTCTAAATAATGCAGTATATTTGATTCTGATGTATATAAAAGTAAACTTAAAGTATTTTAGAAATATTTATTGAATTATGAAAAATAAAATACAAAGCTAAATGGATAATGTCTTGAAAAAGCATTCTATATAGATTAAAGTTATTCACTAGATTATTAAGTTGAGTCACCAGAAAATTGGTTAAAAGAACAAGTAACTATTTGGTAATTACCAACTGATATAGTGAATAAAATGAATTCAAAATATTTTACTTTTGAAGACATAGCTAAAAGACATGGAACTTAAATGGTAGACATTAGAATATAGGATCCAAATACAGATACCTTTAATCCAACAATTGAATAAAATTGTATATCTAATTAATTAAGAATTGATGAATATTGTAAATATTTGAAAAACAAAACTGATTTTTTTTAGAAACATACTTAATATTCACCTGATAAAGTTTTATTTGCTGTAAATATAGATATGGATAATTGGGATGAAGAGACTGGTTAATTATATGAGTATATGCCTCAATCATTATTAAAATATGATAGATTAGTATATATGAGACAATTCTGTTTGGGAGTCAATATTCCATAGATTTATATAAAAACCAAAGGAGTTTGGACAGGGGGACATTAAGAAAATTCATCAGTAAATTCATTAAATTTTAATCATGGTCCTGAGGATTGTCTTTGGTTAACTGTAGATGCTCAACATGTTCATAAATTACATTAATTGATACCAAATCTCTATTAAATTGAAGGCAAATGGTTTAAGGAGATTGACTTTTTTTTGGAAAATAATATTCCCATAAAGTATACATTATAAAAAAAAGGAGATCTTGTGATTTTGGGAGCTGGATGTCTACATTGGGTAAAAAGTTTAGGAAATACTATAAATACATCTTGGAATTTATTAGTTTATTAAGATCATACCTTTTAATAAATATATGATAGATAACTTATTAATGACCAATACAAAATATAAAGTGTGATTCCAATTAAGAATTTATTTTTGGATATCTTTATTCATCATAAATCTTTTTAATTAAAAGATTTTTTGTAAAAGTTTATTGAAGAAGATATAGAAAATTATAAAAGATAATATACAAAAATAAAAAGCACCAAAAAGAGATTCAATTCTAGGGAAGTTTTGATATGTAATAATTGTCAAATGGAAATTTTCATTTTCTATTAAATAATAAATGATACTACATTTAAATGTATTAAATGTCTAGAAGGTGAAGGAATTGAGATATTTATGAAATATAAACCTACTGAACTTATTTTAGTTTTGAATGCAGAAAAGTTTTCTTGTAGTCCTACATTATGTACAAGATATATAGGAAATACAGATTGTCAACTTGATAAATAAATAGAAGATTGTGTTAGTGAAAGTTATGAATCTATAGTAGAGTTAAATAAAAATGAAGAAGAATATTCTAAAATTAAATATGCTAGAAGAAAGTATAAAAGTAAGGCTTCAAAGAAATCCTGTTTAATATAATCATTTGTTAGGTACAAATTTATTATTTATATTAAAAGAAATCCTAGTGAATAGACTAAATAATAAAAGAAGAAAAAAAGAAAATATAAAAAAACTAAAGGTTAAGATGATTTAATTTCTGAAATTTGTACATCTTAAAAGTCTCATAATAAAAACTATAATACAAAATCTAAGTATACTAAGAAAACTTAAAAGATATCAAAACTTGAAAATAGTGTAAAAAGTGTAACCAGTTCCGATATTGATAGTTTTTCTTAAATTCCAATCATAAAAAAAGGAAAAAAATAATATGAATTATTATGATTATAACATAATAATCTAAAATATTAAATTATTTGTTTAATAAGTATCTTTTAGTGGTCAAAACTTTTTGTTATTCTTTTTTATTGATGTATTACAATTTAATTATAAATATTATTTTCTTATTCTCAATTAGAAATCAACATTTTTCATCATTAAATTAATACTTTATGTACAAATTGATAATGAATCCAAAGGAGGAACTGTCAAATTCATTATAAAGGATGTCTGTTTTTTTCAATTTCAAGAACTATTGTTTCATGCTTTAAAGAACTTCAAAATTTATAATGGTTTAGAATTTGATTAAGGTGATAATGGTACCAATTTAAAAGAAAACATTCATAATAATTAATACAAAAATATATATCTAATTATTTATAATGAGGAATTATAAATCTAAAATAGTTGCTTAAAACATATTTCTACTTTTGATACTTGTATTACAAACTTATAATTTTTTAAACAAGAGGTCATCATTTAAAAGACTTGTAGATATCATAATTCTTGAATAGTTAGTTGAATTTACTATTATTTTATCAATTATAGTTATTGATTTGTATTATGAAAAATTTCCAATAGAAATTTTAAAATTTATAGAGCANACATTATGTACAAGATATATAGGAAATACAGATTGTCAACTTGATAAATAAATAGAAGATTGTGTTAGTGAAAGTTATGAATCTATAGTAGAGTTAAATAAAAATGAAGAAGAATATTCTAAAATTAAATATGCTAGAAGAAAGTATAAAAGTAAGGCTTCAAAGAAATCCTGTTTAATATAATCATTTGTTAGGTACAAATTTATTATTTATATTAAAAGAAATCCTAGTGAATAGACTAAATAATAAAAGAAGAAAAAAAGAAAATATAAAAAAACTAAAGGTTAAGATGATTTAATTTCTGAAATTTGTACATCTTAAAAGTCTCATAATAAAAACTATAATACAAAATCTAAGTATACTAAGAAAACTTAAAAGATATCAAAACTTGAAAATAGTGTAAAAAGTGTAACCAGTTCCGATATTGATAGTTTTTCTTAAATTCCAATCATAAAAAAAGGAAAAAAATAATATGAATTATTATGATTATAACATAATAATCTAAAATATTAAATTATTTGTTTAATAAGTATCTTTTAGTGGTCAAAACTTTTTGTTATTCTTTTTTATTGATGTATTACAATTTAATTATAAATATTATTTTCTTATTCTCAATTAGAAATCAACATTTTTCATCATTAAATTAATACTTTATGTACAAATTGATAATGAATCCAAAGGAGGAACTGTCAAATTCATTATAAAGGATGTCTGTTTTTTTCAATTTCAAGAACTATTGTTTCATGCTTTAAAGAACTTCAAAATTTATAATGGTTTAGAATTTGATTAAGGTGATAATGGTACCAATTTAAAAGAAAACATTCATAATAATTAATACAAAAATATATATCTAATTATTTATAATGAGGAATTATAAATCTAAAATAGTTGCTTAAAACATATTTCTACTTTTGATACTTGTATTACAAACTTATAATTTTTTAAACAAGAGGTCATCATTTAAAAGACTTGTAGATATCATAATTCTTGAATAGTTAGTTGAATTTACTATTATTTTATCAATTATAGTTATTGATTTGTATTATGAAAAATTTCCAATAGAAATTTTAAAATTTATAGAGCATACAGAGAAGAATATAATTATTAGTAAAGTATGAAAATTTTAGGTATTCTATAAATATTATTTAATTTACTTTGTATATTTTAAGTAAAATTTTAATTAATTAAAATGAAAGCAATGGAATAATTGGAAGCTGCTATTACATCAGACGACACTGTTACCAAATTACTTCCAGCTCTAAAATCAATCACTAATTCATTACCATTTCCTGAGCATCATATTCACATCAAAGATCCTAAACTAGTTAAACTACTTTTAATTGTTTATCCTCTTTTACCAGAAACGATTGATATGATTTTGGGATAGTTACTTACTGTATTTAAAGACTCAGTAGAATGGATTAGAGGCTGTTGTAAAGCCATTGAAGAGTACGCAGTTTTTAAATAAAATACGATTAACTAATCTAATTTTTATTCACTTGAGTATTTTTAATAAGTTATTTATTGTGCAGCATAAGTAGGGTAAGCATAAAGCAATATTTTATAGTTTAGAATTAGATGATATCTGTTATGGTTTTATTATATTTTTGAAACATGCAGAATCAGAGAAGATGGTATTATACATCATGAATAAAATTGAAGCAATTAAGGAATAGTATGGATATGGAATCAAGTCACTTACTTAGTTTTGTGAATTAGTTGAATCAAGTAATATTTATTATAAGTTTAGCCGTTCTACAATTGTATTAAGAAGAAAGCAATAAAAATACTGAAGATTAACATTTTAGATCTGTTGCTATTGGATTATAAGAGAATCAGAAGAGAAAAGTATTACATCATTAAAATACTGTTTAATCACCTTCTATGAGATCTCCAAATGTAACCATATAAAGATCTGAATCATATGGATCTTTAAATGATGAAATAGTAGATGATCTCAATATTGAAGAAATTCTTATTTAAGAAAAACCTCGAATATTTGATTCTGATTAAGCAGAATATTTTAAATCTAATGAAAGACTCTAAAATTTGATTTGCTTTATAACAGATCCATATCTTACATAACCAAGTCTTATTTTTGACACTGATAGCCTTGCTGAACATTAAATTGAATTAGATGAAAACAATTATAAAAAGTTTAAGAATATTAAAATAGATAAATTGTTTACAATTAGATCTTACAAAACTTTACTCTTTCTAACAGATATACACAATCATAAACTATTAACAGAAGCTAACACACATCTAACCTAAATTATTTGTAAACTTTAATTCAAAAATATTATAGTTAAATCAATTTCAGGATTCTTGTAAAATACTTAATCCATAGGCAACATCATCCATATTGTTGCACTTATATAATTTTATTTAAAGAATGACACAAAAGATACAATATATTATTTTCTATATTGCAATATTCATTTTTTATTTTTAGATTTCATATGTATATTTAACAATTAATTAGATAATCCATATGTAATTGATATATTGATCAGATTTATAGATCCAACTTATAAAAGTATTCCATCTTAATTAAAAGTTGAAATTTGGCATTTTTTGAATAGCCAAGGATTTATCTCATATATAATTGGGCGTATTATTAACAAAGATCATTTGGGTATAATTAAAAAAGAGTTTCATATTACAAAAGAAGGATATATTATTCTAAAAAGAATATATGATCATTAAATTATTGATGGTAAATAATTATTCTAATATTTCAGATGATTATACTTCAGAACAACAAACCTATAATTTGAGTTCTAATTTAGATTAATATATGGGTATATTGATGCCTGGCAAAACTATTTAATAAAATTTAATCAAAAGAAAAAGAATTTTACATGCAGCATAAACTTAAATTTATTCTAGGAGGAATTCAGTAACAAGTATTACTGGTAAATTCAATAAAATAATACTTGTTGAAAATATACATATATCAGAGTTAAATGGAACTGAATAGGATATTGATAGGTTTAAAGATGTTATCTAGTTTTATCAAAATAATCAAATTGATAATGAAGAATCAATCATACCTATATAAGGAGCCATTATTTTATAAAGTGAAAGAATTATTCCAACAACAATTTAGAGAAATTTATAAAATGATTAATTTTTAAAATCAGATTTCTTAAGCAAAGTATATATTTATATTATAATTAGACGGATTCAAAAATTATAAATATAAAATCATTATCAGATGAAAACAAATCTATAGATACAAAAGAACAATCTCGAAAATCAAGTGTAAAAATCAGTGGAAGCAACATACATACAAATAGAATTATAATTTAAACTTCAAAAGTAGGATAAGACATAAATTAAAAAACAAAAAAGTCCATAAAAATAGAAAATATTGAAGAAATTTCATATAATTTTTAATAGCTTAATAATCCTATTACATCTCCTACTTCAGCTTTTAAATGTCATCAAGTTTATTCAAATAGTGATATTAATATTGTTGATCATATCATGAAAGATGAATATTAAGAATACATTTAATATAATATTGAATTTGCTTCGTTTTAAAATTCACAATTATTAAATTTAATTGTTAATACATTTTAAAATTAAAAATATCAATTTTAGTCCTAAAATGATTGTTTTACTTAATTAATTGATGATAAATTATTAAATTTTGAAAAATTAATAAATCATTACACTTTAAAAATATTGGAACCTGATCATGGTAGTGCTTACGAATTGGGATTTTTGATTATCAATATCCTCAAGAAATTATCTAATTGCAATAGAATTTAGGAGTAATGTTTTAAGATTTATAGAGATTAAGTTCCAAGATTATGTAGGAACATTTTTTTGTTAAATTAATAATAATAGTATTCTTAAAAATTAAATTTTCAATCTTATTCAGTTAATGTCATAGGATCTTAAAAATTAATTTTATACGAAATTCTATAAATTATGATTTGCAATGTTAAAATAAAATATTCTAATATCTTTATTAAATTGAATGAAGCTGCTATGCATACATTAATAATATAATTCCATACTAGTTTTCATAATGGAGTTTATTAAAGAATATTTATGTTATTAATTAGACATTTATTTGTGTATGCTTCTGAGAAATAGTTATTAAGTTTAATTTTCAAAGTAAATCTTATTGAATCTATTCATGATGCTTATAAAAACACTGTAATTAATAAAGTTGTTATTAAAGATTGGAATACAGAATAATATATTTATTATTTGTAATAACTAAGCTAATTAATAATTAATGCTTTTGATTTGAGAGAAGACTTAAAATAACTGAGATAATCATTAATTAGATTATAATCTTATTAAGATTTGAAGGAATTATCTAATATATCTAAACATAAATTTGACATTAATTAATACACTAAAGAATTAACAGGTGCAGAATAATCAATAGTTAAAATTAAATTATGATTATAATTTATGATTTTTATTTATTGATTTCAATTTTTTATTTTTTCTGCCATTTCTTATTATGATTTGCTTAAAGCAATACCTTTAACTCTTTCATTTTTTTAAGCTGCTGGTTCAGGAACTTTGATTGGTTTTAATTGCCAAATTTCATCTGCATACTCTTAGATAGTTCTATCACTGCTAAATTTATAAGATCTTATTGCATTATAAATACTCTTTTTAGCCCATTCATTTGGTTAGCGATACAAATCATCGACCTAAACATATCTTAATAAATTAATTACCTATTATTATGATTTGATATAATCTTTAAAATCTTAACCAACTAAATAATTATCATTCTTATATCTAATACTATCTACAATCCATTTCAATTCTTCATTATGTCCAAATCTTCCATTATCAATTTCTGTAAATACTTTAAGTAATTCTTATGGGAAATATTCATGAGGATCAGTATTTCTCATCTTTTCTTTCATATTATCTACATCTTCAATTTAAGTTCCAAAAATAAATATATTTTCTCTACCAACTGCTTCATCTATTTCTACATTTGCTCCATCTAATGTACCTAAGATTAAACAACCATTCATAATAAATTTCATATTAGAAGTACCAGATGCTTCTGTTCCTGCAGTTGAGATATGTTATGATAGTTCTGCAGCAGGAATAATTATTTGAGCATTACTTACATTATAATTTGGCATAAAAACTACTTTTAATAAATCACCAATTTAATGATCATTATTAATAACATCAGCAACTGAATTAATTAATTTAATGACTCTTTTTGCATTAATATATCCAGGTGCTGCTTTACCACCAAAACATACACTTCTAGGAACTATTCTCTTTCTTTCTTCAGGAGTAGATTCCTTAATCATCAAATATCTATAAATCACATAAAGAATATTCATCAATTATCTTTTGTATTCATGTATTCTTTTAACTTATATATCAAACAATGAATCAATATTTAAATCTACTTAACATGTCTTTCTAATCCAATGAACAAATCTCTCTTTATTTTCCATTTTTATCATTTAGAAATCCCTAACAAATTAAGGATCAGAAACATTTGATTCTAATTATTTCAATAACTCCATATCTTAGACCCATTTATCACTACCTAATACTCTATCATATAATGCAGCTAATGCTGGATTTGCACATCTAACCCATCTTCTTGGAGTAACTCCATTAGTTTTATTTTAAAATTTATTTGGATGCATTTCAAAGAACTCTTTGAATATAGTTGTTTTCAATAATTCTGTATGTATCTTTGCAACTCCATTTACAAATTTTGAACCAACAATAGATAAATTAGCCATTCTAACTTTCTTTGTTCCTTCTTCTTCTACAATAGAAAGAGAATTTAATTTTCCCCAATTATTTGGATACTTCTATTATACTTTTTCCAAAAATAAGAAATTGATTAAATATATGATTTCTAAATGTCTTGGTAGTAATTTTTCAATCAAAGGTACTCCCCATTTCTCTAATGCTTCTGGTAATACTGTATGATTAGTATAATTGAATGATTTAGTTACTATTTACCAAGCAGACATATTATCCAATTATTCAATATCTATCAATATACGAAGTAATTCAACAATTGCTAATGCTGGATGTGTATCATTTAATTATACAGCCACCTTTGATGGAAATGCATTCCAATCTAATACCTTTCTTCTCTTAAATCTTCTTACTATATCTTACATACTTGCAGAAACCAAAAGATATTACTATTTTAATCTTAATTCTTTTCCAGCATCAGTTGAATCATTTGGATACAAAACAGATGTTATATATTCTGCCTTTTATCTCTATTCCAATGCTTTAAAATAATCACCTGTATTGAAACTACTAAAATCAAATTCTGAGGCAGGATGAGATTTCCATAATCTTAATGCTATTGTATTTTATGTATTATATCCAGGAATTGGAGTATCATATGCTCTAGCCATAATAGTTTCACCACCTTCCCAAACACTTCTTTCAACTCCATGATCCCATACTTTTTTAACAAAACCATAAAATCTAATTTAATACTAAACATCCAATCTCTCAATTTCCCATGGATTTCCATTATTCAACCAAAAATCTGGAGATTCAACTTAATAACCATCTTTTATCAATTATTTGAATATTCCATAAGTATATCTTATTCCATAACCAAATGATGGATAATTTAGAGTAGCTAGAGAATCCAAAAAGCAAGCTGCTAATCTACCTAAACCTCCATTTCCCAAAGCTGGATCTACTTCCTCATCATATAACTCTTCTAATTTATATCCAAGATCTAGTAGTGCTTCTCTGTAATCTTCTTCCAAATCCAAATTAATCAATGCATTTTATAAGCATCTTCCAATTAAAAATTCCAAACTTAAATAGTAGATACGTTTGGCATCCATCTAATGAAAATGTAAATTTGTATCATTAAATGCTTCAATCAATCTATCTCTTACTGAATGAGACAAGGCTTAGTAACTATGAAATTTAGAGAAATCAAAGCGTGTTCTGGCCAATGTGTACTCAACATGATGAACAATAGATTGTTACAATGCTAATTTGTCACTCCCTTAGTACGAATCCATTAACTCCCATATTTTGGAAGTATCCCTTGGACTGGCTTATAAACCAAATTGTTCAACCTCTATTATTATTATATTTTAATATTACAATATTCAGGTCTATACATATTTGAAGGGCTTCCACCAACTTATACTGTTGATCTACGAACACTAGTCCTATATGTAGCTTTTTAATCCATTTTATTTAATATATAAATAATATATATCTAAAATAATTTATTTGTTCATATATACTTTTATGAAAATAAAAAAGTTAATAATTAAAGTAAACTAACCTAAGTTAAGTTGTATAAATTGTAATCTTTATATTCTTATTATTCTTACTTCTATTAAATCTTATTATCCTTAAAAAAATTATTGATATTGATAATATAGAAAAGATATAATACAATAAAAATAATTTAGATATTATTTCTTTTCAACTTGAATCTAATTTAATTCAATAACTTATTTTCATCATAATTTTTAATAGAAAAGAATTTTTATAAGAATTTCCAGAATTATAATATTTACTTTAAAAATGAAAACTAAATAAAGGAGATCCATAAGTAGTGAATCTAAAAAGCCTTCTAATGACTACACTTTTAGGACTATATAGTTGGCTACTCCACAAATTGAATATATCACTTCAAGATCTACTACAGCTTCAGTTGAAAAAAAATTACATAAATTGGGAAAACTTAGGAATGAATAAAACTTACAGCTTAATAATACTATTAATTATGATGATCAATCTATAAGAAATTCATTGCTTTATTAAAATGAAGATTGGGGTAAATTTGAATTTCCAAGTTGGTTAAAGAGTAGAACCGACTTTATGAAACTTAGAAAATCTAAACATTTTGATTATCATTTATAAGTCTTTTCAATTTGTGAATAAGAGTATTAATTTCATTAAAATTTTAGCCCTTTTAGAAGATCGGAAGAACTAATAGAAATTGTTGCTCATTACTTGGTCAAATTAGATTTCTTTAGACTTATGCCATATAAAATGATTAAATAAATCTCTAGTAGATTATAAGCTAAAAGTTATGAAGAAGATGAAATTATATGTAAAAAAGGAGAAAAAGGAGATTCTATGTATATTATTTTTGATGGAAAAGTAGAGGTTATAGGATAGAAAAAATAAGTATTAGGTCCTAAAAGTTTGATTGATAGAAATTCTTTAGAATTTGATTACTTTAGAAATAATACTTTACAGGCAATAACAGTGACACACTTATTAATTTTGAATAGAATTGAATATATTACAATTCTAAATCATAATATGAAAGCAGAGCATTTAAACCATGAGAGATTTATTAAATCCCATTAATTATTCTCTCATTTTCCTGATGAAAGACTCAATAAATTTTGTAGTCTTTTATAAGGAAAGTATTTGACTACTAATGAAACTCTATATAGTATAGGAGATTTGATTGATTATCTTTACATAGTCAAATAAGGTACTTTGGCTAGATAAATAGTGATGGATTTAGAAGATTAGAATAGATGGCCCATTGTAAGAATTCTATATATTCCTTTGTTAGAATTAAAAAAAATGGTTAAGTTAAATTATTACTAGAACAATCTCTTTTAATATTGAATTTGAAATAGGATAATTGGTTGGATATTCAGATATAATAGATAGTGATTTTGATTCAGAAAAAAAGAGAAAAGAAACTATTTATGCAAAAACTGATTGTTTTTTGTTATATGTTTCTAAATCTCAATTTTTTTAAGGTATGGTATTGATAATAAATAATAGTCTTTACTCAAGCTGATATATAATATTTTTAGAATTACTAAAATCAAAATCCACCTTTGACTTAAGAATAATTAGTAAAAGATACTCGTTAAAAGTAAAATGAATAAAAGTAAAAACTTTAAATGGTAAATTAAGCTATTTACTCTCATCTTAGATAATTTTCTTTTGATTATGAAACACTTAAAAAAAAAGAATAAAAGTATGAATAGGTAACAAAAAATTAAAAAAAAGCTTCAAGAGAGTTTACAAATCGTTACAAAATAATACGAAGAGAAAAAAAACTAAAACTCATATCATTAGAGAATTATTGAATCATCATATTTATTTAATCATTATTGTATTAATCCAATCATTGTGTTAATAATTTTAATATTAAAATACTATATTGTTTTTAAGGATTTTATTAAATACATTATTAAACTAGATAAAAATTTAGATTTGATTTAAATACTTTATAGATCTATCTAAACTTTAATTTAATGTATCAACTCTCTTGAAATTGATTTAAATTCAATAAAATATATTAATTTTAATAATACATAAAATAAAGATATATAATTTAATAAATGATATTGTTTTTAAAATAATTATACATAATATTTATAAACTTTTATAATAATTATATATATTATTAATTCATTCATGTTTTTTCTTATTTAAATAATGTATTGAAACATTAACTGTAATTTATGATAAAGTTATTATGCATAAATTATAGGCTAAATGTAAATGTTAGAAAAAGGTTGCTTATGCTATCATATAAGCTATAGAAAAGTTTTGCATAGAAAAATAAACACCATATATTGAAAGTGGATCTTTATATTGTTCAGATATAGTTATAGAAGATGTAAATTATCCAGTCATGTCAGCAAATCCTCTAAAATTAATATAAATTTTACAAAAAGAATCCTAATGCTTTTGTTAATGTCAAATCATAAACAAATGAGTCAACTAATGATATAAACATAACAACACATAGTATATTTGCATAGAGTATTATATTAGAATTTGACTTGAATAATTTCTTAATAAATCCATTTAATAGTGCTCCTAAGATTTATGCAATACCAACAGTAAGATACACTGATGCAGTTATCTCATTTACAGTTTATAAATCATAATGTTATTATGATAATGATTTATTAATATATTAATACAATAGACCATATTCAAATCCTATAATGATACCACTTGTCCAAAATAGAGGATAATATATTAAGGATGATTTATCAATCATAGTTTTAAATATATTTTTAATGTTTTAACTTATAGTATTTTATTCTTTTTCAATTTCTAATTCTTCTTGATTTATTTTACAATCTATTAAAATATCTGATTTAATTGGAGTTTTAATAAAGTAAAAAAGTAAAGATAAAATGAGTTCAATAAATCCTGAAACCCAAAAAAATAATGATCTTGATACTAATTTTAACATGAATTTAGCATAAAATCCACTCAACATAGATGAACACCCTAAAAAAATATAAGTTGTGCTAAACATGATTTCTGATGATTCATGTGAGGCACATTAACTTACATAAAAATTCTAAAGAATAAAGTATCCAGCAAGACCAACTCCTAAAAGAAAAGTAAATGATATACTAAGTGGACTCATTACTGAAGGTTTGCAAATCCAAGAAGTATCGTTACCGTTTCTGCAATTCACTAAATAGCTATTTCTTTGAATGAAAGTTACTCAGAAACAAAAAAGCAAGGAACAACTAAAATAGCTTGAAATAGAAAGGCATGGTTGAATCTTCTATTTTTCAAGTAAGCTGGTGCAATGATATTGAAAAAGAACTCGGTTAAGTACACAGTCATTATCGAATATTTGCCTAAATCAGTATAGCCGTTTTGTTCTGCAATTTGAGGCAATAATGCTATAAGGGCTAAGCAAAGACTCAAATGCAATGTCAAAATCAGATTCATATAGAATAATTTCCAAAAGTTAGGAGGTATATTGAAACATGAAGCCATATTATAATTAATTTATGGCTTAATAAGATAACTATTGAAAGGCAAATTAATTTCAAGAGCAATATATAGGGCATTTTACCAATCCTTACTAGTTACATAAAAATGAACTATTATTCTTAAACAAACTAATGCATAAAATTACTAAAGAAAATTTTTGATCAGATGTCTAAATATATTTTATACTTTAGAATAAAATAAATATATGTTTAAAGTTAATGTATTGAATTACTTAAGAATAAGTCTACTTTAAACAATTGAGTTTATATTTATTTGACTAAAGTCATCTAATGATTTTCTTATATTTGATGTAATAATTAATAAGAAATCAGTCAATTATATTGATTAAATTAATGAATTAAGCATCAATGGTTTATTATATTTTATTATAATTAATCATTAAATCCCCTATATACTTATTTTAATTAATAATCTCAAAGATATGAATTAAATTTTAAGAAGAATCAATAAAAAATATAAAAGTTGCATAGAAACAATGCTGAATTAATTATATAAAGCAATTGGATCTTAACAATTGATTTACTAAAAACTGATATATTAAATAGTTCTATATTAAATTTAATACTATACACTTCTAATGGATGTTCGAATATTTGAATATTAAAATTAATGTCCTAACAGAAAAATCAAAAGAATGTTGTTGTATACAATTATGAACCTCATCCTAAGACTATGACTCAATAGGCTACCAATATTCAACAATCTCAAATATAACCTGATGATTCACCCTTTAATGTTTCTAAAATCTTGAAAGCTAAACAATAACAAAGCAACATCTTTCACCTTCCTTAATAAGAACTTGTAGATTACAGTAAAGTCACTCCAAATCAACATGCAGAAAGTAAGGATTCATATAAATACTAGAAATATTGCCATATGACATGTTCTGGTGGAATAGTTAAAATTTAAAAGAAAATAAGAAAGCTGATGTAAATACTCCCATAATTCCTAATGTTCATATGGTTTAAAGTAGACCTTAGACTGCTGTTTAATAAAGAGCAAATACTGAATCAAGTTCCAATAATTAACAATTAACTGAATAACAATTCCTTCAATTTTAATAATAGCAATACTAATTATTTTTACAATAATAGCAACAAATCAAACTTTAATAATAGTTATAGCAAATAGATTAATAGAAACAATAAATAAATCAATAATAAGAAAATCCATATAATGTAATTAAAGAACATAACTTAATGATTGAAACTGCATCATTTGCTGGACATGATAATAATAATAATAATAATAATAATTAAGGAGCATTTATATAATAATAATAAAATAAAGAATAACTACCAAATTAATAATTATTATCTAATTAATTATAGAATCCAGCAAAAGTGTATGATAAAGTCAATAATCCAAATGCTGAATTAAAATAAAAAAATCCTAATTTCTCTGATGTTTTTGGAAATGGTCTAGAAAAATATTATTAATAGAAACCATAACAAAATAGTGGTAGAAAATAATAAGTAGAATATATGTAAGAAAGTGAATTATATGGTGTAAAATATCATTAAAGATAAATGCTCAAAGGTATGAGTTCTTAAATGGATACACATAAATATTACGATTAATTGTTAGATAAGCAAACACAAGATTAAATTAAATCAAAATAACCTAAAAGTAAATCTCAATCTCCTTAAGCTTCTCCTGGTAAAAATCTTGAATAGGATGAAAAATTATTTCCAAAACCATTTTATGCTGAATTAAGTATAAGAGGTATGGGAAAAGAAGTTAATTGGGAAAAATTGAAGGGATAATTATAGACTGTTTAAATGTAATTAGCAGATATTACAATTGTAAAGGATAAACAAGGAAAAATTAAACAACATAAAATAATAATTAAATATTTTGATCAAGGAAATTTATAAGGTGTTAAATAATGGGTTCTTACATAAGGAGGTAGACTAGTAGAAGAAAGATTATTGGAATCGGAAGAAGAATTTAAAAACATAATCAAATTAAAAGAAGGTCCAAAGCAAAGACCTATGAGAATTGCTGAAGAAAAGGAAAAATTAAAATAATAAAAAAAAAGACCATAAAGTGCAACACCCATTTAAAAATAAAAGAAATGATACAATTTAATTTTATATTCTAAAATATTCAGTTTTTAGACATAATACTGATATTTTATATTCTTTTGACATATTTGTTATTCTCTCATTTAATATAGCTTAATGTATATCTAAAACATTAATTAATGTAGTAAATGCAATAGCATTATTCTTAATAAAATTTGCCTCCTGCATATCAATAATAATAAAGGAATGTATCCAGCTCACCTATGTAAAGACAGTTCCAAATTCAGCCTTTCACTCCAACTCAAAACATCGGAGGTTAAAATGAAGGAATGAAACCATATTCCACCGATATGAGAGAAAGAAGTAGATAAATGTAAAACACACCCTAATATAATGGATAATCTTTAGAAAGTATGGCTTTGCGCATTTAGGCTCTTGAGAAGGATAATTCAAATCTTAAAAAATAATTAGAAAATGCTAATCACTAAATTCAAGTTTTGAATTAGAAACTTAATCAAAATCCATCTCAAAGTCTTCTTAAAACCACTACTTTTGAACTTGTTGTATTGTAAAAGGCTGTAGAACAATTAGAAGGACTTAAAAATGGGCTTCAGAAGAAAAAATTATAGGGAAGTAATAATCAAACAACATTACCTGATTCTTAAAAAGGGGCCTACAGTGAACTCAAAAGTAAAGTTACAGTAATGGAAGAGAAATAATAATAATTAGAACAATAGCAATCTTAAGTATCTACTCATTATTTAATTAGACTATGCTCTTGTTTCCAAAAGAATAAAATTTACAATCTAATCCTCCTTCTAAAGAAGAAATCAAAGAAGAACCAAGGTAAGCCAGAAGGTTTAATGTCAATTCTTAATCTGATTAAATAGACAACCAAACGAAAGTAAGTCCTGTTAGGTATTTGAATGTAAAAGGAGGAACAAATTAAAATGCTTTGAGATTATCCCCTAGAAGAAAACCAGATTTGCAGTAAAATTGAAAAAGAAATAAGGATTAAGTGATTTTGTGCTAAATTTTTATGATAAATTATTCAATCGCTATGCTCAGAATAATCGCTATCATCCATTCTCTATCCAATGATTTATGTTCTCATTGTTTTAGTTGTTCTAGTTGGTTATCTATTCAAATCCTAATATCTATATTTATTATATAATCTTTTTTACCTTTATGCAATTTATTATTTTAATATATCCATATGATTCATTTCAGGAGCCTTACTTTATGGTTTTGGTTGGTCTGCTGCTTTGTTTTTATTAACAGGTTTCAATCTAGCTAATGGATTATCACAATTTAAATCATCAAGTAACTTAGCTCTAGCCCCAGCTGGTGGAGGTGGTAATTATCCAGGAGGTGGAGGGCCAGGAGGAGGAGGAGGAGGTGGAGGAGGAGGTCCAGGTGGAGGAGGAGGTGGTGGAGGAGGTGGAGCACCTTTAGGAGGAGGAGGGGGAGGAGGTGGTGGAGGAGGAGCTGCACTTCTATTCTATTATTATTAAGGAGGTGGTTATTAAATTTGTTATTATTATTATGGTTATTATTGATATTATTATTATTAATATTATTACTATTATTACTATTATTATTATTATTATTATGGTTGTTAAAGTTATGGGGGAGGTTATGAAGGAGTAATACTAGGAGCCACTGGCTTTTTATTTCTTTATTATGTAGATGGATTGAAAAAGTCCATGTCATCATTATCTGGGTCATAATCAACAATTCCAGCCAAATTCAGTTTTGCATCCACCTTTAATTATGCTATAGGTTTGTTAGATGGAACATATGAATATGATTCCTCTCCATATTTTGTAATTGTTTCTCCTATTGTATTTGGAGCATCTGCCATTGTTACTTATTCTTCCTCCTCTTATTATTTTTTTCTTTTATTCTCTTGCTTCTAATATATTATTATAATCTTCTTACTGCTGGCTCCGGAAATACTTCACGAGCATCAAAAGTATGATGAGTGTATGGATTAATCAATTGGTTAAAAACTAATAAACTATCTACGTGTTTCAGTTTCCTTGGAACAGTACCATAACCTTAAATTTATCTTTTTGACAAAGCTCTTTCTCCTTCAAAAATAGTTTTCCCTTTCTATGTAAATCTTCCATATGCCATTTGAATGGTTGCTACTCTATCAATATTATCTGGAGCTTTCCCTTAAGAGCCTTACTCATTTGCCAATCTTATATATTTATATGGTTCATAGATAGGTATCACTGGTTTATTATAGCATTCTGAAAATATGGATTGCTTATTAGTAGGATCGAATTCATATTTCTTAACAAACTTGCTAGGGGATTGAAAAACAATTGCTTGAGGACAATTTTAAAGATGATTTAACTTAGCATTGCAAACATTTATGCGCTATTATAGTGAACTTACTAATACCTCTGCTAATTGTTGAATTCTTTGTTTCACTAAATTGACACGATCACGTAGCTTTTCTTCTGTCTTATTAGTTGCCTCTTCTAACAATGCCAAATTGCTAAGAGTAATATCTAAACCTTCCTTATGATGTAAATCGAATGAGGCTAGATTAAATAACCAAGGGCATGGCTATATAAATGCCATCTTATAATAATAATAATATAAAATCAATTCAGATTTTCTTTTTAATATTACATCAGACACAGTCAATGACACAATAATTAATCTCAAATTCATGTTTATTTAAAACAAGAAAATTATACATTGAAAAACAAAAAAGATAATAAATTTCTATATATTTATAGATGAAATTATTTAACTATTTAAAAAGATAACTAATATCTTGAATGAAATAGTTAATAAAAATTGTTAATATTCTTGAAAAGTAGAATCTTAATTTTTATTTATTTACTTCTCTTTAAAGCAAAAGTTAATTAAAAATTAGTAAAACTATTTAAGAATTATTAAGCTTCATTTATATTCTTAACTTGAATAAGAATTTTTAAATATATAACATTATAGATTGAAGATGTTAATAATATAATTAATTCATAGTATCATTTATTTGTAAGAGTTTTTTCATCTTATTATAATGTCGGTTATATATATTGGTCCCACCCCTTTGGTTTAATATCTTCATCTTCATTTATCCACTCGATTCTACGGCCATCCTCCCATAAACCCAATTAACTATTACCAGTAGGTAATGAATATCTCCCTTTTCCAGATTATTTTCCATTCTTCCAATATCCTTCATATTCTAAAATATAATATTATTAAAATTTACTTCTTCCATCTGGCCACTAATAAATACCATATCCTTATTTTTTATCTTTGAGATATTCTCCATCATAGGAACGTCCATCTGGCCATGTATATATTCCTCTACCATTCATTTAATTGTTACTCCACATTCCCATATATTTCTAATTTAAATTGAAAATTTACTCTACTATCAGACCAAGTATATATGCCATATCCCTCTAGTTAATTTCTCTTCCAATAACCTAAAAAATACGATCCATCACACCAGTAATATTTCCCAAAACCATCTTTTTTACCAAACTTATAATATCCTTCATATCTAGAATGATCTATCCATATTTCAATACCATAACCATGAGGTTAATCATCAAGCCATTATCCATCAAATTTAGCTCCATTAGCATGAATATATCTTCCTTAACCACTAACTCTATCTTCTTTCCATTGTCCATCATAAAGATCTCCACTGACATACCAAAACTTACCCTTTCCATCAGCCCTATTTTATTTCCATTATCCTTCATATTTAGCACCATCTGGCCATATTTAAATTCCATATCCATCTCTTTATTATCCAACCCATTCTCCTTCATAATAAGCTCCACTTTTGAAAAAATGTCTTTATCTTTTTTCTCTTATTTTAGTTTCATATTTATTTCCTCCTGTTTCCATCATATCTTCTTAATTTCTTTAAACCATTTCATTTTTTCTATTTTATAAATCACTATTAGATTCTCAAATATTAACTCTAAAATGTACATGAAGTTAAGACGACATCAGATTTTTTATCACTAGGCATTTAAATAGATTGTATTGGATTAAAGTTTTCAAAAACTACTTATATTGATTATTTAATCTAGGCTTAACAAGACTCTTATTCATCTTCTTCTTCATAATAATTTTCTTCTTCTTCATGAGAATAGCGACTTATTGTATATTGATGAAATTCAGAGATTTAAATTTCATCCTTCTTTGAGCAACCTTAACAATTCGTACAATTACTACCCATTCTTAGAATTAAGACAATGGACTTTTAATAAATTATTAATCAACAACATATTAATGGAATGATTTATTAATTATTTTGTAATTTCAAATTTTAGAAAAGTTATACAGAAGATTATAAAAATGATATTTAAAGATGGATTTAATGTTTAAATCATCTTTATTTTTTATATGTTTTTATATACATAATATTTAATTAATAATTTAAATTAACAAGTTGTTAAGCTATTAGATAATTTATTATATAATTTTTAGATATTTTAAAATATTATTTTACAATGTTGTAAATATACTTTTGATACACTTTTAAAAAAATTCTAATAAAATTTATTGATCCTTAAACTAAAGACTTAATTAATTTAATGGATAAGTATATTGTTATGCTTCTCAAAACTCAATTTCAAAATATATTTTATCTCTTGCAACATATTTTAAATAAAAGATGCATATTAAAAAAATAGAGAATTATCATCAGATGAATTTTTATTTAATTTATATGAATGCTTGCAAAATTTACAAATAAAATATCATTATCATTAATATAATAGACAAAATTACAGATCAGTGTATTAAATATCAAGTTTAGTTAATGTAAAATCCTTTACTTTAATAATAAGATTAGAAAATTAATAGATCATTTTAATATTTCTTTTTGATTATAAATAATAGAATGTAAATTAGTTTTTATTTTCATAATCTTAAAACTTTAAATTAAAGGATGACAAGAAAATCTAAATTTATTTAAAGAGAATAGATATATGAGGAGAATTAAATTGAAATAAAATATATAAATATTTTATTTAGGAAAAAAGAATTTTTAACAAAAATAATTTTATACTGTTATTTATGATTAACTCATCTTTTCATAATTTGCTAACTTTGGCAATATGAACAGCTAAGTCCAAAACTCTATTGGAGTATCCCCATTCATTATCATACCATGAGACTAATTTGTGGAAGTTCTTTGTCAATCCAATACCAGCTTTAGAATCAACGATGGATGATCTAAAAGTTTTAATACAGATATATACCTAGCATCATGGAGGAAATCTTATGAAACTACTTAATCACTTGTGAATCCCAAAACTCCCTTCAATGGTCCTGCTTATGAAGCCTTTGAGAGTGCTTCCATAATTTCTTCATAAGAAGCTTCCTTTTGAATTCTGACTGTCAAATCAACAACTGAAACATTGATAGTTGGAACTCTGAAGGCCATACCTGTTAATTTTCCTTTGATTTCTGGAATGACTAATCCTACAGCTTTGGCAGCTCCTGTAGTTGATGGAATAATGTTGGTAGAAGCAGCTCTTCCAGCTCTCCAATCTTTTCCACCTTTAACTGGGCCATCTACAACCAATTGAGTAGCTGTGGAAGCATGAACTGTTGTCATAAGTCCTATAAAAATCTACTGATATTTTACCTTCAACAATACCAAAATTGTCATTGACAACTTTAGCTAATGGAGCCAAACAGTTTGTTGTGCATGAAGCATTTGAAACAATGTGTTAGTCAGCTTTATAGTTTTCATGGTTAACACCATAGACATAGGTTGGTGTACCCTTGTCTTTTGATGGAGCAGACATAATGACTTTCTTGGCTCCTCCCTTCAAATGGAATCCTGCCTTTTCGTCAGTCAAGAATGCACCTGTTGATTCACAAACTGTGTTAACCTATATAAATTATATATGCTATTACTCCTGCATCTCCCCAAGGAATTTGGCTTGGATCTTTTTGAGCAAATACTTTGATCTTTTATCCATTGACAACAATTCCTTAATCGTATTTTTCAACTGTGAATGGTGATTTCAAATGAGCAGAGTCATATTTAAGATTATAGACCAAGTAATCTAGATCCATGAATGGGTCATTGATGGCTTTTACAGTGACCTTGGAATATTGAAATTGAATACTGGTTTGTTGTTCTCAATAGCGGCTCTCAAGACCAATCTACCAATTCTTCCGAATCCATTAATACCAAGGTTGACGGACATTTATAAATGATAAAAGATATTTATACTTTGATAACCAAAACACGTAAATTTATTTCCTCTATTAATGCGTCATTTGATTAAAATCACCATTATAATGCCAATATTTATCATGAAATAACAGACGTATGTGTAATTAATATGATACTTTCATAAATCATAATAATATTTTTTTACATATTGAATTATATAAATGAAAAGAATTAAATATTTTAAATTTTAATCCTTTGTTTATTAATGTTAATTCAAATTGATCAACTAATTCTAGAAAGGTCAAGTTGACTTTCAAATTTTTTATTTTATTTTTTTACTTTAATACTTAATAATATTAAAGTTTATATTCTATAATACTCCATAAATTTAGAACATTTATTATTATCCTTTCTTTCTCTTTTTTTTTTGAATGTAAATTAAGAGTTAGTATTTATTAAGAAAAAAATATATATATATTTAATCATTATTCCTCTTCTTTTAAAATCTCTATTGGATTTTTTGCATTTTAATTTTCAGTTGTATTATTTTTTGGAATCAATCTAATAACTGGTACAGGAATCCAAATAATTTTTTTGGGTTCTCCTGGACTAGCTTCAAGCATTTATTCAAATTTAAATAAGAAGTTTCTTGGACATAAATAACGAATGTTTGAATCTCTTTATTATTCTAATTATTTGTTATCAATTTTTTTATTAATTTATGGTTCCAATTAATCTATTTCTTATTTACAAGATGTTTCAGTTTTAATTGTCTTTATCTCTTGATCTTCTTACTTTTCGAATTCTTAATCTTAAACCTAAATTTTCTATTAAAATTAAATTTAAATATTACTAAACCCAATTTGCAATTTTAATCTTTGTGTTTAGTATAGAATCTATTCTTAACCATTATTTCCTAAATTTAACATTAATATTTACAGATCTATCTTTCATAAGTTTAGCAATCTAAGTCCACTTTGCCCCATACTGTCTATATAATATCATTAATTAATCATCTTCATCTTGAGTCCATGGTCTTGCAGGTGGTGCAATTATTTGATTGATATATCTATTTCGAATTTAGTTTCCTGTTCTGTTTTTCATGATTTAAGCAATTTCATTCCAATTTTCACCATATTTTTACACTAACTCTTTTAACATATCATCTTCTTCTTTAGTCCATGGAGTCTTCTTTCCACTCTAATTAAATATAATTAAGTTTTACCTTTAATTAAGTCCATCTTACAACGCATTCTTAATCTGTTTTCCCTGTTAAATATTCTGCTATTTTCTTCCATTATGGTCCATATACCTTAAAAGCTTCTTCTAATCGTCTATCATCATCATAATTCCATTTATTATTGTTTTCTACTTCAGCATCAGTCCAAGCAAATTACATCAAATTAATATAAATAAAATAAGATTTGTAAATTAACTCTTTCCCCCTTCAGATAACAATCTAAAAAACCCTAATTCAATGTATATATGTTAAAAAGTATATCGTCTCTCATCATTATTAAGTTTTACTTGTGAGAAATACAAAAGCTAATTTTAAAGGCGCCTATTTAAGAGTAAAAATTTAAAATTTCTTCATCTTGTTTCTTATCTATCTAATTATTTAATGAAAGACTCCATCTCTACTTAAATTTGATTCCATTCATCTTTTCAAATAAAAAAATACTCAAGAATCAAGTACTTTTTATTATATATCTAATAATTAAAATATGTTTGATAAATTAGTATATATTAATGATTCTATTTGTTTTTCTAATAATATTTTTACATTTTTTCAACTTATAAGGCAAAAAAAAATAATTCTCATAATAATAATATATTTATTAGAATGAATATTGAAACACAATCTGAAAAATCGGAAATTAGAAGAACCAAACGAGAAAGGTATGTTTGGGAGGCTTTAAATGCAGTTCAGAAGTGGAGAGATTTATTTGAAAATGGTTATTAAGATGAAGTAGGAAATTATATAAAACCATCTTTAAAAGAGGCAGCAGACCTAGTTGGACTTCCCAAAAGAACACTTGAATAATATCATAGTGTTTTTAAGTAACAATATCTATAAATGAATAGAAAATTACCGTAATCTATAGACATAATGAGAATACTTGATAAAAAAATGGGTCATCTAAACCAGCTAATTAAAGAATTTAAAAATGAACCAGCAGTAACATAAGAATAACAAGTAGAAATTCAACAAGAATAAAGTTCATGGGATAATATGATTATCGAAGCAGATGATTAATTAGCAGTACAAAGAGATCCTGATGAAGACTAAGATTTCAATTAGGTGGTTTAATAATAATAAATTTTCGAGAATGAAGAAGATTATGTAAAATATCTTTAATTCGAAGAAGATGAAAATTATTGTCAGGAATATTGCTAATTCAATGCAGATGAAGGTTTCTTATGGGATTTAGAATAAACAAATCCTGCAGTTCCTGATTTTTGATATAATTAATCAAACACACTTAAACATTGATATAAATTATTCACTTAAAGTAATTCATATTTTCTGTATCCACAAATATCTCTAGATAAATAACAATCTGGATATTTTTATATATCTAAGTCTTCAATTTCTAATACATATCCAATATTCTTTCTCATTATTCAATATAATTTATTCATTACTTTATTTTCAAATGAAAGCTTTTGATATTACATAATATGAGAAAATAAGCAATTCAAATAGAGCCAGTATTACGCAAATGATTAATGATGAAATTAATAGCTTTGATTTGATTATTTAATTGATTCTCTTGATCACTAATTTTAATTTGATTTTCTTGATTTTTATCTAGTTTATATCTGCTATATCATACATAAATACTAGATCTCTTTTATTGAAATTATAGAAAAGAAAGAGAATTTAGAGTGTTATGAAATAATTTTAAATAATTCTCTAGACTTATAGACTTGATTAAAGTTACTATCACCTATATATTGTATATTTCTATTTAAATTAATTCTAGATATCTAATCTCAATATATTCTGGCAACTAAAGATATCTTATAAAAAGAGAGAATCTTTTATATTTGAATTCTAATTTTATCAAAGATTAGATATTTATTTATATGAATATATATTGAATCCTAGTTAGTTAGTAGATTTTTTTGAAATCTAGTTATCATATAAATTAAAGTTATATATTCTAACTTCTTTATTTGATATATCTATAAAATAAAAAACGATTTGTCATTTTATATTAGTTTATAATTAATTCTTTTATGAAATATCTTCTTCTTAATTATCATAACTATAGCTAATCATAACGATATGTATATTAATTTGATTAAGAAGTTTCTCAATATTTTTTTTAACATCATTTTTAGTGATTGCATAAGAGACTATCCTTTATTCAAACAGAATTTCTTACTTTCTTCAAATTTAATATTTATTTGATAAACTATATTGCTAAACATTAATACTAAGTTTATTATTCCAACATATTTTATTTAATATATATCAATACTTAATATTAAGAAAGTAGACAATAAATTTGAGCATTGATATTGATATGATAATAATAAAAATATAGTTTAAATATTATAGAAATGCTTTTTAATAAAATTTATTTAACCATATAATATTGAACAAATATAACTCATCATCACTATTATTTTGCTTTAGATTTATCTTTTGTATCTTTTGTTTTATTCTTTTTGTCACTTGTATCATTTTTCTCTTTTATTTGTTTTTCTTGCTTAGGTTTTGATTCAGTAATATCTTTTTCAATACCTTTAATTTTAGCCTAATTGATATAATTTATAAAATACATTGGAAATAGTAGACATTATTTTATTAAGAATAGACATTCCAATAAAAAAAGAAATGAATAAACCTGCAGTACCAAAAGGACTAGTAATGAGGGCTTTTAAACCAACTTTTTTAACAACTGGAACAGAAGTGCTTAATGATTAATCATCAAATTCAAANGTTATGAAATAATTTTAAATAATTCTCTAGACTTATAGACTTGATTAAAGTTACTATCACCTATATATTGTATATTTCTATTTAAATTAATTCTAGATATCTAATCTCAATATATTCTGGCAACTAAAGATATCTTATAAAAAGAGAGAATCTTTTATATTTGAATTCTAATTTTATCAAAGATTAGATATTTATTTATATGAATATATATTGAATCCTAGTTAGTTAGTAGATTTTTTTGAAATCTAGTTATCATATAAATTAAAGTTATATATTCTAACTTCTTTATTTGATATATCTATAAAATAAAAAACGATTTGTCATTTTATATTAGTTTATAATTAATTCTTTTATGAAATATCTTCTTCTTAATTATCATAACTATAGCTAATCATAACGATATGTATATTAATTTGATTAAGAAGTTTCTCAATATTTTTTTTAACATCATTTTTAGTGATTGCATAAGAGACTATCCTTTATTCAAACAGAATTTCTTACTTTCTTCAAATTTAATATTTATTTGATAAACTATATTGCTAAACATTAATACTAAGTTTATTATTCCAACATATTTTATTTAATATATATCAATACTTAATATTAAGAAAGTAGACAATAAATTTGAGCATTGATATTGATATGATAATAATAAAAATATAGTTTAAATATTATAGAAATGCTTTTTAATAAAATTTATTTAACCATATAATATTGAACAAATATAACTCATCATCACTATTATTTTGCTTTAGATTTATCTTTTGTATCTTTTGTTTTATTCTTTTTGTCACTTGTATCATTTTTCTCTTTTATTTGTTTTTCTTGCTTAGGTTTTGATTCAGTAATATCTTTTTCAATACCTTTAATTTTAGCCTAATTGATATAATTTATAAAATACATTGGAAATAGTAGACATTATTTTATTAAGAATAGACATTCCAATAAAAAAAGAAATGAATAAACCTGCAGTACCAAAAGGACTAGTAATGAGGGCTTTTAAACCAACTTTTTTAACAACTGGAACAGAAGTGCTTAATGATTAATCATCAAATTCAAATTCATTTTCTACTACATTTAAATGATCATTTCTAATTTTGACTCTTTCTTTTCTTTTAACTTTAGCTTCAGATTTTTTCTATCTCTCATATTCTTCCTTAATCTTTTCTTCATTTATAACTTTATCCCAATTTTCTTTCATGTATTGATATTCTTCATAATCTGTTTCACTGATTCCACCTGCATACAAAACTATTCCATGAATATATGGATTATCAAATTTAGTTTTTTCAAGATTCACTTATAATTTACCATCTTAAACTGCATCCACACATAAAACATTCTATTTTATATAAATGTAAATTTACATTATGAAATACTTATCCAGCTATATATTCAAATTCTATATATTCATCATTTGAAGCATACTTTCCAACCTTAGCCACAATATCAAGTTTTTCAATGACTCTTTATGATCCAAATTTAACATGAAAAACTCTCTTTCCTTTTGTATCAAAGTACATCTTTGATTTATATTTATTTGAATACTTCTGCAAATTTAAGAATTAGAGTGTAAGTACCTTCTTTTTACAAAGGAATTTGATATGAAAATGTTTTATAGGCATGTCTTTCTGTTAAATATATTTCAGGCTCTCTTGTATATTTGATTTGTTAACTAGAAACTTCTGAATTCAAACTGTAATCAGCTACTACAGTTTCAGGATCTGTTTGAATATCCTTAGAAATAATATTTAAGATATAATACTTTTTCATATTAAATTCCTGAAGGACTTTTATAATTTGATGGAGCACCACAATTTATAGCATACAAGACTTTTTTAGGGTTGAGAGGCTTAGAAAAAGCAAGTGCTAATATGATAAATAATTATATCATTAAGAATAATAAATTATATATTCATTTATTCACAAAAGTATGTATTTAATAATACAAATTCATCCAGCTAAGCTTAGAGCAACTAAATAACTAGGTATAAGTTCTTTAAATTTGATATTATCCTGAGATAGATTATTAGTAGTATTGACTGTATAATTTGTATTTTGAGTTTAGTGTTTTTAGATTCGATATACACTATTATTAAAGCATGTTGTATTAGAGTTTTATAATTAAGTAATTTATTTTTTAAGAGCTAAATTCTCATTCTTAGATACATTAAGAGCCTCTTATAATTGATAAATTATCATTTCTTGATTATTTTGATTATTTTATTATCTCAATAATTAATTCTCTTTCTTCAATTTAGTTGCTAATTCAGTTAGTTTTGATGATTCTTTCTCTAAAGCTGCAATCCTCATAAGATATTTAATCTCTCTTTGTTTGTTTTCATCAAATTTATTCTTATTTGTGATATCCTACATCTAAATCCTTTGAATATTTTCCTTTCTTTCCTAAAAAGCATTGGCTAAATAACCAGATAAATTATATGAATTTTCAATCTAAGAATTATTTCTGTTGTCATAAAACGAATTATTAGCTTTTCCTTTACTTCTATTCACTAATTATATAGCATATAGATATTACAATCACCAATAGATGTATTTTGTTTAACTTTGACTTTGTCTCTGCTTAACAATCTGGCACTTTTGATTGCTTCAGCTTACACAATTTCTCTAATAGCTTTGACTTCTCTCGAGGAATTGCGATAATAGGGCATAGAAGTATTTAAGGACATAAAGCTTTAACTGCTATATAAAAATATTAATTAAATTAAAGAGTATCAAAACATATAATAATCTAAAATTATGATTATTCATATCTCTCAATGAAAACAGTTCTACAGATTGGATAACATCCACATGTTTGAATCCAAACCAAAAATGCAAAGTATATCATGAAAAACATCATTTATTCTCCTATTAACATTATCTAAATTTCCTGGTAATTTGATACAATTATCATCTATTTAATATATGGATAAACATATTGAATAATTTTCATGTATATTTTCATCTTATTCTTTTAGTTATTAGAATTTTAAAGGAATTAAATTATTCAAAATCTTTGTCTTTACTAATCTATTCTATGAAGTTTATATTCAGTATATAGATTATGTACACAAATTAAATGATTATCATTCAGCCATACCAATCTTGATTGGCAGTATAGCATAAATAACTATGATTAGACTCAACATAACAATAATAAAAATATAACCTATAAGCATTGAAAATACTGTCAAAATAATTAATTTATATTGATATTGTTATTCTACCAATTTAAGTATATCCATTAAACTATTGTGATATTTACCCAAACAAATCATATTACTTTAATAAATAAGCAAACTTTATTTAATGTAGATATTTATGAGTTATTATTCTGAAATAAATAGGTTATCCAATTTGTTGTTGTCATCTTCTCTGAAATGCTTATGGCAACTTATTATTCTTGAGTTAATTGTTCTTCATCTTCCACTAGATTTTTGAACAGCCTAATTCCTTTTCTATTACAGATCAATAAAAAAAAAGGAATAATAGAATTTTTAATTAACTTATGGAATTATTATATATAATTTAATCATTAAGTAACCTTCAAGCTATCTTAGTAACTCTGTTATGTTATTGATAAAGTATCAATTTTTAATGATAATATCCAGAAAAATCATAAAATTTCAAATGAATGCTTTTAATTAACTTATTATTGTTTTTATTTTTATAAGATTTCCTAAGAGCTCGATAGCATTAATTTAAGGATTTTATGGAAGAATGAATAATAAATGAAACTAGATTTTATAATTTCTTTGGTTTTTAACTAGATAATTTTAAATATAATTATCATTATTTTCAAAGAGGCATAAGGTTTTATGAGTATTATAGTTATTTATCCAAAATCAAAGAAATAAACTAGAGAAAGTTTAACAATTAAGTCTTCTGAAGTATCTAAGTACTAGCATCTCCTTAGTTTATTTATTCAACTTTATTAATTAAGTATTGTAAATTAAAAAATTATTATTAAATTAACAAAAATAGACACTGAATAATTCTTTTATTTCATCTTTTATAATTAGTGAAAACTACTTAGCTATGACTTCATTCAATATAAAAACAATGTTGAGTATTGTAAATAGATTTACGAGTTTGTAGCTTCTGAAAATGATAATTTTAAGAGTGTTGTTTAGTTGTTAACATTGGTAGTTAAAATTAATTAAATAATATCTTGCAGTTTGAAATTAGGATGTGTCTAATATTTCAGCAGATAATTGTTATTCTTAGAGTAAACCGAACTAAATTATTAAAAGGATTGTATTTCTACTTATTAGAATTAATAGAAGAATATTGTGATTATCCATTAAGCTTATATTAATATGATTAAGATTCAGGTTTGCTTATAATTTTTTCTTATTACTATAGTTATTTTCTAAATTCTTAAAATTCTGATTGCAATGATATATATAAATTATACATTTCCATACTATAAATTTATTATATAGAAGACATTTTCATAAATTTTTAATTAATAAATTATTATGAACACAAAACCAGAAAATAATAAAGATAATAATTAGATTGAACAAATAGAAAAAAAAGTGAAAATCTAAAAGCCAAAGAAGGCAGATTTTAGAATGCATGCTCATGTAAATCCATTAAATGAAACCTTATTTCCTTATCCTCTTAATTATAATTAAGTTGATTGGTCATTGCACTATCCTAAAAAGTTTGGAAAAGATCCCTTAAAGTTATATCTCAATACCTTAGAATATCCTATTACATATGATGACTAAGTAAATCCTGAATGCTCATAATCTATTGTTGATTTTCTTGATATGTAACTTTACTATACAATAAATAAGTGGTTGCGGATTTGGAGGTTTATGCTTTGCCTTGGGTGACAATTATCCAGATAAATATACTTTTGGTATGGAAATCAGAGGCAAAGTTGTTAATTTTGTGGGGGAAAAAATAAGAGCTTTGAGAAATGAAGGTTAAGCTCATAATGTTTCAGTAATTCGTACAAATACGATGAGACATTTGCCTTAATATTTCAGAAAAAATAGTTTAGAAAAAATCTTTATTTGTTTTCCTGATCCACATTTCAAAAAGAAAAATTATAGGAGAAGAATTGTTAATCCAGGATTACTTAGTGAATATGCTTATCTATTGAAATCTAATGGAAGAATCTATTGTATAACTGATGTAGAGGAATTACATAATTGGCACGTCTAACATCTTGAAAAACATAAGATGGTATTTATGAAAGAATTATAGTAAGTTTAAACGTGTTTAAGATGTTGAATAAGATTCTACTGCAAAACTCATTTGGAATTCTACTGAAGAAGGATAGAAAGTAGAAAGAAATAAAGGTTCAAAATTTATTATTGTTTGTGAAAAAGTGTGACATATAAAATTAATAAAAAATACATTAATGTAACTTAAAATTAATATTAAAAATAATATATTTATTATTACATGCCTCCTAAATAACAATAAGTTGTGAGTGTAATTAAAGATGAAGAATAGTTTCTTAATTTAATCAGTTCTGAAAATAAAAAGTTGGTTTTACTTGATGTTCACCCTGATTGGTGTGGTCCATGCGAAATGATGAATCCAACTTATAAAACATTATAGACAAGTATTGATGACTTTGAAAAAAGAGTGGATATTTACACTTTAGGTTATAGTAAAATAGTCACATACAAACATGATAAATTTAGTAAATAATAATTCAAATACTCTTTTTAGACAGAGAGCCAACCAGTAAACCCAGGTTTGTCTTTTATTAAGAAGGTAGATTAGTTGATGAAGTATAAGGAGCAGATATTCCAGCCATTATTGAAAGAGTTTACAAATATTTACCAATGGTTTATTGATAATTATAAATCAAATAATACATTATTTAAAGTCATTTATTATCTAATAATCAATTCTTTTCTTTTCTATATATCTATTTAAGAATTTATATAGATAGTTACCATTCAATAAATCTTTTTAGCTTTATTACTTAAATATATATTATTATCCAATATGATAGCATAAAAATAATTAATAATAAATAAATATCGTTAATGATTAAATTTCAAAATCAGCCAATCAACTATGATGTTAATGGATATACATAACCAAAATATTCATAAATGCCACCAAAATAACAAAAATAAATGCCTAACTAAGGTTGTTTTCAAGAAACCTTTGGATAACAATAATATTATGGCAGATAAATGATTCCATAATCATAGGATTCTAAAAACTATCAATAGCCTTAGTAGCATTAATAATAGTAAACATAAAATTACTAGAACTATTCTTAAAAATAATAATATCCAAATATGCAATAATAATAATAACATTAACAGTCATAATAATAATAATAACATTAACAGTCATAATAATAATAATAATTATAATAATAAAAGACTGATCCTAGGTAGAATGTTTAATTCACAGCCAAAGAATTTAATCAATTATTCTATAAATAATAATAATAATAATAATAATAAACTAATTAAAACAAAGCAAATGAAAATCAAGAAGATAACAAATATACTTAACCTTAAAAAGTTACTGGTAATGAAAGATAGATATCTACTTACTCATAAAACTAATAATAATTACTTTAATAAAAATAAGCTGGTGTACCCGGAAGAATGCAATCAGCTGATCCTGTCTAAGCTTAAAATAGAAATGCAGTTCCTTTAACTAACATTCAGTAAATTAATACAATTAATATCTTAGAAATTAGTAAGCAACCAAAACTAGTTAATATATAAGTAACGGAGGTATTAATAAGACTTAAAATGATTACTCTTAAAGATAAGCCACACCAATGAAGGATTAAATGAAATTCATGAGTAATAATATTATTTAAAGTTTAGATTAAAAGTAAGTTCCAGAACAAATTAATCAATAATTAATGTATTCTCCTATGCCAAAGAGTCAATTACTTAATGAAACAACAAATTTAGCAAAATTATAATAACAATAATTACAATAAAATAAGTCTCCTTAAATTTAAAAAGTTGGAGGTTCTGGAATGGGTCCTGCTCTATCTTAACCTACTAATGCATAACAAATTGTTGAAGAATTAGCTAAAGAAAAAGAAAGACATCAATTGTTAACTGCCAAATTAAAAAAATTAGAATAAGAAAAAAAAACTTATAATACTTAATTTTTAAATGAAATGGAAAATAAAATTAAAACTCTTATTTAACAAAATGATTAACTATAAAATCTTAATATGGAGTATTTATTATTTTAGATATTTTTAGATTATTATAGAAGGCTTAAGATTAACCTTAAGGGGAAATATAAGAACTTAATAAGTAGATTTCATATAATAGTCAACAATTAGATTTCTTATAAAAATAAATAAATGAAGCTTAAAAGCAATTATCTGAATAAATGAAAAAATACAAAGATTTAGAATAATAATATTAAGAAAAGAATTAAGCTGAAGAACAATAAATTCAATATTTAGTTACTGATTTAGAAGAGAAAGTTCATGGTTTAATAGCTGAAAATGAAAGATTAAATTCCTTAATAGCATAATAGGATAGTAATCCAAAAAAAGAGTAATTATAACAATTAACAAATGAAAAGAATAAACTTATTTCAATGGTATAATTTAATTAATATAATAGACTTAATAAAGTTAGAAAGAAGTGAAAAATTGGAAAACTAAATATGAATAGTTATAATAAAAGCTTCAATAAGCAGATAAATTTTTAGAACCATAAGGAGAATAAGTAGAAGCACTAGAAGAAAAGATTAAATCCTTGATAGAGGAAAATGATTATTTAAACACAGTTGTTTAATAATAAATTGAAAGAGAGAATCAAATAGCATTATTAGAAGAAGAGTAAATATCTAATTATATCTATTAGAATGCAAAACTTAGTTGAACAAAATGACAATCTTGAAATGTTACTACAAAATAGTATTAAAAAATGATTAATATAAAAAATATCATTATTATTATTGTCATCATCATGAGTATTCTCTCAATAATAACATTAAAGATGTTAAATATCTTATATATCTTATACCAAATTAAAGTTCTTAATTCACAATTATATTATTTAATTTAAAATGCAATATAATTAAATAAACAACTAATAATCATAAAATTTTGCCTATCCATCATACCCTGAATAATATCCAAATTAATACCCACCTCCTTAATAGCCTTATATAGATAATAACATAATAGTAAGTGATCCCTATAACACATAATAATAATTTGGAAATCAGGCGTATATATAAATATCTATTTGAATAATATATAGATAGTAACCTTATATCATCAATGGGCCAATTTAAGTTTAAACCCCAATATATCCTAGTGCTGAAGGAATGCCATTTCCAATTCCTATTAAATGTTAATATTGTTAATAGATTGGAACCACTAGAGTTTAAAGTAGAATAGGAGATGGAACAATCTGCGCATCTATTTTAGTTTTACTTTTATGTTGGCCATTATTTTGGCTGCCTTGTTGTTTAGAAGATTGTTAAGACAGGGTTCATTTATGTTAAAGTTGTGGGAAAGTTGTTGGTACTAAAAAATATGAATTATGTTGATTCTATTTACATTATATCATTCAATATATAACAATTAAATAAATATAAAATTTATAGAGTTCTAAAAGAAGTTATATTCTAAGATGAAGAAATTTAAAAGTGAATGCATTTATAAATTAAAATATTCTACGTAATCTACAAGTTTTATAAATTCAGTCTATCATTTACTCATAATTCTAGATATATTTATTACAAGTTATTATCATAAACCATAGATATATCATTAAAAGGGAAGAAAATTTTAAATATTTAAATCTCGTTATCAAAGAGTTCCAATATTCTTAGTATCAAATATTATCCTCAAAAGTCACAATTCATTAAGTTTACAATTAAAAATAAAATAGAATATTTACATTTACAGATTATACTATAAAATAAAATTTAAGGGGCTTTTTGAGATAGATTTAATTATTTTCTATCAATATACCAAATATATATTGATTAATATCTTCCTTTGAAATATGTAATTAACAATATTAATATCAATAACAATTATTAGTATAAAATGAGTAAATTTAATATGGATCTGTTATAATTTAATATATTATTATTTTTAATCTAAATTTAACAATTACTAATTTCAAATGATAGAATAAATAATAAAATTCTTAGATAAACATTAAGAATAGCAAATTTAAATGAATGCTCATATTTTATTTTTATATTGACATCAGCCATTTTTAAATTTAATTAAAAAACAAGCTTCTGTTATGTTTTCTTGTTTATGATATTATTGCTTTTTTTTAAAGATTTCTAAGATAAAATCCACATAAATACAAATTTTGATAATAGTAAGAAGGAAAAAGTATAAAAATATGTTTAAATAATTTATTTTAACCAAATTTCATATGAATTATTGATATTATTAATTTTTAGAGAAATCTTCTTAAACTGTTTATTCACAAAAGTTAAAGTTGAGTATAATCCATTTAAATGCTATTTGTTAGATTAATAAAATTAGATTGCAATAAGAGAATAATTGATATCTCAAAAAAAGTAGAAAATATAATGCAAACAAGTGCTTAATTTAATTTTGGATTTTGATTATATATTTGATTATGAAATTGCCAATCAGATAGTTGAATTCACTTTATTAGATTGATCAACTAATTTTCCAAGTACTTATTCTAATTCTTATTCATTAAGATTTCCTATCAAAGCTTTCTTTTCAACACCATATTCTATATATTTTTTCACTTAATTTTACTGTATCTAATAAGTACATAAGGATCAATTGATTCACACTCTCTAACAACAAATGGAAAATGAGGATTTGCATCCTTCCATTGCCAATAGTTTTTAGATACAAGATTTCTATAATTTGATCTTATTTGTATACCTGATACCTTCAGATCTACCACATGTCTAACAGAAGACGAATCTTAATTCTTTTACTGAGTTTCCTAATTATTTGTACCAAGACATTTTTATTATAATAAAAATAATAATGGGAGGAGTATGTGGAAATCATCATCATCATCATTAACATAATCAATTTGCAAAATCACCTATAGGACCTCATAGAACTGGATGTTCATTTATGAATCCTGAACGAATGAAGTTTAATATTATATTTGAAAATCTTCGTCTCCAATACCCAACTAAGTCATGTCATCTGAGTATAAAATTAGCTGGTGAAATTCTAATGGAAACACCTAACCATATAGATTTAGATGGTAAACATGCTGTAATTAATTAACTAACCTTAGTGGAAGAAAATAGTTGAAACATAAATTTAAGCTAATATTCTTGAGCTACATGAGAAGAAACTGGAATTTTATTTATTAGAAGAGAAGAATGTAATTGCAACTTTAGAGATTCCCATTTTTGATATTATTAGTGGGCCTATTCATTTTGATTATTCAATTGGAAAAGGTAGGTTATCTTTTGATATGTAAATGGCTTAAATATTATAGATTGATATTAATCCTATTGAAATTGATTGCAGTTATGTTGAGAGTATAAAAGACAAAGCTTATGTCTTTAATTTAAGATTGGTTACAAGGAAAATGTACTTTACATCCCCAAATTCTGAAAGTTTCTATAATCCTGCATATTTGAGAGGGTTTAATTCATCTCTTAACAATTTTCTATAGGAAATGATGTTTAGAACTACTTGGAATAGTTCATCTGAATTACCTATTTTCAGTATAGAATTACCATCAAATGAAATGTATAATAGTTCATTGTAAGTTTGCATTTGGAGTATCAATAAAGGAAACGAATTTCAATCTCCTGGAATTTGTTCAATTAAATCACTCAAAGAAAAATGTGAAAAAGAGGTATTTATTGATTAGAACCTTTTTGCTGAGACCTTTATTGCCTTACATAAACTAATTTAAGAGGATGATGAAGAAGACTTCTAAATGTATTAGCAATTCAAAACTACTGTTACTAAAAGTTTATGGTGTAAAGGTAATAAAGTTGGTACAATATAATGTAAATTCAATGTAAAACTACCCAGGTTTCTTAAATAGAAATTAGTAGGTATTAGAACTGAGAATGGATGTACATTAGGTGTCAATATTTGTAGTTCTAAATCAGTTGCTTAGATTGCAGAAATAACTAATATCTTTTAAAAATTATATGAATCTATGTTTAAGATGCAATCATTAAGTCATAATGATCCAAATAGAACAATACTCTAACATCAAGCCTTGACAATTAGTTAGTAACTATTAATTGAAGTTTAAAAAGCTGACAAAGATACTAATTCAAAATTATTCTATTATAAAAATTAAGAGGATTTATTTAAAGCTTAGGAATATTTTATCAAGATAGCAGAATAAATAACAAAATATATAGATAAATTAGATGAAAATCTAAGAGAAGTTTGTTATGAAATTTTATTAGTTATAATTGATAGAGGAGAATTTCGATTGCATTCATTAGGATATTTTGAAGAATGTAAGTAATTATCAAAAAAACAATTGGAACTAAAGAATACAGTTAATCTTCATTATTCAGAATTTATGCTTTAAACATTAAATTGGGTACTTCTTAAGGTTCCAATAAAAACTTCATAGTAAAATGAGAGAAAATTCATGATGAGATTCTTGGTTTTATCATTTATAAGAATATATAACTTTAAGGATTAATTATTAAAATGTATTAATAAATCTAATGATCCTTAATTAGTAGAATGGAGAGGTAATGAATTTTAATTAGAAGAATAAGATGTGTTTATAAATGAATAAGTAGCTATGATATTTGATTGGCAGACATACTTTTATAATTATCTCACCTAAAACCAATAATATTAATTAAGTTAAAGTATGTGTGATGAATAATGGAAATTAACTTTAGGTAAAAGGAGTTTAATTTATCAATATTTTATAATGGATTATTGTACTTACATCTAATATATTTTGTAAAAGAACAATATTCAATGGCAACATGTACCAGGGTATAAATAGTTATTGAAATCTTTTCTTAGTGAATTAAAATTAAAAGAATCATACACAGCATCATTTTTTGATTGTGTTATGGCTATTTCTAGAAATACTAATATTATCAATATTATTGTAATGATATTATTTAATAAAACAAAGTAAGATCTATTATTTATTATTAGTTTGTATTAATCTGATTAAGTCATATAGGTTTTTGATTTATTAAGTTTAATAATAAATTAATGTCCATAAACATTAACAGTTTTTGATTACCCATTCTTTTTAAATGGGATAAGAATTGTATTAGCATAATCAGAACATGCAATAGCAATTGCTACTGTTCTGGAATTAATTTATACAAATTTTTTGAAATTCCCAATAGAATTCAGAAAAGCAATAATCGATTTATTATTTGAACCAATATGTTTTGAATTATTTCTACATTGGTCAAAGACTGTGAGAACAGTATTTATGAGTTTCCTACTCTATCGAATATGTCATCAATATAGAAACAATAAGATTTCAGTTATGGATGAAGAATTATTTGAATAATAGTATTTGATAGCCTCTAAGCCAAGAAAGAATTTCAGTTTTTATGAGAATAGAAAAGAAGAGAAATAATTAATTGTATTAATTTGATATGATAACTAGGCAGATTACATTTACTTAAAATATACAAGATTTATGATGAATATAGAATAGGTCAAGATTCAATTAAAATAGTTTCCAATCCATAAAGATTTACAAGTTTTATAGAATCTAAAACAGAAATTGGCTTAAAAGAATCAGTATCATTAGGAGAATTAGAATATAATAATATAGGAATAAAGATAAGATGATAAAGAAGAGATTCCATCTGAAAAATAGATAATTTTTGAGAGAAGGAATGAATATAGAAATCCTACAAAAAAAAGAACTATCATCTTATCAGACAATAAATATAAATATTTAAAAGTAGCTCTAAATGAGTTTTCTGAATTAACTAAATAATATACAAGATGGAGATATTAATCTATGAATATGAGTGGGGAAGAATTGAGTCCAGAAGAGAAAGGTTAAGCATATCTGAACTTTTAGGTTCCATAAATAAAGATATTAGTGCATTATGATTAGAAAGAAGGGAGGCAAGATTGATATATTAACTATTTATGCTCTTAATTTGAAGATTTAATTTAAATAAATTAATTATGATACGAGGGTACACATCTGTATTGAGAAAATCACTTTGGTACTTACCATCAATGGGATTCTCAAAGAAATTGGGTATCGGAGAAGCCTCAAGTGTATTAGAAGATAAAATTAAAAATATTTCTTAATTGGTAAAGAAATGTAGTGATAATTTAGAATGACATCAAAGAATATGGTACAGTCATCTCTATTGGTGATGGTATTGCCAGAGTTTTTGGTTTGACATAAGTATAAGCAGGAGAAATGGTTGAATTCAGTTCAGGAGTCAGAGGTATGGCATTGAATTTAGAAACTGATAATGTTGGTATTGTCGTGTTGGGTAATGACAGGTATTCAATTTAAATTCATTTATTTTAGAGATATCTAAGAAGGAGATATTGTCAAAAGAACAGGAGCTATTGTCGATGTCCCAATTGGTATGGAAATGTTGGGTAGAGTATTTGATGCTCTTGGTAATCCAATTGATGGACATGGTCCAGTTAAAACAAATGCAAGAAGAAGAGTTGAATTGAAAGCACCAGGAATTATTCCAAGAAAGAGTGTCCATGAACCAATGTAAACAGGATTAAAGGCTGTTGATTGTTTAGTTCCAATTGGAAGAGGATAAAGAGAATTAATTATTGGTGATAGATAAACAGGAAAGACTGCTATTGCTATTGATACAATTATCAATTAAAAACCAAATTTTGATTCTGGTGACAAGAATAAATAATTATATTGCATTTACGTTGCTATTGGTTAAAAGAGATCAACTGTTGCTAACTTAGTCAAAATTCTTACATAAGCTGGTGCTATGAAATATACAATTGTGGTTGCAGCCACAGCCTCAGAAGCTGCTCCACTTTAATATTTAGCACCATATTCTGGTTGTGCTATTGGAGAATATTTCAGAGATAATGGAATGCATGCTCTTATTATTTATGACGATCTTTCTAAATAAGCCGTTGCTTATAGATAAATGTCATTATTATTGAGAAGACCACCAGGCAGAGAAGCCTATCCAGGTGATGTCTTTTATTTGCATTCCAGATTATTAGAAAGAGCAGCTAAACTTAATGCTGAAAATGGAAATGGATCTTTAACTGCCTTACCAGTCATTGAAACATAAGCTGGTGATGTCTCAGCTTATATTCCAACAAATGTTATTTCTATTACAGATGGATAAATTTTCTTAGAAACAGAATTGTTCTTCAAGGTAAATTTTTAATATAATATAAATTTAGGGTATTAGACCAGCTATCAATGTCGGTTTGTCTGTGTCAAGAGTCGGTTCAGCTGCTTAAATTAAAGCAATGAAGACAGTTGCTGGTAGACTTAAGTTAGAATTGGCTTAATACAGAGAAGTAGCTGCATTTGCTTAATTTGGTTCAGATTTAGATGCAGCCACATAATAATTATTAAATAGAGGTGCCTAATTAACTGAATTACTTAAATAAAAATAATACGTAAATTTTAATATGAATAAAATTTTAGGTACCAATGTGTGCTGAAGAATAAGTTTGTGTTATTTATGCTGGTGTTAGAGGATTTTTGGATAAAGTATAAACTTCAGAAATTGCAAAATTCGAAGAGAAATTCCTCACTCATCTCAGAACAAATTTCCCAGCTATGTTAGAAAGAATTAGAAGGTATTTATTATAATAATATCTTTAGTACTGGTGAATTAAGCAAATAAGATGATGCTGAATTGAAGAGTATCTTAGAAGTCTTCATTCC